TAAATGCCCCTAACAACAGTAAAGATAGCACAAGACTAAGATTATATCAAATCTTAGTGTAGTAAGGCTGTCAGTATCAGCCTGCACTTCAGATGATAGATGTGAAGTGGGAAATCTCCAATATGGGGAGTCTCTCATTTCTCCTCAGAGAATTGAGCCTCCTTATATACATTTGGTGTGGGAAATATCCCAGGAACTGTATAGTACCAAGAAAATAGAAAGAGACACAAATCTCAGAAGAAATAAGGTAGTTGTAGCATAAAATGCAGAATTGAAGTGGAAAGAACACCAAAGGAGGAAAATGACTCATTCTGACTCATTTGACAGCAAATGACATCACTGTGGAGCAGTGTGGAGCATTTGTGGAGCAAAGTGGAGCTGAATGATATCATTGTGGAGCTATGACATCAAATGACATCATTGTGGAGTTATGACATCGAGTGACATCGTCCAAGATCAAATGACTCAATTCTGGAGTCACATGACTTCTCCTAGGGTTAATTACATGTTATGTAAGCTCAGATTGTGGCTGAAGCTCACATAACGTGCACAAATAAAAAAGAACAAGAGAAACAGAAGCAAGAAAGTCAACAAAGATAAACGTAAACAGAAGTAAACGAAACGCGAGCTTTCTGCCACTTTTTACTTCTCTTGCCTCAACATAGAGTAATTAGTCTAAAGCAAAAGCTTTTGGACTAGTATACCCTTATCCTATTGAATGTCAATGTATGATCTTCGTTTCATGCATGACAACGTGTCCTTGGACCCCTCCAGCTGTTGTCAAGCCGAAGGGAAAAACGTGATCTATGAAAAACTCGTCTCCCACCGAGACAACTAGGAAGCGTTTGTGAGGCGGCCACACTGGAATCGTTCGATACGCTGCTTCTATGTCCAGTGTGGCCGCTTCCGTTCCCGGCGGGGCAGTTGCTACCTGTAAGAGAACGAGGTAAGCCACATGAAGTCTCTATGTGCGCGTCTCGAGCCTCTGTGTCGCCTCGCACCATCGTGCGAGTACGAATCTAACTGACAGCCAGTACACTCGTACTGCTGGTGTCTGAGACAAGCACCGTCGCGTCTCGTCTAAAGTGCCGTCGCACAGGTGTTGCACACCTTCGTATTGTGGACCCCCACCATCGTGCGGGGTCACTGGGAAGGGAAGAGAAAGGACTTACTATTTCTGCTATTAACGCGGCCGTCCCCCATTCTGTAGGGAAGTCATCGGCGTCCAGCCAACTATTGACTGAGTAGCCATCTTCATTTTCGCATGATAAGTCCCGCACGATGCGGTATTTCCCTGGTTCACCGGCCTTCTCTACCAGTCCCAAGGGCGATGACACGAAATCTCCTCCTAGTATGCGCTGTACTTCCTCTTTGGTGAAGGGCCCTGACATGCGCCCTAGTGCTACTTCCTCACTGCAATATTTCTTTATGATTTCTGGTCTGTCTGTTGCGGATTTGTGATTCTTTGGCGTGTATGTGCGCGTGGGCGGAGGTATGTCCCCAATTGGGAATCCGTGCCGCATGTTAAATGTGAGGTCTGAGTATTTTTTTGTTAGGCCGAACTTGTGCAAGAAGAAATCGAATGCGTCTGCTATGTAAGGGGTTATGATGCGATTGTAGACGTCGCTAACAAGACTTGGAAGCGACTCCGTGTGTGGAGCTTCCACACTGGGAACAAACGTGGAGGATTTCGGGGCCGTGTCGAGCGGGACAGCGTCCGAGGTTGTATGAGATACAGACGATCTCCTTGGTTGTTTTGAGGAGGATCTTGTTGTCTTGTGCCATGCAGACGGGTGCTCCTCCCTTGATGGTTTGGGTGTGAGTGCAGCCGCTTGACTTGTGTCCGACTCTGCCGCAGATAACGCAAAGGAGGTTGTCGGACGACGTCTCTCCTTTGCCCCTTCGAAAGGGCTTCCCTTCATTGGAAGGTCCGGCTGTCGTCGAGTATTCTGGCTTGCGTGGGGGGTAAGGATTGTACCTCACGCTCCCGTTGTTCCCACGATCCCGATCCAACCTCGAATCTATCTTTACCTCGCTCCAACGACCCTTGTATGCGCCTGTGTCCAGAAAGACATTGGTGTTGAAGAACCTACGACGAGTTTCTATATCGAATTTTAGTACCGCTTGAAAGTTTGTGGTAAATTCGTCCCGTGACATGCAGAACGTTCGGTGGGTGGTGAACCTTGAAACAGTGTCATCGTCTGCGATGATGGCTAGGAGTTTAAGGAAATTGCTGGTGGCCTCGAAGAAGAAGTCGGCTGTAAGGGTGTTCTCTGGGGGGAAGCCGCTTGTCGTGTCCATGACTATCATTTTCGGGTCGCTGAGAACTAGCCCTTTCTTCAACTTCACGCAACCAGGGTCCTCGTGCATCTTCCTAAGGGCAGCGTTTGTGAGCAATGTAAGCGGAATGTGAACCTTAGCTTTGGCTAGGTTGAGGAGGGGGCGTGGTATCTCGAAGAGGCCTTCAGTCTCAGTAGCAAGGATAGTGTTAGCGCTGGTGAATATTTTTTCCTCGGATGTGGACGTTGACGCTACCACTAGCTGGTCGGCTAGTGCCTTCTCAGCCTCTTCCACGGCGATGTTCCCAACGTACTTCCTGGTAGAGGGCGTCAGAGTTTTTAGATATGCAGCCGCTCCCATCATTTTCTTGCCCAAGGCGGTCTGTGCGAAAGGTGTTGAAGGCTCTGAAGCTGGTTCGTCTAGAGGTGTCTCGTCGTCGGAGGTATCTTCAATGAAGTCAGGATCAGCACGCAGTTGTGCTCTAGCACGGTTTCTTTCAACTCGTCGCGCGTTTTCTTCAGCGACGGCCTCGCGATCACCTAGATCCACAATGCTTAAGGTGTTCTTCTGACTGATTATTCTTGATAAGCGTGCCGCTTCGCTGTCGGAAATTCCTCCTGTATCCCCAGTGGGGTTAAAAGCGTCCGTGCTTTTCCCACCCGCGCCTGCAGGGGGGCCAGAAATCGAGAACTCTGTCATCCTGATAAATAATTAGCTTTAGCGTGACGGAGGCTCGAATTCTCAATCTTAAAAGAACAATCGAGCAAGCGCGAGGTGGAGTCAGAAGACGAGAGGTAAATCAGACAAAGCGACGCGCGTTCACCTCGACGTGCTTCCTCGATTAGTAAGCAATCGTTTGAGCTTATTCAGCTCACGCGTTCGCTGAAAGCTCAAACTGCACCCTGCTTTTGATTTTTCTGCCTATCGATTTTTGGCGGATCTTGGGGGCATTGTATTGAAATTATGAATTGTGTTGAGCCGACTGGTTAGTTTCAGTCTTCTGATAAGACAACTTGAGGCCTGGGCCTGCTAGTGAGGGCTGAACGTTTGAACGGTGAACAATAATGGTGGTAAGTGAGAGAGCATCCACGAGAGCGTGGGATGCGGTGTTTCAAACCGTTGGGCTGATCTGCCGTGAACCGTGGCGCACGCCTCGGTTGTTGTTTCCTTGCAATTACAGACAATTCAGTACACACCATGAGGTCCATATAGTAAGTACTTAATTGTTTTCTGCGTGCACTTCTGGCTTGCTTCTAGTCTTGTATTCAGTAGCTCGAGTTCACTTTTTTAAATGTCACCCCGCCTCCGTCGGAGTCCGTCCATCGCTTCTCGACTTTCCTAAGTGGATGAGTGGTCTCTGAAAACCGTTTTCCGTGTTCGAAAGAACCTTGTCTGGCCCTTCTTACGCTGTCTTTGAAACTGCAGGGATCTCTATTAGTTTCTCATGCTTCTCCTCACTTGTCATTCACAGTCTCCGACTCGCGAGGCGTAGAGCTGCAGTTTGATCATGAACCCGCACACCAAACAGGTTACAGCGCTTCGAATTTAAACTTCAAAATCATCCAGCCCATTTGGTACGTCACACTGCTAGTCTTCACAACCTATATCATACTTATACATGTCTGTCAGAACTCTATCCAGTGCACGACATGAATATTTAATATGTAGAAGCACCCAGAATTTGATTATTCACCTGATTATGTAGCAGAACCCGGAACTCGTCCGACAGCGCAGTCCATTTGGAATCACGTCCCAGGTTCAAATGCCTTGTCAACCCATTGATATGCCGTATCTATATACTCGTCAACGTCACTCGTGTGCTCATGTCTGTTCAATCGCTTGCAAAAATATTGACGAGATCAAGTTACAACATCACCCTGCACCGTTCCATCGCCATGAAGCCACCACCGCGGTCAGGGGTCGGCGGGGTACTGCGATCAGCGATAATAGGTGCGAGTGGCTGGCATATCCGCAAGTCTGTGAGATTCGGCTTATGCGGATAGAGGTTGAGGCCTGAGGGGCAATACAGCAACGGTATGTGAGTGTTTCAAGGAGGTACATCGCCGATCAAGTTCCTTTAATGTTCATCGACCTCACTAGTAATAACTGATATCTATCACAGCCAGGAATCTCATTTTCCGCACGCCTGTCCGCCGCAGGCTACGTGAATCCTGGTGTAGGTTCATCGAAGTTTGCATTTAAGTACACTTTTGCACGATCTGTGCACTGAGGTCCATAAAGAATATTAAGAATACACCTAGTAATGGGTGAATCAACTCGTGAGTCGTGATTTTGGAACTGGATTTGTCCGAGTACTCATTCCACAGCAAGATCTATGTAACGTGTTCGGAAAACGCTCGCCGTCACAACTCACAGTAAATATACCACCACAACCACTTCCCTGGCTGATATTATGCTCTATTATATGGAGAGGCCATGCGCCAGGCACCGCTCAGGCCTATCAGATGTCGTCGCCAAGTATCTACTCCTCGCAGTGACGTTTGATCACGCGTCTGGCGGATTATGCGAATGCGAAAGTCGGGCGAATGTACCCGTAACTGCACTCTCGATGCCTTCTAAGGCATTCAAAATAATCACATCACGGAACGTGAGCCGATATCTGTTTCGTTACCCAGCATCCAGCGGTACAGGATACAGGCAGATTGTTTGGCTGCCTCCTACACTACCTGTGTATAAAACCCAACGTACCAGCTCCCGACTCAGACAACACCAACAACTTTCAGCCATGAAGTTCACTCCATTCACAGCTATGATCGTATCTGCCACAGTGATGGCTGGCGTAGCTATCGCATCCGACGACCTGGTGATAACGCCCCAGAACCTGCCCTGCAAAACAGCCAGTGAGCACTTCTACAGCTTACCTGCAGACCTAGACCGCATGCTTAAGGCTATCCACAGGTTCGGTGGGGTGCGCAACAGGCCTCAAAGGTTACAACGGCGGCAATGATTACGGGTATTTCTGTGGACCTAAGCACAAAATCATATCCTGGACGCCATGCTCGTGCAAAAAGTGTTGTCGTGTAACTTCCGAGGGGAATGACTTCACTTGTTCATGATCCTTGATGCTTGCTCAACTACACAGTGCTGAGTGAGCCTGTCCTTCTTTGTTGCCTTCCGAGTCCGAGTGTTGATTTGCGTGCTTTTGCCAGTGCATAGAACGTTTAGCATGATACGTGCAAGACTCAGGGCGTGAAGGAGTGCTGTAGCGTAGCGTTAATATGCCAAGCAGTTCTGGAGCCAATTGAATCATGATCACACTGTCTCGATGTCCAAAAAATCAAGATGATTGAGCGCACCAATGCAAAACATATCAATATTCGGCGCACACTCTTCCATACAACCTACATTGATATATTTCTGATTTATAATCTTGTGCTCTGACCTACCGTGACGAAAGGCCATATGTTCCCTCACATAAGCCGTCGCGTTGCCGTAGTGTGCTGTACAGAAATATAAGAGACACTACTAAGTCTGTCGATACTCCTCGTTTGGGCTGTCCTTGGAGAGGGAGGCGTTGACTTAATTGGCCAGGCTCAAAACAACGGGGTTTTTGAGGATGTGCTAGTAGAGATATCAGGTATGCCTCTCCCTCACGCTTAAGCCTGGACAAAATGTGTTAGTAGAGGTCGTTTTACGGCGGGACAGATATATTCACCTGATGTCATCAATATAGGTATTGCCGAGTTCGAAAGAGTTGTCGCTCGCCGACACCCTGCTTTCTGCGAGGTTGAAGGTGCTAATATATGTCTTAGCAAATGTCATTTACCTCTCAGTGGACGGGGCGACGAAAGAAACGCCACGTGCCTCACTGAGAAGCTCGTCTTGCTTGAACAGGCTCACGAGACGCGCACGAAAAAGTTTTCCAATAGTGGTCATCTCCATCTGGTCCACAGGGATGGGCACGCCGAACTGGTAACACGGCGATCATCTTCACATAGATATCTCGCAGGGTCCGGTGCACGGTGTAGAACTTGGTGGAGGCATCCGCCCCACCAAGGTCGAAAGTTGGTGAGTAGAAAATAATGAACCCTTCGGTGTACTGGCCAGGAGCGCGGTATGGGGCAGGTTGGTTTCGGGCTCGGGGATACCATATGAGAGACCATAAATGGTGGTGGTGTCCTTGATACGACCGCCAAGGTACGAGACGTCGTTCTCGATAATGCCAACATCGCCAGTGCGGTACCAGCAAAGCTAGAGGACATAACCTAGGCGTTGTTGTAGTAGCGTACGAAAGACCATCGGTACGCGAATTTGAAGCTCGCCGCTCTCAGTCGAAACGTAGGTGGATCTGCAGGGTCACATCTCGCAACCACCGACGGAACTACCGAGATCAGGGAATTTGCGATCAGGCTGGGTTGCGAGGATATTCACATGGTAGTTGTAAATACGTTCGGCCGCTGATAGGCCAATCAGCTGAGATATCAATATGCCTAAGGTATACTTACCAAGTTTCCGTCATTCCAAACCAGATGCGATCGCAAAGGATATAGCGAAGGGTTTCTGGTTAAACTCTGAAGTTCATCGTAGCGACAAAGGCTTGCGCTGTCTTGGAAAAAATGAATCCACACCCACTTTTGCTTGATAGAGGACAGGTCCAAGCACCCGAAGAGATCAGTGCATTCCTCTAAATCATAAGTGAGCTTGGAGAGCAGGAAGTTTGGGACATAAGCCAGCTCGATTGACTAACAATAGAACGATGAGAGAAACATAAGTTTTCGTCGATGTACCTTTTCGTCGAACGGAGTAGCCGGAGAGGATCAGCAAGGACTCACCGTAATGGACTATTACTTTAAGCGAGAATTCTCGTTGGCAAGCAGCGAAACCTATCAAATCTTCGAACCTACTACTATATACTCGATACCGGTGTCTGTAGGTGGCGAAAGTAAAACAACACGATGTGACGCGTCGCGGGCCGCGCTGTTACAAATCCCGAGTTTTATGTAAGCCTGTCACATTTACCGTATGCTTCAAGTTGTCCTCCGCGTTTTGTCCGCGTTAAACGTTTGTACAGCTCGGGGATGTATCAATCATCAGTAGTACTAGTGTGCCTCCTGCGGCCGGTGTATTGTTTCTAATGGCAATCTCAGATGAGGGTTTTCAGATGTCATGATCCGAGATTCCGAGTCACTACCTTGTCAAGCCCATTGCGCCGCGTCAAACCTCATCGATCATCCTTGCTGGGTCAATGCCACGTCGAGCCCCACCCTTCGCGTCAGCACCAGTTGGCAGTACAGCCGTTTTTACATGCTAACAGAATTAGACGTTATGGCACCGCATACATTGGCAGAGGAGAGGGGAAGGAGGGTAGTCATTCAAAGTGATGTACACACTAGGCCTTTACGACTCTGCGTTGTTTCTAATGATATCGTTTTAAGCCATATCCTCTCCCACCTGTGAGGAATCGCAGAGGACTCTCGGGGCTAGTTCCCAAGTACTTGGTCAAGGTTATAAACCGTTCTGCTACAAATGCTCGATAGCCTCCGAACTCTAAATCCACGACTGCAAGTTCAAGTTCCAGCGCACAGGGTCTTTCGTCACTCACCAGTCTCACTCTCGGCGAACCAAATTCCGGTCAGTCTTCTAATTCAGAGATCAAATTGCAAGTGCCAAGGAGGCTGTCATCCGTTTTGTCCAGGTATTCCACAACTGACCCATACATGTTAGCAAAATACACGCTAACGAGCCAACGCAACCACTGGCCCGGCCACCAGTAGTTGGTCATGCGGGCACTGCTTTGGCCTATCAGATCTCGTCGAAAGCATGTCCTATTAGGTCCTACTCCTCGTTACAACGCTTGACCATGCTCCTACAATCCGCTTGATTATTGGGAATTTACATCCATGTATGTGATCGGTGAGTGTGTCTGCCACATTCGCTTGTACTGCAAATCTGAAAATTTACAAGTCATCGTCAGAGACCGAATTTCACCGAACCATACCCTACCGTATCAAAGGAACTAGTGGGGTGCGTCTGCTACATGATGCGAATTGGAAAATTGGATGGATCATCAATGTGCGTGTCACTACACTTTTTAGGCCTAGAAAGTCATGCCGCAGTGCATGATCTGGCATTTGTTTCATTGCCGAGAATCAAGTGCACGCACATGTGGCTTTTTTTGGCTGCCCCTCACACTATATGTGTATAAAGCCAGCATACTGACTTTTGACTCAGAAAACACCATCAAGGTTCAGCGATGAAATTCAACTCACTCACCACTGTAGTAATATCTGCCATAATGATGGCTAGCGTAGCTATCGCATCCGACGGCCTGGTGATAACACCCCAGAACCTACCCTGCAGCCCTTCCAGTGAGCACGCTTGCAGCCTACGCGCAGACCTAGTAGACCACATGCTTATGGATATCTACAGACCAGGCGGGGTGCTCGACGGGCTTCAAAGGTTGGAACAACGGCAACGATTTCCGGTTTTACTGTGGATCTAGTGGCAAAATTACATCCTACACACCATGCGATTGTAAAGGTTGCTGTATCGACGCTGACAATGGGCAAGACGTCTTCTGTTGAGCCTGAGTGAGCCTGTCCTTTCCTTTCGACTCAGAGTCCGAGTGTTGATGTGCTCGCTTAGCATGATATGTGCAAGAAGGTGTGAAGGAGTGCTGCGACGCAGTGTCATGAAGTTCAAGGCAATGGTGCCTCATATCCAACCTTTCAATTGAGCCGGTTTACCGTATTGCTTTATGACACTGTATAAGCACCGTGTTTCTTGACGTACCCACCTCGCATTCATAATTGCGGCTACCCCGCTCTTATTTCATGTGTGGACGTGCTTCCATACCTTGAAGCTCCTACAGAGTGTTACACCAGACGAGGATCAAAGGTGGTCTTCAAGCTGTCCGCGTGTATAATGTCGCCAAAGAGCATATCCAGAGATGGCTCGAGACGCAGGATAACAACACCTTGAGGGGAGAGCGCTGAATGTACGAATTCCATTATGGCGTTGTCACAGGCTATGTCTGGCTTCTTCACAAACGAGACAAAACGAGCTTCCGAATTCCGTTTAGTCCTACAGGAGCATGGTATTGACTTGAGGGCCACGACACTTAACGACACAGGTGTCGTGTGGTACAAAGGTTTCCGTTGCGCAATCGCCGAAGTAAGGATTCACTTCGTTTACCACTATGGTCGTATCTGCCGCAGTGATGCCAGTGGCTGGCGTAGCTATCGCATCTAACAACCTGTCGGTAACACCTAAGAACCCACCCTGCAACACAACCAGTGAGTACTTCCGAGTCTGCGGCTCATCTGCAGACCTAGTAGACCGCACGCTGAAGACTGTCCACAGATGAGGTGGGGCGCTCAACAGGCATCGAAGGTTACAACGTCGGCAATAATTACGGGTATTTCTGTGGACCTAAACACAAAATTATATCAATAACGCCATGCTCGTGCAAACATTGTTGTCATATGATTTCACTTGTTCATGATACTTGATGCCCGCTCAACTACACAGTGCCTGAGTGAGCCCGTCCCTCGTCGCCGAGTGCGAGTGCCGATGTACTTGCTTTCGCCTGTGCATAGAAAATCTAGCATGATCTGTGCAAGAGGGCGTGAAGGAGTGTTGTGGCGTAGTATCGGTAGTGCGGCAAGCAGTTCTGGAGCCAACTTGAATTGAATCATGATCACACTGTCTCGTTGTCCAAAAAATCAAAATGATGATTAAGCGCACCAGTGCAACACATATTCGGCGCCCACTTCTGGACGTTGTCGTGCAATCGCGAAAGTGTGCAGCAAGCTGAGATACATTAGTACTGCTCAGACAACGCTAACATCGACCTTGCCGATCCGGCTTATGGCGGCTTAACGCTCGTGCCTCCTCACACCAGAACGGCCAGCAGCTGCAGGATACGAATCTGGGACGCATAAGAATAAGTATGATTCTACTACCTATGTTAGGATAGGATGGATAACAAGCACGTAGCAGTATTCTGGACTGCAGTCTCTGCTTGGGAATTATCCCATGCTCTCATCATCGCCATCCACTTCTCAAACCATTCCCAGAAGGGACCCGACAACTTCCCTCTGTTCCCGTATAGTTCCTTCCAAAGATCGTCCAAAAAGTTCTGCAGTTTGGAGACAAGCATCGAGAAAGCGGAGCGCGGTGCTCGTTGTTTCCGTCTCTCGTCAAATAACAATTGTTCCACTGTTGAGCGGAGTGTACCAAGGGACCTTTCTACTGCACTGCTAGACATTAGGACAGAGCAACAGCATATCACATGAATGAGTACACACTTCGGGTTGCTTGTTTGCAACACTCGTAATGCGTCGCTGATCATTTTGATATCTTCGACAAGAACATTATACGCGTGACTAATTACCACGTGTTCTGTTTCCTTGGAATCCCACTGAGGCACGACGTGACTTATGTCAAAAATGTCGTTCAAAATGACAGATACGGCAGCCTGAGCATGTGAATGAGAAACAGCAGTGTGTGCTACTTTTTCGCGTACCTCAGCAGCTTTCGCAGGGTTTCGCGAGCGACGCAAACCGACTGCCAAACTCGCCTGTATATCTGAGAAAAGTTAATACTAACCGTGACAACGGTAGTCGAGCCTACTAACCTGGAGGCAATGGATCACCCGGAGAGAAATCTCTGCGGCCCAAAACTAACCGAGGCTTCGAACCGTCTGTCTTGCTTGACCTCGAGTGCATTTCCGTCAAGGATATAGCCCTGAAAGGAACGTAGAGAGCGAGATTGACATCTACAAACTCGAGCGCTTCGTTTGTCGACCTGCGATTCTCCGGAATTTCTGACCAACAGCCTTGAATGAACTGCCACTGCTCCCGAGTGATGGATTTGTCGGAATCAGAAGGTGATGCTGGGGCGACTCCTAAAAGCAACTCGACGAGCACATCACTGTCCTTCTTCAAGGTGGAATATGGTTGAGAGCCCGAAAGGACCTGCATATTTTATTGGCAAGGCATGTATTTGTGTGGTGACGGACTTACGAGATAAATGATACTGCCTAGTGAATATCTATCACCGGATATACTTGGCAGGGGCACTTCTCCCCGACTGGACTTTTTGAAAAGTTCGGGGGCAGCAAACCGTATGGCGCCAGATGTTGATAGGCGAAAGTACGACAGGCCTAGAGTTTCTGGAACTAGCACACTGAGACCAGGGTCTGCTAGACTGGCTCTACCAAGCGCATCCACCAGCACGTTATTCTTCAGACATGTTTAGATTGATTTGTGAATTTCATAGGAATGATCCTTACACCGGAAAGATTCCCATGGACAACGCCATGAGAGTGCACTGCCAAGAGGAAACATTGCTCAAGTTCACGTCAAGTATTGAGCGGAAACGTCTAAACGCACAGTAGTGAAGTCCTGAGACGATGTTTTCGAGCTATTGTTCGACAAGCGGGAGGTTTCAGCTAAGTTGTTCATGCAACGAATAAACAACACCTACAAGTTTAAATTTATCTTGCACAGTCAACGCTGGTTTGCACGACAAATATGTCGAGAGGGTTCCGTTTTCTTTCCAAGGATGGACTATGGATACTGTTGGACCGAAGTCCATGACAATGCCATATAATGGAATAATATTCTCGTGTTCAAGCTTCGCCCAAGCATGAATTTGCTGTGACCATCTCTATGTATCATGGTTTATATCGAGGTTTCTGAGAAAGTAAACATCGGTACGTGCTTTGTGCGTTTTGGCGAGTTCACCCTGGTTGGTATTCTCGAGCCGGAACGTCTTCACTGCAACCTGTACCAGCCATATGAGTATCAAAACAGCTCGGCGTGGGGCAAAACGAACCTTCGTGGAGCCGGTGTCATTGAACCATGTACATTTCCAAACATCTGTGACACCTCCTGATGTGGTCGGAACACTTGTGTCGGCAACGACATCGCCTGATAAGTCAATTAAGGCGTGTCTTTCGTTGCTAGCCGAACTAGAGTATCTATAGGACCGTACGTTGCTGGAGGACGACGAAGGGAGTAGAGGAGCCACTGGTGGAGCATAAAATACGAGGCCACTCATGCTGACAGTTTGGAGCGGCCCTATCGTGTCTCCAGTACTTTAAAGGAGAGAAAAGAAACCCCAGCCCTCGCTCATGCGGCAATTCGTTGACCACGCGTGAGCGCCAATACATGGACATGTGAGGCACAGCACGGTTGGACATGGGATGCCGAACACTCAACGTTTCAGATGCCTTTTCATCCAACGTCCATACATGCTTTACCCTCGAGCCTTAGTGCTGAAGGAAGCAAATGAGATCAAACTTTCTGAACACGAGTTCTGTGCTCACCTTGCACCTTATGATACCTTCTAGACAAGACCACATTGAAGGTCCGAGTTTTATTGTTGCCAAGAGAGACCAGGGTGTTTGGGGTCGTATCTGAGTTTAAATTTCAAATACGCAGAAGGGGATGATTGTGTTAACCGCCTCCATCACAACCAGCCTATTCCCACTACCTCCTGCCATTCCTTTCGTCAGACCGCGCGACACAGCGGATACGTTCTTTTTTTTCTAAGGGGGTTTTTATACCCATAGCTAGGCCAAGAAAATCCATACTTCACAGATATGAACAAACGAGGACTGACCTACGTCCGCGTGGGGCATGCTGGTGCACCACAAACGCACCAAAAGCGTTCTTGTAAGTTTACGAATGAATTAAATGTGCATTGCGGTAGATCTGATCCTTCGCAGCATGTGCAACAGGTGGTTTTTATGTCAGCCCCTCTCAGGGTCAAACCGTTTCCAGCAGTAGTTCCTTCAACATCACCTGGGACAAATCCTGCTTGTCCAACACGCAAGCTGTTGATATCTATCTCATCGCGCCCGGTTTGAGTAGCAGCCGTATTCACGAGTGGCAAGATGTGAATTATGCCCTTGGAACCTATCAGACTACCCTTGAGCCCAAGTGGTGGAATGATACCTCCACTGTCAATCTCCAGCTTTCCATCGTCACCTCCAACACACAACCATTCCTTAGCCCCTTTCCCGCGGGCCCTGTATTTACTGCTACATATACCGCACCAACCGACGGCTCCACCCCAGCCAGCGCCGATCTTAGTTCCCCTGGTGGTGTCACTTATGTCGGAAACTTCTCTTCCAGCAGCTCTTCATCTAGCGGCAAGATCGCTGCCGGCGTCCTGGTGCCGCTGATTTTCATCGGATTAGGCATAGCCGTCTATTTCAAGCTAAGTCGCGCCAAATCCAAGGAAAAGAGCAGACGCTTCAGCGAGGCTATCGACAAGCGCATGTCCACAATCTCCGTGGACTGGAGGTCCATGTCTGCTGCTGGCGCTTCGGCAGCTATTCGTCACAGTATGGCAGTTTCAGGTGGAGGCAATCGCAATTCATCATTTTCATTTGGTCCAATTCGTCCCATCAGTACTGCTGCTGTCGAAGGCGCTCCTTCTGAATCCGACAAGGTCAGCATAGACGTGCCGAGTATGTCTCAAATACGTCCCGGCTTGCGTTCTTCTACTCTAGGCGATCGAGTATCGCGAGTATCATTCGCTACGGACGTTCGCCCATCATTGGAGTCTCGTCGCACCGTCGGAACCAGTCGTGCCTTCCATACTGGTATCGTGCCTCCTCTCCCTACCAACGATGATAAGGAAGAGACGGGAGACCTTTCTCCCACACAAACCAGGGGACCCTTCACCCTCACTCCGGATGATATTCGCGCCCGCATGTCCTTTGGTGGGGCATCAGAAGCGCGTCCTAGTGTGGATGAAGTTTGGCAGTCCTTGAGCAGTAAGTTCTTCTGATGACTTCATGTGTGCTTGGAAGTTGACCTTTCAAATAGTGATGCGCACAGGAAATGAAGCCAGTGGAGATGATTATTTGCTGCCCCAGGAGCAGATCCAAGAGCAGACCGTTGACATGCCTCTGCCTCCCGTTCCTGCACATCCCGCCCCCGAATCAGGACTCCCTATGATGCCCATGCCTGCCAGCGTCATGTCTCCAGACGAGATGCTCCGCGCCTATGCAGATCGGAAGATGAAGTCCCCTCCCCCTACCGGTTCCTTGGCATTCCCTGTTCCAGCTGCCAGCTACAACAGCAATGGTATGCGAACGCTGTACACTCCCAGCCTCTCCACCCAAGAGGGGGCCGAGCAAAACAATCGTTTCACTCAGGCCTACGATGACCCTTACGCTGGCACCGCTACTTGATCCTGTAGATCTCCGGTCTGATAGTGTGGCCTTCCGTAAGATAAGGATGTCACTGGGCTATCGCGTTTCAGTTCCGTGACTCGGTTTTATGACGCTTCTGTACTTTTGCAATGTTACGTTTCCTATCTGATCCCCCTTTTCCTCTTCCAGAATCGTTATCGATACGTGCGTTCCGTCAGTGGTTCTTATTGCTTATCTATTCCCTGCGTATTCCTTCATACCCACGTCATCGCCTCTCCCCATTGTTTTAAAGTTACTTCTTTTGGTCCCCGGCGATAGTGATTAGGACCTTGTATTCGCTTTGTCACGGCACGCCGCTGGACTGGTAGCCTTTGACTACACATGATTACCCACTTGTGATTGTCGGCCTGGAGCTCAACGTTTGTGTAGACAGCCGATCGTCATCTTGTTCTCTCTTGTCGTGATATTTGACCAGTATGTGTATTGAAGTCATTCACATGTGTTACTTTGCATGCATGTTTGCAGATTCCTGTGGCTTCGCCACTCGCTCACAGGAGCTTTGGTCTATCGATAAGACAATAACGCTGTCGTGGAATGTCACTCGTCAATCTGAAAGCTCCTTCCCTCCGTCCTTGAGGGTCCTGAGCTCACTTCGCCATGGCTCCCATACTTGTCCGTATTTCTTGAGCAGTGCTGCCAGCTCTTCCCGCTGTTCCCTCTATATCCGAAATGAGTAAGCGTCACTGACTGATCCTTCAACTCACTATATTCCAGGGTTCTTCCGCGTATACATCAGCGAACAAGTCCTTCAGCTCAGGCTTTTTGACAGGCTCGGCACGCTTGAATGCCTTGATCACATCCCGTCTCAGGCGGAACACGAGCTCCTGCTCATCCATGTCGTTCCACCATCCCCGTGATTCCATGAATAGGCGGAAACGCGTGATAGGGTTATCATTCTTTTTCCTGTCTTCAACTTCCTGGCGCTCCCTATAAACATACGAATCGTCCGACGTCGAGTGATGGCCAATCCTGTAAGTCATCATCTCAACTAGAACTGCCCGACCACCTTCCAAGCACCGCCTTCGTGCCTCCTTGACAGCGCTCAAAACAGCGAGTACATCGTTTCCATCTACACGAACGGTATCCACACCATAACCTGCGAAGATCGATTACTATTCACACATGCGCGCGGCATGTGATCAAGTTACCTGGGCCTCTTGCGCTGATACCATCGCCGTAAAATTGTTGCGAGTTCGGGGTGCTGATCGCAAACCCGTTGTTCCTTGCCAGGAACAATGTCGGTGAAGGCACCGTGGAAGCAAAGAGCATTCCAGCATGGAAGTCCCCCTCTGACGCTGCGCCTTCCCCGAAAAACACGCAGGCAACATTTTTGGAGCGTCTCGCTGGGTCACGTTTGAGTGCAAACCCAACTCCAGCAGCTTGTGGTATTTGAGTTGCAAGTGGAGAAGATATGGTGTGGAAATGATGTTCCTTGGAGCCGTAATGCTAAGAGAGCGCCAGTAGATACTGAGCAAGGCTTCGAAAACGACAAGACTAGGGGACATACCACAGCTATCTGGCGGCCTTTGCCAGAATCTTCGTGGTTTCCGTAAACCTGCGCCATGATACCGTCAAGATGGAAACCACGCCACAAGAGCACCCCCGTTTCGCGATACTGTGCTATAGCAGAATCAGTAAAAATACAAGTAAGTGATGAAGAAATTAGTCCGACATAAAACTCTGGAAACAAGAGTGCCTCATTGTGAACTCAAACGAGACTTCGACTCCGGATAAGCTTACTCGTCATCATCAGCCAGTGCTGCAGCAGAGCCGATTACAGCAGCCTCTTCTCCATACTTGAGGGGTCTGAGGGTTAGCGACTTGAGTTGATATTGCACAATTATCTTACGGAAGTCGCCTAAACTTAAGCCGTGTAAGGAAATATCTCAGGGGTGTTCTTCTCCACGTACATAGAAGGGTATTCTGCCTTGGCGTTGACCACTGCAAAGTATATCATCGATTGTAGGAAGCAACTGCATGTTTTCATATCTGATTCAAGGCTGTGTGAGCTACAATCTGGAGTCACTGCGAAACCAACCCACAATCGCCGCGCGAACTGTTCACTGATCTAAACAAACTTCAAGATCAATGGGTCCGTTTGGAGAGTGGGGGGTTACCTCAGGCACTTCCGCGCCCTCTATTGGAGTACCAAGGGCATCAAGAACTCTATAACTTGGTATTTTGCTACCGTCGCCAGTTACAGAATTGAAGAACGCTAGCTTTGATACGACTGGTGAATGCGTCGTGGGTAGGCAGCCTAATGAAGAAGAGGCAGGTAAAGTTGAGAGTGTCCGACCATTTGCATAAACACTTTTCAGCAGAGAGGAATGTCTGAATGGGATGGAACGCAGCATTTGCGCTGATACTGAGTGGATACAGGTCAAGAGCCTCACCGGGCTTGGGGTGTTGTCGATAGTGGGGACATCAGACCGTGACGGTTGTAGGTCAATATCGTAAACTTCGAGTCCGCCACCCGCATTGTTACTTAAAAATTACCTCATGTCATGTTTTGCCCGGACATCCTCGGTTTTCCTGAGCGTCGCTTTGTCAACCCGAAGCCCGTCCTCACTGGGATTCCGGATGTGTCCACAGCCGCACAAGTCGTGAGTGCAGATCCTGGACCTAACGTGTAGTTTGGATGATATCCTATCGATTTCATCTGGGATCTGACTCACGCCCCCCGGGAGTGTATGATCATCAGGACAGACTGAACCGTTGGCATTATTCAGAACGCGATGAATGTTTTTTTTTTGGTGAAAACTTTGATCGCAAGAGGTTGATCATACCACTAGGTACAAAGATTCGAGATGCACCCGATGATCCAATACGGTAGATCCTGGTGGCACCCGCGATTATGGTTTAACCTGCCAAAACACTCTGCCAAACCTCCGCGTTGCCTCCGCGCTGCAATTGAGTGGTGTTTAACCTGCAATGCCATGTCATGGTAAGGAGGCATGTTGCACTGTACAGACTTGGAATACTTACTGCATCCTCAAAATTAAACCCGGTCCTCCGGGATTGAATAGAATTGATTGAAGATCATTCCAATTGATGTCATAGTCGTCGACTCGTTGGATCGTCGAATACACTTTTGAGAGCCTGGGAACATGACTCGGACTCGGAGCCTCGAAGGCGATGTCGGACAGAAACATACACCGATACACAGACCGAGAGGATCGTCACCTACCGTCACCTCCTACCAGTTACCAGTACTAGATGACGAGCAGGCTACCAAAACTGGTCGCTTTCGATCTAGAGTAAAGGGCGCTTCCCATCGAGACTCGATTGTGGGCTGATCATTGCAAAACATGCAGCTATACCCTTTGGGATTTCTGGGTGGATACCCATGTACACCCTCCATTGAAGCGAGACCACGTCACTGGCAAAGTCATTGATAGTCAGCGCAAGCCCAAGACAATCGACTTCTACAGGGATGTGCCACAGATCATGCATCGCCTACAAGCAGCCGGCGTAACGATCGCTGCATGCTCGCGGACAGATGCGCCGTCATTGTGAGTGATCTGAACGACTCGACTACTGCTAGTAGTTCTGCACTAATAGATTGTGCCCTAAGAGCTCGTGAAGCCTTGGGTCTCATACTTATACCCCCGAAGTCCGGTAGCGATAGCAGCGCGAAACCAATTCCAGCGATCAAGTTTTTTGACCAGCTGGAGATTTACCCATCTTCCAAGATAAAACATTTCAAGAAACTTCATGAGAAGACTGGGATACCCTATGAAGAGATGGTAAGTACTGAATGTTACACAATCAGGTTGCTGTCATGTACGTTTGAGTAGCTGTTCTTCGACGACGAATGGAGGAATCAGGAAGTAGAAGAGCTTGGTACGTGAACTTACGAAATCATGAACGCGTTCAAATTAACGTTAAGTTATACCAGGCGTGACATTCACGCTTGTCCCAAACGGTCTCAATGATAGAATTCTAGAGAAGGGGCTAGAGGAATGGAGAAAGAGGCACCCTGTTAAAGTTGCTGAAGACGCTGTGGGAGCAGATGTCACTCTTATCTAACAGTGTCAATATTGTGTCGGGACAGCGTGACATCTCAATCGAATTCATGGTCTCAGTGAGAGAAGTAGCCACACTGCCTATCTGAGTTGATCGTATCAACAAGTATAATGGACGGTCCAGATTCCATGAGCGGGGTTTCCCCTATGATGAACTTAGAACTTGATATCTATTCCCCGTATGTCAAGCCTAGAATGTTCTCGACTGAACACAATGAGTGCGTACACCGGGGGTCGTGGTGAGCGTTCAAGATGGTGTGGGGAGTAACGAGGACAACGCGATCATGTCGCGAGGATATCATGTTCTGTAAGAGCTTCAATAGTTATTGTTCAGAGCTGAGTCCATAGACGACTATGTCTCGGTCTTTCCCGTCAACAGCGGCGCAGACCGGAAGCCAAAATCACGCAATTCTAGCGTCCACGTAGATAGCTCGGGCAAGAAGCAAGGTCACAAGGAAGGACACTTCCACCGAAATGAATGCGCAAGGGGTGAAGTCGCAAACAAAAACGCCCGTGCTATGATGCGATTGGTGGGGATGTAGAGGAGTGATTGAGAATGGCATTTGGTACATGTTACAAGTGTGGTCCGTCCGTCACAAGGTGAACCGCCTGTTTGGGGATGCAGATCAGTAGCTGAACTGGAGTGCTTGTGATGAAATAGAGTAGGTTTCAACGTACATGGCTCCCAGATAAGGGGCAAGGAGTTGGTTGGGAGGATAAGCTCTGCTGGCTTCATATCCGCAGTATCTTCCCTCAAGTAGAGATCATTAAGACTGCCACAAACAGACCCACGAGCGTAAATGGCGCGAAAACGTCCTGAACTGACGCAGTCCAAACTCATCTTGGACAACGATAGTTCCGGAACTGAATACAGCTACGCAATTTGCGTTCCACAGGGAGAAACGGTACGAACTCTGCCGAAGGTGAGGGCAGGGCTGCGCGAGAGCTATAAAAGACTGTCTGCATGTACTCCCTTCGACTACCACAACCACACCCTCACTCATAATTCTTCTCCCGTGCAAATAATACACGATGGCCGCTGCAAGAAAAGCTGCTAAGACTGGTATGCCCAATCGTTGTTTTTGTTAGTGTGGTGTCTGACAGATATTTTGATATTTTTTACAACCTTCTATTATTTGGCTGGGACGACTGTTGATGTGCAGGCGCTCCCACCACCGGTGGTGCTGCTTCCGGAGCCCCTGCACCAAGTCCACCCGCCGGCAAGGGTGCCCCTGCACCAGTGTGTAATCTGTCCAATGATTATTGACCCTCGATTAATTTTGTCAATCTTACAGAGTAAAGGCGCCAAGCCTCCTGCCGCAGAGGCCCCTGCTGCCAAGGCAAAAGCCAAGGTCCCGAAGAAGAAGTAAACCTCGCGCACTTTGTGATGTTGTGTTTGGAAGCAGCAGGATGATAACTGTGATGATATTAGACCAAGCGCTCCGAGAATGCATATGTACACGTGCCGCAGCGCATGAGATTTAACATATGGAATTAAGGCTGTGCCACAAATGCTCTCCGATACCTGTGCTGGGCGCGTAAACGTTTCGAGTCAGTGGGTCCTGGCCTTTTGATCAACAGGCGCTTCAAGCTTCAAGATCCACAAGTTAAATTACCGAAGCAGAGAAGCTATATCATGATGAGCGCCAGGGAAATTGATGTATGAGCGCCAGTCGATGCCCACCCCCACTATATATGGACTTCTAGCACCAGTGCAAGAAGCAGCCTGAAAATGGCTATGCTTGTAGTTGTAGGCCCTTCGGAACAAGGAAAAGTGGCGCTGTGACATAAAAGTTACGTAAGCAAGCATTGCCTTGTGAAACGCACGACAACAAGCAAGCGAACCAAAAGCGAACTATTTGTAGTCCATTTTCACTACCCTCTCTTCGACGAACGATTCAAGCGCTTCAGCTACTGGTTTAGCTCCCACTTATACCCGCCGTTGCTGAACTTGTATATTCGCTCAGTGGAACAACAATAGAGCTGACAGACTGATCTTTACCACCACAACTCGTAATGGCTCCGACTTGTCCGTCTGACAACACATTAGCCGTCGACCAGTCCAGTTTCTGGAGCTCTGGGAATTTAAACTGGGACGAACATCGAATAGGATGGGCGATCGCAGGAGGATGTGCTGTGCTAGTGTGTTCATCGCTGGTTCATATTCATCCTGACCATTTATCATTAACTCCACGCAGACAGTTATTATTTCGATGATTACAGTATTGCAGCATTGCCGGTAAGGTGCCATGAAATTCAAAAATTATTTTCTGATTGCAATTCGTTACTTTAGAAATTATAACAAACCCAACGAGCAGCGTCAAATGTGCGTGCGTCACTTCTTCCCCGAGTGTATTTCTTCATGCGCTATTATCTTTTTAGTTTGCGAATCCTATACATGCCACCAGTATATGCTGTTATTTCATTCTTTTCCTACCGATATTTCCGGAGTTACACATACTACGCGCTCATTGAAGTCGGTAAGTTGTCGTGGCAAGCCTGTAGTATACTGAATTGACAACGCTCCGATTCTTTTAGCATACGAGGTAAATGATTACCATGCACACCATATTTGTCCTTCAACTCATAAAGACTTGCTCAGGCTGTCACCTTGAGTGCATTCCTGTCTGTGATCTTGATTTGATTTGATAGACGCCTTGCTTACATGTTATCCCTATGCCAGACTCCTCCTGATCGAATTCGTGGCAGCCACGGCCGCAGGTGGCGATGCTACAAAGGCAATTGAACGAAAGGATAAAAGGCCTTTACCGCTTCCTGTGCGTATTTTCGTTTGACATTCTTTACAACTTCATGCCAATCTCGCCTGTAGTTTTGCTGTTGGAGATACCGACCCACAAAGGTATGCTATTGCTGATGCCTTAGAAGCGTTTCTCTCATGCTCTTTTTCAGCCTTACTTCATGTATACCCTCAAGGTAAGCCGCTTACTAATTGCTTTGACAAACACCCATTTTTAGTGTAGTGGTCAGTTTTACAATACGTTGTTATCCGTCCAGGTGAGGTCGAACTAGTCCACACACAGATAAGCATCTCACGTTGCAGCAGCTGTTTCCATTGCTGGTATCGTCTGTCAAGTATACAACGTGCTTTGCGAGTCTGGCCCTTACAGCATATATTATGCCAATGTCTATCTCGAGGCTGTTGATTTCGTCAGCATAACGTATGTCCATCATGATAGATGTCTGATTGATAACATATCGTTGCGTGAATAGTGTGGCACTCTACGGGCTCTTTCTGTTTTACGGACTCACCAAGGAGGAACTGGAGGGGCGACGACCACTGGCTAAATTTCTCTCCATCAAGCTTATCGTGATGTTCACCTTTTATCAGTCGTTTGTTGTGAGTTCTTCCCCCCTTTCTAATTGTTACGTGACTTTACCCTTGAATCGTGTTTAGTTTAGCTCGCTAGAAGGTCGCGTTATCAAAGGTGTGTTCTTTTCAGAATCACGACTTACTCCACGTTGACACGAGCGCCGAAGCCACCCAATACTGGACTGCGGCCAATATTTCAGACGGTCTTAATGCGCTGGCCATATGCATCGAGGTAAGTCATTATCGTGAATACATTCCGGGCACCTCGTTGATTATAACGCGACAGATGGTTTTCTTCTCAATATTGATGATGTGGGCATACACAGTCAATGAGTACAAAGTGCCAGGGAACAAGACAACAAGCATATGGCGCCCATTATGGGACAGGTGCGTTTATGTTCCGCGACTGATGAATATCTCAATTGCTGATAACTTCATAGCATCAATTATTGTAGGCGCTCGATGATATCTTTCTAAATTCTTGCCTAACATGCTACCAGGGGATTTCGTTACAGAGATAGGAAGCTCGTTCAAGTTCTTCTTTAGCTACGCCCGCGGCGCCCCGTCAACCCACTCAAGTAAGAAGATGAATTTTGCACAGGCATTTGGGGTCGACGGCAAGTCAGTGGCAGATGGCGATAAGTCACTGACTGAAGAATCAATACGGCTAGCTCCATATCCCTACAGTGATGCCCGCAATGCAGACAGCGCCAGTCCCGTGCCGTAATGAATCGGGCCAAATCAAGCTGGACTTGTCGTGATACCATGCGTCACATATTTCCAAGGACATCTTCATTACCCAGATCTGCTGGAGTCTCACTTTATTTGCTTGCTTTTATATATCCACGATCTTTACTTGTGTATATCTGTGCTATCAACCGTTAATACGTCTGACTACGCGACACCACGAAAGTTCGGCCTCTACGAACATATCCACGCACATGTACAATATTGTACAATACTACTCTGTACAGTAAGTTGGGTCCACATATATATCTGGCCACGCCAATGACACCAATACTCGCGAGTTCCGCAAGAAAACTTACCCTTCATTCACAGAGATTTAACCAGTGTATAATAGATATTGGCGAGAAGAATATCTCCGAGGACTGCTATTCAATACACCCGTACGGAAAATTCACTGACGGAGAGTTTATTGGTAACTGTAAACTCGCGGGAACCACACTTACTCACTACTTACCGCAGGGCTTCACCCAACGTCTTTCATGCCAAATGATGTCACCAGATCAGATACACTGTCAGCTGTACTCTACAATTGCCGAGGTTCAAGTTCTAGACAACTGAAATCCTACCGACGGGCAATTTTTCTAAATAGCTCTGCCAATAATTTCACCGAAAGCTAAGGTGTCGCGTGCCTGTGCTACTACGGGAGCTGTCGCTAAATGCATGCATCAATACCGTTGCAATGCTGAATATATTCCTCAAACCACTATTCCAGGGAATAGCTAACATATCACTGGGCGAAGACAAGAAAGTCCCACATGTCTAAAAATACCATCAGCATGTACCAAGGAAACTCGGGGGTTAAGGGGAGTTGGAAATCGGAAATCAGAGTTCAGAGAATCAAGGTGATGCCTTGCAAGAGCCATAGGCTGCGGCGTTTGCTCGTGGCTGCATGCCGGCGTTTGGAGACTCAACGTAGTGTTGCAGTCCATCCAGCTTCCAAGTGCTGCTTGGCAAATGGAACAAATGCAAAGACAGGCGCCATGATGTAACTGATTATCATGGACGTTCAATTAACCTATGCCATAGATGACTTAGATCGATTGAATTGAATTACGAAAAGTTTAATTACTGGATGGTGCATCGGTGAACAACAAGCTCCTGACGTCTGTTGCTTCCTCTGGCTCAGTGAAGTTGATCAGGACGCCCCACTAGTGGAATCTGTCTCGAAACGGTTGATGGCATAGAACGATCAAAATAGCCATGTGGACGCTCTACCCAGATTCACAGCATCTACCATGTTATCGCAGCGGTAAACTATGGATGGTCAAACGAGAAGAAATATGGAATGGCAGAGAGCGATAGGTGATCGGATAAGTGTTATGAAAGGTCAAATTTCAAAACCGCTTCCTGACAGTCAGTCCTCCCACAACATGAAGTATCGGAAATCATACTAACTAGATATCGCTCATCGGAGAATGAAGGGCACTAGATACGCAAAAGCAGATAACTAGCTGAGAGTGTCTCAGTAGTGATCATGAAATATATCAGGATACCGTGAATCGCGGCGCACCAAATGTATGAAAATTCGAGCAGATGGCGAGCTGAGCGATACGGTTGATCGCCCGATCATCGACTTAAAAGCCAGCTACGAGGTCTCCACGAGGCTGGCTGCGCTTTAGGGCTGTATACACGAGGACCTTACACCTAGGTTTAACTGCGGTCCGGACAATGCATAGTAAGTGACGTCTAAATTCAAGTCGAGCGCCAACCTGTAAGGAAATTGTAAAAAGCCATGTGCTCAAATTACGACCGCATACATTAGCCACCAAGTTCGAATCTCAGACTGGAACCCTCACAGTCTCGAGGTAGATAATTGCATCGCGGCCACTAGGGTGAAGCAGGAAACCCAGCCTGATTGGACAACTTGAGTAGTCACTAGTCAGTGGTCACTGGTCAGTTACTAAAATAGTAATCACGGCCAAAGCCGATTCAATAAGGCAGCTTCCATTTGAGCAGCTTGCGTAGGTTGGTGTAGTACAGTCAACCTCACAGAGGTATATGATTGCAAACGGGCAAACTGGCAACTCAGGCGGACTGATGATGTTCAAACAGATCTACGACGACCTTATAACAAAATGCTAAAAAGCTCTTCAAGTTCAACGGCTGCGTGCTGCATCGTGGTAAGATCAGCGAGTTTTGGCGCCTGCCTGTCACACAGCACTGAGCAGCATGTTACTGCCTTGATACAGCAGCACACTGCCTCGAGTCTTCTATATAAACCTCCAGTTTGTGGCTCACTCGCAAAGCCTACTTGCCATCGCAAATGTGGTCCTGGAACACGCAGCCGAATTCCCATGCGCAACGCAAGTTTATAGAACTTATATTCGATCGGACAGGAAAGTATGCCAACTGGGACCCACCCTCCGAAATCCAAGTGCGTAATATCAGTGGCTTAAATTTCCATCCGTTCTATGTTAATCTCGAGCAGGTTGGGTCGTACGGAAGGATCAACAGAGCCACGGGAAACTTGTCCGTCGAAGGCAACATCTACTCAGATAAATTCAGGCAGCTTCTCGTCGACGCAGGTATCGACCCTGATTCTGACGAGCATCATGCCAAAGACTGTCCGGATGAGTCTGAATTCACGACTTGGTCTAAAAACGTGAAACGCATCGACTTGAACGCCGAATCTCATGCGTGCGTTCCCACTCAGCGTTCGATCCTCTTGTCTTGATTCTGATATCGTGTTCTGGTTGGTTCCACCAGAGGCATACCTGAGATAGCTTCGGCTAGTATCAAAGGGACGTGGCAGGTTAAGAAAGGCACCACTGGCGCTGTATTGCTCATGAACAACCCTCGCATGAAACACATTACTTCCGACGTCCTTGGGAAGCTCGCGAGCATCAAGCTTCTTCAGTCCATGCATCTCGTGACGAAGGTGTTTTATTGTCCTGCCTTTTCCTTGTACCTCTCCGATACAAGTAAGTGCGCTATCCCATCGGAAAGAAGAAACACTTACATAGGTGCAGGCGGCGAAAAGATCACCATGGCTCTTCTGGCTTCCGCGCCCATTGTAGCGCCCGTGGGCACTCTTGAAGCAAGGGCTTCGATGAGATGGTGGAGTGACACACAAACTGGATTGGCACGCCACGGATGCAAGACGGAGCATTGCTTCACCCCTTTGTATGAACTCTTGCATGTCAGGCACCCTCGTAACAGGCGGACGTCGCCATCCCCGGAACGCACAGGCGAACAGTTGTGAGAACACTCATTGCTCTGTCAGGCTGACGTCTTGGCTAATCAAGGGACATTTTAGGTGGGTTCCCCCTCCCGTCCCGTGGGCACCTCTCCTTGAGGATGGCACAGAGGTGCCGATATACATTAACGTGAGTATCACATCTGACTGCCCAATTTTCATCGTTGACGACTCCTTGCACAGGAGAATACGGATTCCAGTGACTCTGAGGAGGAATAAGGTCATCAAGAGCATACCAGCAACAAACATGACTGTCATACGGACTGCGCATTGTAGATACCTTCAATGTAACCACTCTAGTACCTACAGCAAGTTGAGTCTGTCTGAAACTAAACACGCATGTGAGGAGTCGGTATGATTGCGGAAGTGCGAGCCGGCTGGCTAGAAATTTCACACCCCGTTGCAGCCTCGTTGCAAAGTTCACTGGCATGCCAGGAGGCCTGAGGAATCAGAATCGATCGAGGCCTTTGGATCGATGAAATAAAAACTTTCGATACCGACCTTTTAAGCTTCAACAATCTATTGCGAGTGATCACTGTTGCCCATGGATGGACAAGTTGAAGCACTACACGACTCCGAAGTTGAACATCGCGGAATATACACGTCTTTGCCGGAAGATGCACAATTGTGCTACGAAATAATTTGGAAGATGAATAAAAAATTATTATTGGAACTAGAAAAAGATGGTCCAAGAGGACGGGAGGGTTATGACAAGGACCTGCGAGGATGGAAGATACAGGCCGAAAAGCTCGGCAACTGCAAACCTGGAGCCAGGAAACTGGCATTTATTGGCAGGACCGGAGCTGGCAAAAGCACTGCTATCAATGCGATATTGGGCGCGCCAGTTTTATCAACGCGAGCTGACGTGAGTAATGATTGTTACCTATTACTACTACCGTTAAGCTTGAGCGCTTACTGATTGGAACTACTGAACTGCACTTTTGCAGGGGTCAGCCTATTCATTACTACTTACCCTTATCAATTCTGACGCTTTCTGCACCCTGCGTGGGTAGAGCATGCACATCTGTCCAAACAGAAATTATCTACGAAGATTTGCCTCCCTCAACATGGAGAGCAAGCATAAAATTCATCGAGAAAGATGAGTGGAAAAAAGTGGGTATTCACTTTTTTTTTTTTCATGCTCCAGACATGCGTGTTAATATTTTACAGACTCTGCACAATCTTGTGGATGATATCTCGTAAGTGTTTACTCAAAAAGTTTGGTTTCCGCTAAAATTCATGACACGCAGCGCTGTCTGTGAAGGTGATCCTTTGAACATTGCGCGTGGCAACCGTGATGATTTCAGGCCTGCGTTGGATGCGTGGGACATTTTGCAAGAGGAATGTCTTGGTTTTTTTCTTTCGATGCTATCTGGCATATACTGATATCGCTGTTGGTGCAGGTTTATCCCCAGTAAGTCACGACTTCAAGTTGAATCTTCATTTACCAGTGTTTTCTGCAGCCTTCGTGGACTATCGTTCCCCCCGCCTCATCAAGATGTACATGCGCTTCTTCAACACGAGGCCATATCACCCGTCCTCGGAAACAGCATTCAGATGACAGACACGGGCTTTGACAGTCTGGAATCGCAGGAAAGTCGGCAATCACCATTCTGTGCTCGATTAATTTTTCTAAACCACGTACAGCTTCGGCGATTTTTGACTTCGTGTGTAAATATGGAACAGCCGGTGCGTCACACAAGTCTTGAAATTGTCGATAACCCTGTGATCATTCAAGGTCCTCCAGCCGGAGCCATCCGTCTGGCATTTGGTGGACAGGTAGGCATCTCAACAACACTGATTGTGTGGTGTCCTCACCTTCACTTTTAGTGTTCGCATCTACGGGGCGTTTGACGTGCTTGCATCCGGCGCAGTCACGCTCGTGGATGTCCCTGGTTTTGGAGATGCCAATAAAACGAGGTATGTACTAGTATCGATAATTTTCTTGCGCTGACAGTATCTTCGCAGAACCAAGCGAACTAAGGAATACCTCAAAAACGTTGAAGTCGTTATACTAGGTTTGAAAAGCAAGATGGATGGCTTTCGTCTCTCCGCTAATGAATATTTGTATCAGTTGCAGATATAAAGCGGGCAGCCGATGACCAGGTAAATTTGACAAATATACTGGTCTTCACTTGACTTGTTAATTCGATTGCTAGGCCATGCATGACTACTTTGAGAAATTGTAAGTGCTCGATAACTTTCTAGAACTGTATACTCACGTGTTATAGCTTGCACCAAATGATCGCAATAGACGGACGCATAGAATCGCTGTTGGTCGTGCTCACCGGTGCGGACGTATGTTGCCGTTCTTTTCCCTCCAAGTTGTTCCATCTACCTCACACTTATACCAGGTACGAATTAACGAGGACCAGCTGCATCATCTTGGTTTAAAGCAACGCCAGACAATTCAGAAAATGCGCCAGGTGAACTAGCTAAGTTTCAGGTTGACACCAGCTTCGCGGCACTTATGCATGTAGTAGGAGATTGTCCATCTCAGCGAGAGCCTGCACGAGCGAGGCAAACTATATCACGTTCTCTGTGCTGAGTTCTTCGTGGCTCCGATAGACCATCCCAAGTTTATGGAACTAAAGAGCCGTGTAAAGTCCACCGAAGAAATGGTTTGACATCCATTTACCTTGAGTGCCGGGTCTGACCTAATTTGCAATGCAGAGAGACAAAACAGCCAGTCAACTACAACTGGCCAGGGCTGCCAAAGACACATACATCGCAGTGCGTATACCTATTTAGTGCCTTTATATTTGCTCATGGGCATTTGGTCAGCACCAAAGATCTGCCCGGGCACGAGATGTCTTTCTGCGGCTCTATCGTCAAGTGTACTGCAGCATAAAGCAGGTTCATAACTTGACTTTTTGAAATGTGCTGTAGTCAACCCTTCTTTTGTTAGGACTCTGCCAGTGAACCCCCTCCGCTGCCTATTTTCTGCATCGGAAGCATGGACTACACCCAACTTTTGGTGACGAATAAAGAAGACCGAGCTCCGGTAGTTTTTACTGATCTCGAAGATGTTTGTCTCACCTCTGACCAACCAAAATATTGTTTATTGATTGTTCTCTAGACTGGGATACCACAATTGTGTCGTTATATTCACGACTTTGGTTCGAGGACAGTGATTTCAGATATCACTACCCACGCACATAAGTCCACTTTACTATGGGAAGAAATCGAGAGCTACTTTCTTTCTTCACGGCGAGATTCGAGGCTTACAGCATACGAGGATGCAGCAAGAGGCCTGGTGGAAGCTCTCAAAGATGTAAGTCACATATTATTGCTTTATAGCACGAATATAATACAAGTAAAAGGCTGTTGACGAGACTCTCAAAACATCAGGAGCCAAGCTCGACAACAACATGAACGAATTGGAGCAAGCTCTTCGAATTGAAGCCGAAAAGGTGTGCCTCGTATGAAGTGACTGGTTAATGCTCATGAAATATTGACCGCATACTAGGCAGCTGAGCGCAGTCTCAAGATCATCAAGACACTCGGAGAGAATCATCAATGGCGCAGCTACCGTTCTCTCATGCGCCGACAGGGTGAATGGCGATCAGTAGATCTCAACGAAGACCTCGCCCATGGAATTTTAGAGGGTAGCGCATCAAGGTTTGTCGCTTCGCAACAGTAAAGCTACTCATCTGAAGTCTCGAGGCAGTGCATGGCATAGGTTATTCAACGATTTTCTGAAAACGGAGCTACGTTCACTCATCGTGGTAAGCACCATTGTGACGCATGATTTATGATCTATTGATTTGATTGAAGGTCATCTCCAATCATTTTAACGAAACTATCCAATCTATCAGTAAGTAGCCTAATGACGGAGACAACCTGAACACCAACCTCATTTCTGCACAGAGAACCGAGCCCAACGAACAACAGCAATTGCACCACACATCGACAATGCATGTAATTTTATACATCCATCGGACACAATCGATCCAGCACGAGAACAGTATTTATCAACCGTTTTGACGATGCAAAGGTAAGGCCTTCCGTCGTCATCATGATCTGTTTACATATCGGCTGTGTCATCGCAGGGAATTTTCCGGGTCCTTGAAGGGACTTCTCCGTGCCGCACTGGAGGACCATTACCATGTCGTTGGAAGGGAATCTGGCGCTGGAACATTCCAACGAATGAAGGTGGGTTCGTGAGTATGTTCAAAAATGCTGTCTGACATCATGCCTAGCGTTTGAATGAGGAGCGGTTCAGTCCAAGAAAAGCCCAAGAGTTATATGCTAGAGTCATCGATCAAGTCATGACAGCCGTCCGCATGGCAAGGAATAGGGGGGAAGCAGCACTTGATGAAGCACTTGCTCGGTTGTATGCCACCATTGATCGTTCTCTCGTCTGTATGTCATGGCTGCCTTTAATTTCAGGCATCAACTGATTTCGGGGTCAGGCGTGCAGGGAGACGATCAAATATGCAAGGTTACCCGGAGGAATATGCAGAAATTCCTTGACGAAGAATACAGTGCACCACTGGCAGTGGTGATGGCCATCATGGGTAGGTATAAAGAGCGCGACACACAACCAATAGAAGCGGCGATGGCGATCATGGATAACACACACCAGTGAGGCTTGAAATCGTACACGGAAACCAGAAGAGGTCTTAGAGAGGGAGAGTACTATAAAATTACACACAAGTGCACCAACGACGGGTCAAGGCGACTGTATCATGTATTGTTGTCGAGTTCAGGACGGTTGCCGACATGCGGAGCCCCGACGGGGCTCGGCACCTAGTAGCAGAATGATCAGTCCTGGTCGTCCTGGTATTCACTAGCAGGTACCAAGATAATCAGATTGACAACTTGAATACTTACCTATGTCGAAAACGACCGAAACAGTTATTATTGGTGGTCTGGGAACAAGCTACGAGACCCGCCGTGAAAATTACCGGTGATGGCGTTCCCACCGACTTCATGAATGATGCCAGTAAGTGGTCTTTGAAATATTGTATGACTAGCGTTGTGCAGCACATCCTCAGCCTGAGCTGTACGTGACATCATGCATCAATTTAAATGCACCGTAATCACTGTGAGTGAAAACGATTGTCGAGAATCCGACTTGGTCGACATGGAAGCTCGAGTCAATAATAAACCTATGTCGTGGTGATTCGTCGGCGAATAAACGGAATTATTGGAATTGAAGAAGCCAAGAATCAGCGTCGTCAGACGAGATAAATATGAATGAGTGGGAGGGAGTGTACTATACCGGTTCATTCGCGAGTCTATCAGTCTAGTGACCGGCTGTTCATACCCACGGATGAGCCACTGCCGACAGGATACCGAAGTTTTCGAACTGCTCCGACGGTTCGAGTGATAGAGTGGCTTTCATCGTCGATTTCCTTCAAGTAGACACTGTAAGGCAGTGATGGCATGAGAGACTTGCACAGATCCAAATTCGTCACAAAGTCTAATCTCAGCGATTACTTCTACATCACAGTGCTTACGCGTATAATCTATAGCTAATGCAGTCCGATCCCAAGGCTGTCCTGTCTGCCCCAAATTAATAAGAAACAGTATCCTAAATAGTGGGCACAATTTTCCGAATATGAGCTGGCACAAGCTCGGCAGGTAAAGGCGCGATCTTATCAAGCGGTGCGCGTTTCGCAAGTGCCAACAATGTCAACCGCAGCTTCTTAGCCACAGGGTCCTCTTCTGCCCTATCCACATCCATCCCATCGGCCTCCTCAACCTTCACACCGTCGTTTTGTTGGATTTTCCGGTCCAGCTCTTCCAGCGCTTGAACGGCACACTCCAATGCCTGTTCCAAAACCGCGGGACCCTCGGGAATTCCGAGTTCACCTAAGCCAGCCTTCTCCAGCTCATCCGGAGATCGGATGAGCGCTGCCATATCCAGCTGCTCGTGTTGCAATTCCTGTATCAGACGGAACGCCGTTGGCCGGAATGTAAGGCTCGCTACCATTTGCGCTTCCATCGCCGGTGAAAGTGGCTCTTGCAAGACTGAGTGCAGGTACGCCGCCGTAGTGCAGAGCAGCTCGTGCCGGCCACGAGTAACGACATCAACCAGATGTTTCTCCACATATCGAGCGACAGACGTGCCAAGGGGATGAGTATGCTCTGTCTGGTGCTGCATGTCATGTGAGCGGTTAAAAACTTCGGGAAAACAATACACGGGTAACCCACCAGGAACTCCTCTGGCGGGCGCACGAACTCGGCTATGCTTCTGACGTAGGCGAATCCGTTAACTCCTCCGTATACCACGTCCCGCACGTAGTCCCATGACTCCTCGGCTTTCTCATCCGTCCAGTACTCATTGTCAATCCCCGCCGCTTTCAAACTTCTTTTGATGGGGCGGTTCTCAATGCTGGCTCGTATAGACGTGGCTAGTTTCTCCTCAGAGCATGCCGACGCACCTAGCTCTGCCCCCAATGCTGCAAAAGATCCAAAGTCAGAAGGAAATGGATCGCGGGATTCTGTTGACTGGGGCTCTTCGTCTTCTTTGTCTTTTAGTTTTGCCCGTGTAGAGGCATTGCGAGCAATTGTCCAATGTCTGCGCCGTGGTGTGGACTGCGAAGTTGAGGCCTCAAGAGTAGCCAATATTGGAGAGGGACGCGTGGAAGACACATTAACTGGCCCTGGAAAGAGGGGTTGCGCTGGATTATTTGCTTGAAGAGAAGGGTAAAGCGGATTAAGTTGGGGTTTAGAGAGCGGTTCAGGCACCAAGGCGCTGAGCAGAGTGAATGGATCTTCCACTAATCTATCGTTAGAAGTGTGCGGCACGCATGAACAGAAAATTTCGTACTCTCTGTGTAGTCGAGACTACCATTATGAAGATGGGGCAGGCCCTCCTTCTCGATTCTCAAGCGTTCTTTCTTAGTTCTATAACGCTTGCCTTGACATGGAAATAACATCAGAGACTTTGACTCAAATTGCCCAGAAAACAATACCTTTAATTTTCAACGCAACCATCATTTCGGCCCAATCAGATCCGGGGGGAAATGCTCCGACACCATCTTTGGAGCCAGGAAGCCTCCCTTCAGCATCAATGCCCTCCGAGATGCCCGTTGATGCACCCTTCTTGTAAGGTCCTCGAGGCCCGCGCCTCATGTACTGTTGGGGACCTGAAGACGGTGCGGGAGACGCAGCAACTTGACTCTCGTCTCTCGGAGTAGACGCCGTGACATGATCGTCGTCCTCATCTACATTCAATGCACCATCCTCGTCCTGCTCCACATCGATGTTCCAATCTGTCTCGTATTCAATGACATGCGCAGATGCCTTGGCGATATGGTCGAGTCCCCATACTTCGAGGCGGTCGGCTTCCGTGTGATAAATGGTTCCAGGAGGATTGAAAATTTTGGCGTTGGTGACAACTAGGCGGAAGTCTGTCTGGAGAAAGGAAAAGGTGTACAGGTCAGCTTGTGTCGCGTGAGGTCTCCTTCGCAAGCGTTTCGTCCATCCATGCAGTCTAGCCATGATGTCGTTTGATTCATGCGTGCAAAAACATAATTGTCTGAATCGCAAGACCACATGGAAGGAGTGAAGACAGCCCACTGCAGGGTTGAAATACCAAAAGAAGTTTTACTCACTGTAAACTCTTCCAATGAACGGTACTTTCCCCTGGCGACTTTTGTAGACATAGTCCCAAGATCCATGGGATGTTTGATCATTTCCGCGTATCCTTGGACTCGCGACGGATCCACAGGGGAGATAAAAAACGCATAATCATCCTTCCTTTCATCGTACGCGTCCATCAGTACGCGCATAAAAAAACAAACACCCCTGTCACAAACAACAACTCACTTCTTCAGCTGCGCAATCAGCTTGGACAAGACCTCCTTCAATGGCTTAAGCTTCATAGGCCTTGGTGCTTTCTTCGCCTCTGCATCCTGCAAGGAACCAAGGTGTTTCAGTTTTGACTTCTTTCCCATCTTCGCGGCCTTGATAGCTTTGAGCGAGGGCAGGACGAGCGTAATTCCGGATGGAGCATGCCCGTTCTGCCTAGTTTCGACAACTGATTGCGACGTGGAGGCGCCATCTTCATCTGCTGCAAAAGAGTCGAAATCGTCCATGCTCGAACAGTTTGTGAGGTGATTATGTAATGCTGCACGAGATAAGCAGGGACGATCTATCTAAAATTTCTAAATCTTAGCGCGGCTGGTATAGCTTGAACTTGCATCATCGTCCATAAAGCCTGTCATATCGATTCGTCGACGATCTCTAGTTTCTGATACACAAGTTCAATTTATTCGTGTTTCAGGGTGGGTTGCTATCTATGCCGTGTCGATTTTGACCGAACCGTCCGTGGCCATCGCCAGGTAACGACTTCTTAGTGCATACAAAATTCTATTCCCGCATTACTTATTGATCCATTTCAAAGAGGTCGGTTTTGGCTGTTGAATCCAACCGAACCTCCTACTTCGCGCGCGGAGGTTTGCGGTATATATAGGCGCCAACCTCCAGGTGAGGTGAGCGGGTACCAAATTATTCACTTCATGCGGTGACCGCGGAACCCTGAGGGATCTTCGTCCGTTGTCGGTTTTCTCACCCCGGCTCCACAGCAGCGATGGCACGAGGCTGCAGACGCCGTGTGTTGATACGCTATAGGTGCGACGTGAATTTCAAAACGCAGCCCACGAAGCTCGAGGCCAATTAATATTTCATTCTAGAGTCAGCGCGGACACGTATATATGTAGCCGCGGTCATTACTTTCAAACGGAGTATCATTAACGCGCGTATTCAGCGACCGAAATCGGTCTCAAAATTTCAACGTTGTGGTCGGGGCGCTCTTCAGGGTCGATGGTACTTTTATTTTGCACAGGTTGATCTTTGCGTCGTGGCGCTGTGACCCTATGAGGAGATTGCCGTTGATTGACTAGCAGGATCGTCCCTGCATACGCCTCGTGCTGCACAATTTTTTGGGCGTTTGGCTTGACTTGGATCCGGTCTCATCTCGTCCTCGGATTCGGCATCGTGACGCAGATTGCAACGTTTCACACCAGAGCGGTGAATACGCGGCGGTCGAGGCCTCAGTAACTATGGATGGTGAGCAAGGAACGAGGTCGTGTTCGTCGATGGTGATTATTTTCACTGAACATTAATAGGTTGCTTGGTACAGGCATAGTTTCTTGGGCAACCTGGTTTGACATTCCCCCCTTGCGCATCTTGTGGTAAGTAGAGGATTTTTTGGATCGCGCTAGGGAAATGGCTTTTGCGATGACTCACATGTCATGCCTTATTGTGCTCATATGAAGTTTCGGTGTACGTATGGGACTGCCCTAGGTCGGGTTAGCAAGAAGCATACATATCTGGCAGGAGTGTGACATTTTGAAGGAGATGAGAAAATGGGTTCCGCCTGTCGCTATACAGCGCCGACGGGTACTGAGACGCGTGATAATGGAATGTCAGATTCATAGGTATTTAATGTACGATAGAGGTGTCATGGTGATCGTGGCATCGCGGACTGGAGGACGGAGTACCGGGCTAGGAATATTAGGAGAATTAAAGTTGGTCGCGTGGGGTATCGGATGATTACGGAAAATGATGATGCATTTGTTCAGTCATGATTTCAGTCACTGATTTCAGTCACTGATTTTTTTGACTCTAAAAGATTTGGGCGATTCCCATGGAATAAACGTCACCTCGGTGAAATGAATTGTTCTTCGATCTCATTTTCACAGCCACGGAGTTTAAATAATGATTCTTCTAAGAATTAATGGACCTTTAATATGAGCCGAAGAAGGATTGTTCCTGAAGTGAATATTCTGATTTTTATATTTTATTTTATTTTTGCCGTTGATGCCGGTGTAGGATTAGTCCGGGAATGACACGTAAGAGTTGATTTACTGCTGTTATGGAAATCGGGGTCGGATATAGTAATAATAAAAGTACTTGGTCAAAGTAACTTCGTACTGCGACCGCCAAATTTTGACCCGACTCATCCATTCATTATAACCAACTCATTTCATTCCCTTGTTCATGTGTCCTTGACAAACTATCCTTTTTATTCAGTTTTATTCAATGTCTAATTCTTTTACTCCGACAACGGCTAATATCCCTCATCATCATACGTCCCCTCCACGACCACACAATTCTCAACCAGATCACGATAGTGTACGAAGGTCAATCTCAGAAAATATGACTGTCGACCATCTTTCTTCTGCCTCAGACACTTCATCACAAAGTGGTATGGCAGACAACGAAACAGAAGCAGAGGCAGAACGCGGAAGTCAGCAATCAGAATTATCTGCTCCAACTGCTCCAGCTCCAAAGAAGAAACGCACACGCACTCTCACGACTCCACATCAGTCTGCTGTCCTACACGCACTACTCGCACAGGTATATTTTATTCGCTTTACAATAACCCTTATCAGGGCGCCTAATTCTTCCCTTTAGTCTCGCTTCCCCACAACAGCCATGCGTGAGGAGGTGGGGCGTCAAATTGGTCTTAGTGCTCGCAAAGTCCAAGTATGTAACATGATCATGTGAATATCATACCTTGCTCACAAATCTTTATCACAGATCTGGTTTCAAGTATGTTTTTTCCATGCTCTTCCGTTTAAACTTATATTGATTCGTAATATAGAACCAGCGTCAGAAAGCTAGGCGTCCGCAGAGTGATTCTGCTCCATTGTCTCGGCCAGCTCAATTCGGTCCCTTTCCAAGCGCGCCGCAATCAGCTTCTTCCTCCCATACAGCTCCTGATGTTCCTATGTCGGAATCATTCCTTGACACTTCAGAAGCTCGTGCTTCCCGAGTCGTGCCTAGATCAGGCCCCTCACTTGACCCTGGCCTCTCAGGTCCAGGCATTCCCGGACGGCGCATCTCACCTTACCCCGCATCCTCAGAGGAGTATTCCCGCTTCGCACCTGCGAGCCCCGACTCCACCTCATCGATGCCCAACCACAGCTCTCGCGGCCTTGATGAGTTCCCCAGCCTTACGCTACGCGAACCTGCTCCCCGCATGCTTGCCCCACGCTCATTTTTAATGCACGAGGGCGCACAGTCCCCTCCCTCCTCCCGAGTCCTCCCTCCCATCCACTTTAGTGCCTTGGAATCACGCATCAGTATTGACCCTTACGTGTCACCAACGTCCTCCTTCCCCCCGCCTCACTCCCAATCATCCTTTACCAGCATTATGCACCACCACGAGCCCACACGCTACACAGAACACCGCATCTCCACAGTGCTAGGCATCCCACCCCCATTCGCGTTGCAACCACAGCCGCAGTGGGACCCGAATAGCTTCAAGCCATTCACCCGCCCCGAGTTCGCTTCGTTTTCTCCCCCAAGGTCCACGCAATTTGCACCAGGGAGCTTCTCCCCTGGATCTCGTGACCGCATTGCTCCCCACATCTCCCCAGAATTGCCCCCCAGAAGGGAATATCACCCGTCCTCAGGCGAACGTCATTTCGCCTCATCCTCGGCTCCGCATCCGCTCAACACTTTTCGCGATATAATCGATCCTCGAGGTTACCCTGCGCGCGAGTCCTCATCCGCAGATGACAGTGGCATGCGCTCAGACGATGACGAACCCCACCGAAACCGTTGATAACTTCTTTCCCCACCCGTGCATGATGTTGATGCTGACGCTTTTGCGCCCATTTCGATTCACGATTGAAAGATCCACGCACTCCACGAATAAAAAAATGATGAGTTTTCTTAACAAGCCCGATATACCATGCGCGTTCTTTACCACAAACACACCGTACAATTTAATCGTTCGTTTTTCTCCGCGCTCTCGTTGATTTCCGTTATTGTTGTCTCTTCGGTCGTTGCCACACACCCTTTTTATCCCTATCATCTCTCGTGTCTTAATTCTCTCTCTCTACGGAACTCCGTCATACTAATCTCAGTACAGCCTTTATAACCACTGTTCTTTTATCACCTGTATGTCATTCTTTTCGAGCGCTTCCCCATCTTCACAGAACTATCTCTACCACCACTATCTTTAGCATCCTGCCAACAAATGCATCTAATTCTAGCATACCGAACTCTATAGTTCTACCAACACTACCGATTTGATACCAGCTACCGTTACCCCTCAATCTTAGCCATTAATGCTAATTCATTACCCGGTGCGACTCTGAGAAGGCGCCATCGATCCAGGCGTACGCGGAACCATTACTGCAAGGAAAAAGGCAAAAAGCGGCGGCGGACGAGCGAATTCCGTTGACCGCGCGGCACCGCGTCCTGCGACACGCGATCCATCCACCCCGACAATCAAAAAGGTGAACAAAAAAAAAATTATTGCAATCACGTCGGGTCCAGCCTCAATTGAACCATCCACTGAACTGGGTGGCCGGGTGAGGATGCACCCCCACGGTCTTGCGACTAATACCCCCGCCCTCCTTCTTCTCCCCCCTCCCGATCCAATTCCAGGCTGAATCAAATTTGATTCAATTATGATTCAATCAGAGTTGTATTGGCACTGCTTTTGATCGCCGCAAGACGGACGCGTAATAGGGCCCGGGTTCGCAGCCTTGTCTCCAGCGCAGATGCCTCTTCACCACCAGGAGGACCTATCAATGGGGAATGTACATCTACAGCCGGCAACGCAGAGTGTGACGTAGATGCCGATGTCGTAATACCTCTCTGAGCTAACCGTTGCCCCTCTTCAAGTCTCTGCAAAAGCACTGCCCGCATATCCGTGGAAGTGCGTGCTGATGGTGCGGTTATTCTGTTCCTATATTCATATGTCGCGACTTCTTGCTTATCACGTCGGGTATGTTCCGCCGCATCCACAACATGATTAGAGTTGTGTGGCAGTGAAATAGGGTTCGAGTTTGGGTTTGGGGGTCGTCCTGATGAAAGGGCGGGCTGCGCTCCAGGGCCGACGATGATGGGGCACGGCGATGTGTTGGTATGCCGTTCTTTTCCCCCCTCTTCTTCTTCTTCTTCTTTACTTTTGTTTCTGTATTTATCTGTGCCTCCGTCCGGCGTGCCGCACGAACGAACAACAGTTTTCCCTCCAGCAAACTTGTTCTCTTCATCGGTGCCTTTAGCGATAGGATCGGCAGGCAAGCTCCGGACTCTTTCTCTTTCGCGTTGATTTCCTACCGCCGACGTATTTTCTTCCGCGAGAGGCATCGATGCATCTGAGCGTTTCCCGAGAGAAGAATGAGACGATAAAGAAGTAGGAGGCGCGTTGGCGGGGCTCGACAACTGGGAAAGAAGGACTGGCATACCATCACCACTACTATCACGGGCATCTCGGTGTCGTGATGGATGAGGTAACTGTTGAGGAGTTACATCGTGTTTCTGGGCGGTTGTGTCTGTGGGACGCTTGTTTCTTGATGATGTCGGTTGGGAGAGGTGGGCCTGGACTGATGCTAGCAACGTACGGTTTCGAGGGGGACGACCGAGCGTGTTTGGGCGTTTACGCGACGTGGAAGCTACAGGCTCTGCATAGACGTCGGTCCTATCAACGTCTACTGGGACATGAGCTGGCGTGGAGGCGTCAAGGGAGGGTTTAAGACCGGACTCTACAGAAGGTGTATTGAACTTCCTATTTCCGGGAGTATGTGATTCCGCTGTCTTTTTGGGTTCGACAACAGCATTCGGGACGAATTCACCTAATATGCGTGGTGGCGTGCTACTCGAGCGATGTTCACTCTCGCCCTGGAGAGGTGTGTCATAACGTGTGTCATAAACTTCTGGTTCTTTTCCTTTCGCCTTTGCAGATTTGTTTTTGTTCGTTGGTTGCTCCTGGGTGTCGTCAAGGTGACTTTGTTGGTCATTCGAGGTGTCAGGTATATCTCGACACTCGCTGACTGCGCTGCGAGTTCGTCGGCGATTCCTGTGATTTGGAGAGAAATAGTCTAAAGAACTTGCTTGACGGTAGACTGGAGAAGGGGATCTTCTGTGCTCAGGACGCAGGGTCGAGGAAGGTGGTTGAGATAACGGAGATCGAGATCGGGACCGGTGATGACGGTGATGAGGCGACCGGGATCGAGAACGGGACTGGTAACGCCACCGATTCTCTGTTTCCTGCTCATGGGACGGAGGATCTGGGGAGGTATCATACTGCCCAAATTGAGCGCCGATCGCTGAGTCCGTCTGGAGAAAAGTGTCATACCTGCACCAGACTGTCATAAATCGATAGGTCACGGCCACTGCGTATATAACAGTATATTTCTAGGAGAGCAAGTCGATGAGATGAAGCAGAACAGAGTTAAATGTGGGCGAAAATATACCACTGACCATGTGCAAAATGTTCGGCGTTCGGCTGCCTTTCGCCCTCGATGTAAGGAGTATCAAGGTCTAGGAACTCGGCAAGAAGTTTTACAGAGGATTCAGCTCGCATGTCTATCGACTTCATGAGAGAAATGATGAACGTCGTGAGGAACTAGAACATATATCAGCAATGCGGGTAAGGCGCAGAGCGCATAATCTTGCCAAGTGCCTACGACACACGTACCTCGACATCAAGGTTTTGCCAAACGCGCAGTTCACGGCGGAGAAAGATGGTGGCTCGACTTATCATGTCTGGAGATGCTGCAAACTGGGCTGGACTGGGGTAAGGACGGTACCGGGTGAATGAGTTGGACGCGACATGCTAATACGTGGCGAGATGAGACGTGTGTAAATGCGAGAAGAAGTACATACTTTGGCATAAAGATGATTCTGGTACACCCAACGTCTTTTGGTGATTGCTCGTTCGAGTTCATCAGCGTCATAACGATCCCTGCGGCCCCAGTAGCGATCCCTACGTGCCCGTCGCGCAATTTGTACACGAGTTTCGCCTGTCGGCAACAACTGTGGTGACGAGCGTGGTGGGGGCAAATAATGCTTTTGATAGTCGAACTGCGAGCGTATATGATGTATAACATATTCACCAATCAATTGGGAGCACAATGGACACTTTCGCGATTGCTCTAGAAAACGCGGTGAGTGTTGCCAGTTATTGAAGTAGAAACGGAGCAGGCTCACCAGCCCAAATCGAAATGCATTCGAAGCAGAACTCATGGGAGCAAGTCGGGATAACAGTTCGGTCAACCATGGGTTGCAAACAAATGACGCAGTGATCATGGCCGAGGTCATCATCATTCAAAGTCGAATGGTCGTTTTCCAATCGCGGAGAGGGAGACGACTCGAGTTTGATGCGCTTAGAGCTAGGCCTAGTAGGGCTGACGCTCATTCCAGGCAAAGTACGGGTGATAGAGGTACACGACGGGCGCTTACAAGTTCATAAATGTATTTATGTAAGTGCTATAAGCAGCGACTAACAAGTTCCTCCCAGCTACACGGCCAATCAAAAAAAGCATATATATACAGTACATTCAGATTCGAGTTCAATCGATCATCAATCATCTCTCGCCAAGACTCTAAGAGTGCTGAGCCCTACCGATAGCCTATAGCCAACTGAATTATCCCCGAAAATGCCAGATCACGTCGCAGCTCCCACACAATCTCACACCAACATCGACAACCTGCCAGCTGAGACCGTCAGCTTTGCACATCGGATGTTTGACGCTGCGCGGGAGGGAAACACAGAGCTCCTTCTCCAAGCCGTCGACGCGGGCTTGCCAGTCAACCTGACAAACGACAAAGGTGCGTCATTGATCAGGTCCATCTTGTACAAGTCCCCTGAATGACGTATGAACACATTCATTTAGGAAACACGTTATTGATGCTCGCGGCATATGCAGGCCATGCGGAATTGACCAAAGGACTTCTGCAACGGAAAGCAGATCCAAACAGGCTCAACGATCTTGGTCAATCTATGATCGCTGGTGCTGTGTTTAAGTCGCACGATGAGGTTGTGCGTGTTCTGGTCGAAGCTGGCGCAGATCCGAGAATAGGTAAACCCACCGCAATAGAGGCAGCTCATATATTCGGTCGGAAGGAGTTGATGGAAGTACTGGGTGCAAAGCAGGGTGACATCGGCGCTAATGTGCCCACTCCTCTTAGTGCACGTCCCGAGAAGTGACCACAGTTGAGCAAATCTAAACGTTACGATAGATAACCTGTACTACCCCATTCAAGTCGATCGTGACAGATCCATAGATATTAGGTATGAGAATAGAATAACTCTTGCAAAGCAGACGAAAACATCCTTTGCTAAATCGCCCCCATCTCCTTCCCGAGAACCTTTAACGCTTTCCTCGCAAGTGTTCTTGCATCTACCTCCATTGCATCGCCGCCCTCCTCCAGAGCACCGATATGAGGCTGCACAACATTACCTCTCCTCTCCTGGGTGGCCTCAGGTGGCGAGGAACTCGTGATAACCCATGCAGACGGTGTCTTCCGAGGGATTGAAGCGATTTCACACAACACCGAATAAAAATAGAAGAGGTGAGCGACTGGCGACCGTCTAACCACATCAGCAATGAGTGCAGACGGTGAAAGAGTGACGTCAACAGCTGGGCAAACGTTCAGCGTCAGATCAGATCACAGAACAAGGAAACAGGTACCGGGTTGAGAATCACTAAACTTCGATGGCGACTCTGACAGTGCGGCCCACAGAGTTCCCGACCAGAGTTGTAAATCCAGGACCTTGCGAAGCACATACAACAGTTCATCTTCACGAGCCCTGTCAAAGTAGGTTCAGCAACAGAAAACAATGCAACATGATCACAATTTACCTCGGGAAAGGCATATTACCTCGGAGAGCCTCGTCAGCAACATAGCTCACCATTGTAGTTTTGCATCGATCAAGCAAGGTCGGGAGACAAAGTGCAGCAACCCGCTTCCTTGCGGACTCTTGATCTAGGAGATGGTTAGCTTTGGAAATGCGGGAAGAGGGATGGGGTTACCGCTTGTAACATTAGAGCAAATCAAGAATAAAAGGTCAAAACACCAAAACGAAAATCGCTCCCTCGGAACCAGGATCCCAGGTGCAGTTGTTCCGATGTCAAGGTCCACCTTCTCGAAGTCATGGGAGTCCCGAGAGTCGTCTGACACATTCGCGGTATCTGCCGAGGGCGAATCAGGGCGTGAGGGATCCATGCTTGACTTGTACAGCTGGCTGCCCTTGTGCAAAATCTTTGCTAACTGTGCGATGAGGTGATCAGGAACTCTCGTGTCTCCCAGATGTGGCACGAGATCAATCTCCAATGAGCTGATGAGAGAGAGATCGAAGCTTTCTTCTGCCTCCTGATCTTCGAGTGAAAAACCCTCTGTCGCAGTGCTGCAACCAAGTTGGTCACTGGGTACGAGAAAACGATCGAATGAGAGAGAAAATAAAATGCGCACCAGTCAGCCAAAATGCCACCTCGGAAGACTTCAATGATTTGTCGCCATATACCCTCGACTCGTGCATCAGAAATACCTACATGTTATCACTAAATGAAGTCAACCAGATCATTGACTACGTACCATCGCCGAATGCTGCCATCCTTCTGACCGAGTCAGTGACAATACGGAGAAAGCTTGTTGTCGCGGTCTTCCACAGAGGAGGATCTTTGCCGAACTTTGATGGAGCAGGACACTCATACTTTAGTTTTATTGGTATCGAATAGGCCTGAACACGAACCAAATGAACATTCAAAGACCAAGAATAACATCAACGACACACACCGAGAAGACAGCTTCCAATGTCCCATCTTCATAGATCTCGAGCTCATCCTTGAAGCGCGTGTACAACTCAACGATAAGCGGCATGACCTTCTTGGACAACGCAATGTACGTGACTTGTTTTTGAGAAGAGGCCGCGACGGGCGTTGCCGGGGAGGCAGGAGACAAGATGGGCACATGGAAAGCAGCGAGAAAAGGAAGGGTACTGAATTCCGAGAGATCCCGTATGATAAGAGATGGGACACCAGATGCTGCTAAGTCGATATCCGCGATTGCATCCAAGACCACTACCTGTCACGTTAATGAGACGATGGTGTTCAGTGAATGCAGAACATTCACTTACCTGAACGGGTGTCAAACCATCAACATCAGGGCGGTAGTCCGTCGAGTTAGGATATGTAAGAACACCTGTATCTGGTTCAGGAAGAGGGAAAGTGACAAAAATAGAGAGACATACCCTTGAGAATTTCCATCAGACGATTGAGGCGCTGAAGCGGCCACTCCTCCTTCGCCTGTGTTAAACTAATGGAACGTGTGTTCCGTATGACATCGACAAGAGCGACCAAACTCTCCTGAGAAAATGCACGGTAGAGCTGCATCGTATTCGTGCTCGGAGAGAACTGAGATCTCCCGCCCTGGAGAACCATGCTCCCCATATCGCTGCATGCCTTCCATACGCATTCCCAAGCTTCCGATACTTTGACTTGTAGAGAGGCGTCTGCTCCAGAAAGCGCCCTCACCACCTTCCCCAAACAAAGCAGAGCAGGGGGACTCAAGGTTCGGCGGTCCAAGGATACAGTGTCGTGAACGTGGGTAACAAACACGGACCATGCTTTCGAGAAAGAGTCCAGACGCATGATCTTGATGACTAGGAACTCGCTAATAATGGTCCCAATCGACTGTAGTGCGAGACTCTTCGATTCATCCCATGCATGCTCAGGAGACTGCGAAGCCAGGCCAGAGTTCATCAGGGCTCCGGGATCAATGGGGCTGCGCCGGGTTTCGATAGAGATTGCGTCGAGTAGCGGGAATGTGATCTTCCATATGCAGTCGTTCCAAGTATCCAGAGTAAGCGTAGCACCGTAAAGCTGCATTGCACGAAAAATGGTCTGAATGGCACCAACACGAACTTCGTGCCTAGCGTCAGTACAAAGACCTAGAACTTCCAGTAGCAGGCACATCCACAATGCGCTGTATTCCGGTTCCATCTCTGCGTCCTTCCGCTTGGCCTGGATTGAATCTGACACACTCCAGAGCAGGCTTTCTGCAGCAGTAAGCGCAATGTTCGTGTCGGCTTGTCGGCCGAATTGTCCGAGGGTTTTAATGCAAAGCCGCAAGTCTTCAGGGGACAGCACAGACACAGAGTCGCAGACTAATTTGAGGGACTGGAACGCGATCTTCACTAGCGCGGTGTAGCCGCGGTCGCTGACGTATATCAGAGGCAGTGGCTTCTGACGGGGCGTCTCTTGAAGCGATAATGTGCTGATTGAGTCAACGGACTGAGATCTGGAGAGAGCCGCGGGTTTACAGATGCTCCCCAGCATCTCAAAAATGCTGCCCCAGCCGACGACGAAAGTGTGTCCAGACGCCTGTAGGATTTGGTGCAAGGTCTCCAACCCCATTCGTCGGAGCTCGATGTTCGTGCTTGTCGCTGAGACGTCGGATGATGCGGGTACTATCTGTTTAAATAGAACGTCGAGAACGCGGCGTTGAACTTTGGGCTGCAGATCTCCAGTGGATGATAAATTACGTGGGACCACAATAAGAATTTCGTCGAGGACGCGTGCTGCCTGTACTCGAATTGACTGTGGCGCTGACGAAAGTCCCATGATCCACAGAAGATGATTTGTAGTCGTGTTCCATGCGACCTCGGGTGCGCGATAGATGAATCGATGGATGTTCAGCATCGCCACTGAACCCAGTCTCTCCACACCGAAATCACCCTGGCGCTGAGAAAATGTTAGATCCCATTGTGACGGACGAGGATCAACCCTGACTCACCAACGTGCGTGGCAGATGAATACCACTGACGCGCCTTCTGTGAGGAGAAATCGGTACAGGACTCAAGGTATCATCCGACTCCATTAGCATGTTCCCATCAGATTGCATCCCGACCATCTCTGAGCTAAGTTTACAGAGTGCGGTGACGAAGTCCCGAAAAGCTGAATCCTCCAGGTTTTTGGACGCATCAAAGAGGCGCTGCACGGCAGCAAGCACGCTCTCTGAATCGATGTCCATGAGGAGGGGGTGACGAGCTACCTTCCCCTGCTCAGCAGAGCTCGCCGCTGACACGGATCGACTGGGTGTCATGGGTGTGTTCATCCTCCGGTTGGTAGACGCTTGCGATGCTTTGATATTCAAGACGTAGTCCGCGTTCTGTAAAGCCTCCAAAATGCCATACCAGCTCTCTCCCAGACTGCCAGCGAGGAAAAGGGCACTAGATACCAACACTTTGAGGCATGCTAGATTTCGATCGGAAAGTCCTGGTGCTTGGATAGGTGCTGTCAATCCCAGATTTTCTGTGAAAGAAGTTGAGGTTCGAGGCGTTGGAGGTTCAACGTAGGACTCCAAGCCGGACACTACTCGGGAAGGTATCGCAAATTTCGAAAGCGAGTTGAACAATGCATCACGAGGAGTGCTGAGGGCGAGCATCCCTGCGACGTTCGTCAAAGCTTGATAGCTGCTGAGAACGTCTATGAAGAGCTCATCTGACAAGTTCGTCGAGATTATGAAGGAGAGGGCTGCGAGAAGCGCAGGCCAGCCGTTCTCAACCATAGAACGCACGATGATAAGGTGCTGAGTTGCAGCATCGTCCTGCACGAGTGTGGAGAGGTCAAGAGCGGCAGGTGCACGAATGAGAGGCTCGCCAGCCGCTCGAGGACGTTGAACCATGATGGACGTATATAGTGGGCCAGTGAACGACGCGAAGCCTTCGCATAGGGAGACAATGCACTGCACAGCAAGAAGATAAATGTATGCTTCGGGGATTGGTGGTGAGTCCGCTTTGTCTAATTGATCGATGCTGGTGAGGAAAGAGGGCTCAGGATGATGCGCAAGATTGCGGAATGGGGACTGTACCATTGGAGCTTCATGGCTGAGTTCTGCACGCTCAGACCAACGCCAGACCCAATTATCCCAACGACTCCCGACACGGTAGCACTTGCAGCCGTGGCAACCATTCCAGCGACATCCAGACCGTAATTGGAACCCGATGGTGTAGCGCTATCACCCGCATGAGAAATTCCGACCCCCATCATCTGCGTGCTCACTCCCAGTAGAGCAGGTTTCTCAGTAACAAGGCGCTTTAATGCCACTATAAGAGAGCCGAAGACCTTTGAGCCCGGCTGCTGCGCATCATAGCGATCCCATATGTTTCGGACAAGCTCAGCATCGCTACATACCCTGAAAAGAGACGTCAATGAAAGCTTTGGGGCGTCAAGCTTAAGACATACCCTCTCATTATCTCCATCGCAAGGACCCTTGTCCACACTGGACGTGAGCCAGAATGGTCCGGATTCGAAGAGTCAGATTCTTCTGAGATCATTCTGATGAGAAGCATGAGGAATACTTCAGCTTCTGTCTCTAGCTCGAATGAGAACTGCTTCAGGATCAAGAATACAACTCGTGTGCATCTGAGGGTCAACGGAAAGACGTGTCTGTCAGAGAGAGATTTGAGAATGAGTGGACAAAGGTGATGTTGCAGCAACATCAAAAGCTCCGAGTGCTGCCGTACGTTAGAATGAGCTAGCTGAATGTGACTGATCAACTTGCCTTCCTGAACAATTCATGATAGTTCGTGAGTACACTCTCGATCAACTCCAATGCGAAGGTCTTATGTAGGTAGTCGAGCTTCAAGAAATTGGGTTTCTCTGAATTTGCGAGGAGACAGAGATCTTCGAAGACCGAGAACGCATCTTTGGCACAAGGTCCCAACGCTTGGGTGCTACCGTCCGGAAGCGTAGCATCAGATAACACTGGATCATCATCTCTTTCTATACGATCCTCATTGACCATTTTTTCAAATATAAACATCACCAATTGACGAAGGGTGGCTGCTGCTGTTGAAGATACTACTGCGATCCGAGAATCCTGCAATTTAAAGCAGAGAAGCAATGCCTGTGGCAAGGTGTCAGACAGATGCCGTGAGGCATGGACAGAACTTACCTCTCCAAGCAGTTCTCCGTGTACCGAAGGAAAATTCGTGATCAAGGAAACCAACGTTTGTAGGATCCGTAGTTGAATGTCTACGCCTTGACTCATGGCATCGTTCATCGTGCTTACGATGAGTGCAACAGCCGACTGCGGTACAGCCTTGAGGGCTATTAACCGCTGCAGCGACCCCAATGAGATGGCGACGACTTTCGCGTTCTTCGTTGCACATCCCATGAATACTGGACGAAGAAGATCATCTGACTGCGGACTGTCTGTGGGTGAATGATGATGAAACTGACGTGTATTTGAATTGAATCACATACCAGAGGCCAAAGATGCTGTCGCTTGCTCTGGAGACGACCTAAGTATCGCTAGCGACTTCTCTGCTGCCTTTACGTGGACATAAGATGCTGGTAGGTGGGATGAGTGCTTTCCGTCGTACCTCGCGTATTTCGGGATGCTTTCTCCTGGATTCGCTGGCAAGAGACTAATAAACGAAGGTATGAGTGGATGTTGGCGGGTTATCGCGGTGAACACACCTGCAATTCAGTCACTAAGAAGGCTAGTGAACTCATCCTGTCCTTGCGTTATTCTGAACGAGATGTTGACAAGTTCCAACAAATTACAACTGCTTTCTTTCCAGTATGGGGGAATACAGCTGCCCAGCAGAAGAAGGCCAAGGATTGAAACAAATTAATATTGTCAACTGAGGAGTCGAATGATGAATTGTGTTTGCGAAAGTGTATATGGGCGCTTGTTCCTGCGCCGAGCGCTGACTCTGAGGAACGTTGATACCTGGGTCGACAGCATCCGCTGCAGGCGTGTGTCCCGTTGTTATACCACATCTCTACCGTACGTAGTACTACACAAATGGAGAGTCCTTGAGGAAGGGCCCTGGCACAGATGCAAATGCTGTTTGGTCGCTCCGTTCTAAAACACGCAATCTGCCATGGGGGTGGGTACACATTTTGCATCAGTTAATAGTACACGAATGCTGGGACAAGAAATGCAAGTAAAAGTGGATATTGCTAGGTATAAGAAAGCATGATCTTTGATCACTTCAACAACGAGGGTCATCGATGAACCATTGCCCATAGACACCCCAGATCTAAAGGTTTGTCAGCCGGCAGAGCAATAAAACGTTGGAGGGATAGCCCAGATGCACGTACGCTATGCACGCACGATTCTGCACCAGAGAATTCCTGGCCTAGGAAGCGAGCAGGCGTTGTTGCACAGAACTCCTTATAGTCTGCATGTTTTGGCACGTTCATGAGATGTTGTTCAATGCGCTACAATAATGATCAAATCATGTTCCAGAGAATAGTGCATCCGCGTCTCACCCTCGTCTTCGAGCCTTTAGCGGTACATCCCTATGAGGTAGAGCGGTAAGTTTAAGTGCAAAGTAAGATCTTCAGCTTACCCGATCTTTATATCTGCTCCAGTAGGTGACGCAGTCTGGTTCGTCATAGTTGATGGCGAAATGTCCAACCACTGTACCTGAGCGCTATACCAAGTCAACCTTTGTTGTTAGAACTAACGAGAAACGTCAACTAACATCTTCGCATCTGAAGGGCCAGTTCGGGTGGTCATGGACAAACAGCGGAGTAGTCATGCAGGTGTCCATCCAATGACGGTTCCAAGTGGAAACGTTGATTTTCGCCAAGTACTCCCTTGTTGCATAAGTTGTGCACGAACGAGATTCAAGATTTGTCCAAACAGCCTTGTTGATGGGCATAGACAAGACGAATTGAACGATGGAAAACACCGCAAAAATGAGTACAGCTCCGAGAATTATGACAGTGAAGAAGCAACACCCTGGGCCATTGTTTCGTCGACGTCTTCCTCCCGAAAGGAGATGGTCATTTTCATTGTACCTAAAAAGACAAGTATCAACAGCTGCCCATGCTTTCGTGCTACACACGTCGTGCCTGGAATGAATGCTTATCACCTCTGTTAAGCACTAAACACATATGCGTGAACATTGAATAGAAGCTTACACGGTCCGAGAAATAGGGCTCGTTGGTACCACAATGTGAATCGAGGGCTGGCGGCCATAGCCATGTCCATGTGAGTGAGGATGGAACGTTTGTGGCTTTGAAGCATGTTGCTGATACGGAGGAGGAGGACTAAGTAAACCATATTGATAACCTCAACTCGGTAGATCTAGGAATTGCAGTAGCACTGTAGCAGTCTTGGAATCTCACCTGGTATAATGGGACATCGTGTCTCGGTCTCTCTCCGAGTCAGCGTCTTGCAACAACTTGAAGGTGGAATAGTACGAAGTTGCCATGGCAGGCTTTGACGCATTAAGAAACACATTCACGTGGGTATCGAGGATGGCGCTCGTGAACGGTTGAACCAAGTAGTCTAATTTCCATGATCTCATATTGCAAATTGATGCATTGATTGTGCAGGCTTTGGAGACTCGGAGTGCTCAGCGAGCTCATACCATATCATTTCCTCGTACTGGCAGGTCTTCGCCGGTGTCACTACCGGTGCTGCAGCCCGAGTTACGGTTTCCGCTCCTATGTGCGTATTCACTCTGAAATCTCTCGATTTTGCATTCAATGAGAGACCCTTCACATGAAGATGCTAATCATCATCTCGCGCCAATAACATGACGGACGATGTGGAGAAGTTTCGATTGGCCCTACAGCACTGTCCACCTGGCCATTCTTCAAATCGTCGATCCGCGTGTCTCTTTCATCTTGCCATAAGGCTTCACCACAAGTTCAGACAGCATGGCATCCCATCTGACCTTGATGAGGCCATCGAACTCCATCGTGCTGCACTGGAGCTCCGTCCCCCCGGTCATTCTGATCGACCCATCTCTCTCAACAGTCTTGCCAGCAGCATTGAAGACAGGTTCGAGCAGCGGGGCGTCCTGTCTGACCTTGATGAGGCCATCGAGCTCCGTCGCACTGCACTGCACCTCTGTCCACACGGTCATTTTCATCGATACGCGTCTCTCAACAATCTTGCTGTCACCCTTAGAAACAGATTCAAGCAGCGGGGAATCCCGTCCGACCTAGATGAGACTGTCAAGCTTCATCGGGATGCACTACTCCTATGTCCCCCCGGCCATTCTAACCAGATCGTGTCTCTTCACAACCTTGCCAACACCCTTGTAGAAAGATGCAAGCAGCGGGGCATCCCGTCTGACCTTGATGAGGCCATCGACCTCCATCGCACTGCACTGCACCTCTGTCCCCCCGGTCATTCTGATCGATCTGCGTGTCTCAAAAATATTGCCGTCAGCCTTGGAGACAGATTTCAGCAGCGGGGTGTCATGTCTGACATTGATGAGGCCATCGAGCTCCATCGGGCCGCACTGCTCCTCTGTCCCCCCGGTCATTCTGATCGATCTAAGTGTCTCGACAATCTTGCCATGAGCCTTCGAGACAGATTTCAGCAGCGGGGTATCACGTCTGACATTGATGAGGCCATCGAGCTCCATCGGGCCGCACTACTCCTCTGTCCCCCCGGTCATCCTGATCGATCCACGTGTCTCAACAATCTTGCCATGAGCCTTGGAGACAGATTTCAGCAGCGGGATGCCACGTCTGACCTTGATGAGGCCATCGAGCACCATCGGGACGCACTACTCCTCCATCCCCTCGGTCATTCTGATCGATACCTGTTTCTCAACAATCTTGCTTTCAGCCTTGGAGAAAGATTCAAACGTCGGAGCGTCCCGTCTGACCTTGATGAGGCCATCGAGCTCCATCGTGCTGCACTACTCCTCCATCAACACGGTCATTCTGATCGATACATGTCTCTCAGAAATCTTGCCAGCTGCCTTAGAGACAGATTCAAGCAGCGGGGCATCCCATCTGACCTTGATGAGGCCATCGAGCTCCATCGAGCCACACTCTTCCTCTGTCCCCCTGGTCATTCTCATCGATCCACATCTCTCAACGATCTTGCCACCAGCATTCAAGACAGATTCGAGCAGCGAGACATCATATCTGACCTTGATGAGGTCATTGAGCTTCGTCGTGCTGCACTGCTCCTCTGTCCCCCCGGTGATCCCAATCGATCTAATGCTTTCCGTAATCTTGCCTCCAGCCTCCGAACCAGATTTCAAAGGCTGGGCGTCCCGTCTGACCTTGATGAGGGCACCAAGCTCACTCGGGCTGCAATACTCCCCTTTCCCACCAGTCAGTCTGATCAATGCATGTCTCTCACCGATGTTGCAAGTAGCCTTCTCGACAGATTCCAGCAGTGGGGCGTCCTGTCTGATCTTGATGGGGTCATCGCACTTCATAGGGCTATACTACTCTTCTATCCCCCCGGTCATTCTGATCGATCCAGGTCTCTCTGGCGTCATGCAAATATCCTTCACCTCAGATTCCGCCTGTGTGGTACCCTGTCTGACCTTGATGAAGCCATCGAGATCCATCGGGCTGCACTACTCCTCCATCTTCCAGGTCATACTCTTCGATCCACGTCTCTTGTTTGTCTTGCCATCAGCCTTCTAGACAGATTCAAACTGCAGGCCGTCCCGTCTGACAAGGATGAAGCATTTAGGCTGTATTTGCAGCTCTCCCACCTGCCTCATGCAGTCTCTCGTAATGATCTAAAGGCTGCCAAGTCATGGGCCACCTTTGCGGAGGAGATGAACGATGATACTGCATTGGTTGCATATCAGACCGCATTGAAATTTCTTGATCAACATGTTGCCCTTTTGTCGTCTTCTTTCCGCCATTTCAATGTCGTGAGCGATGTGACTTCTTCCCTTGCGTCGGATGCTTTCTCGTGCAGTCTTCGTCGTGGTAATCTGACGACTGCTGTGGAACTAGTAGAGCAAGGCCGTGCGGTATTCTGGACCCAGTTGGCACGCTTCCGCTCCCCGCTCGATGATCTTGCCCTGTCTGATGACACCGGGGCAGCCTTGGCGGAAGAGTTCAAGCAGCTGAGCTTTCGCCTTCGTAACGCGTTCGATCAGTCTACTGAAGACCAGTCTCCACAAATCCGGCAATTGACCATGCAATGGGATGACGTCGTCTCGCGCATCCGCATGCTTCCTGACTTGTCCCGTTTCCTCCTGCCTCCCCTGTTCTCCGACCTACAGAAGGCGGCAGAAGATGGTCCAGTCATCATTGTCAATGCAAGCCAGTATAGCTGCGACGCCTTGATTATCCATAGCGCGGAAGACCCTGTCCGTGTCCTGCTCAATATTACGCAAGGCGAAGTGTCTGAGTTGTCCTCCGAGTTTCAGTCACTCGCAGAGCAGTTTGGTTCTGCCGATCATCAACACAAGCTTGTCGGCATCCTCCGCAAACTTTGGAATTGCATCGTTCACCCCGTGGTCCAAGCCCTTATGGAGTCTAAAGTTCAGCCTCGCTCCCGCATCTGGTGGTGTCCCACTGCTGAATTCACGCTACTTCCTCTACATGCAGCAGGACCTTACGAGAAGAACAAAGACAATTTGTCTCACCTTTTCATCTCATCTTACACCCCCACTTTGGCGGCACTCATTCGGGCGAGACAGCGGATTTCTCTGGATTCGTCCACGCAAAACTTTGTTGCTGTTGGTCAAGCGAACCCGGATGGAGGGAAAGGACTCCGATGTGTCGCTCCTGAATTAGCTGTCGTAGCCGAGCGTCTCACACCTATCGTGTCCTTCACATCGCTCGAAGACGGCGATGCAACAGTCCAGGGTGTACTTCATGCACTAAATCATAATCAGTGGCTCCACCTATCCTGCCATGGAATGCCGAATCGACAACAACCATTTGAGTCTTCCTTTGCCATGCGCGACGGGCCTTTGATGGTCAAGGACATCATCCGATCTAACTGGCAGAATCCGGAGTTTGCATTCCTATCGGCCTGCCACACCACCGTGGGCGATGAGAAGAGTCCCGACGAGTCGATACATCTCGCTGCGGCCATGCAATTCTCCGGATTTCGCAGTGTCATAGGTTCTATGTGGTCTGTTGACGACGAGGTTGCGTGTCAGGTGGTATCTGCGTTTTACGGCTACCTAGTTGATGGTTCAGGGAGATTAGACTGTACACGAGCTGCAGTAGCGTTGCACAAGGCCGTGAAGTCGTTGCGCAAGAAGATTCCGCTAGAACAGCAGATTGTATTTGTTCACATAGGTGTGTAGTTAGGGACTCAATTCGCTTTATTATTACATTTGCTGTATTTTTGGTTGCTTTTATTTCCTCACTCTCCTGATGTTTAGTTATTTGATATCGCTTTGTTGTTCCATTCTGTACTAGTCGTCTCACGATCTACTCATTGAGCGTATATGACTGTGATCTACCCCTACTGGCCTGCGGTGTCGGCTCATTTTCACTTTGGATGCTGTACCCATGCCGAATCTCCTGTGATGAAATCAAATATCATGATGTTAACAAAACCCTGAAATAATACGAGCAAAATCAACTATAGTCATTCACATGCAGCAGAGCAGCACAAAAAAGTCGTCAGTGAAAGAATATTAAGTATTTTAAGAATGGCACTCACAGACTGAATCATACAGGCTGGACGCCTTCGTTGGTTCAGAACTATGTAATATTATTACTACCTCGTCGTCTGGGGCAGTCAGGTATGTCGTGGCCACCGGCTGTCTTTAGCAATCTCCAGACTGCTGATTAGTACGGCAAATTGCCGCTTCACCAGCCTGAGGTGGTCGGCCCTAAAAACAAAGTTTCAACTACCAATATGACTCGGAGTGGTTGAGGTCTGTCAGGCGGCTCTTCGCGACTTGGATCACCTCCGAGTTACTATTACGCAGACCAGTCAATACACAATTGACTCTCCTCACAGATCTTCCTCAGACTTTCCTGTTGTCGAGAAGCGTACCAGAGCTCAAGCGCTCACAACTATCTTGCGAAAAATGGGCCATCCTAGTTGTCGCCCGCCTGATCCCAAACAAATCCCGGCCCTTTCCTCTTGCACCTTTTGACTCTTATCACCCCCGACGAAGTTTCCAGTCCTGAAGAAAATAAAGCTATGTCAGTCGATATCGTGCATGATGTGGTCAACGAGAATCTCCAGGCATTCATAGTATCCGCAGGTAAGGACACGTACTGAGAGCTGCCTTGGCACAGTTGCAAATGTTGTTTGGTCACTCCATTCTAAAACACGCAATCGGCCATGGGGGTAGGTACACATTTTGCATCAGTTGATAGTACACGAATGCCGGGACAAGAAATGCAGGTAAAAGTGGACATTGCTAGGTATAAGAAACCATGCTCTTCAGTCGCTTCAACAGCGAGGGTCATCGATGAACCATTGTCCGTAGACACCCCAGATCTAAATGTATGTCAAAAGAAATTCAGGAGGGATAGCTCAATTACACGCACGCTATCCTCGCACGAGTCTGCACCAATGAAATTCCGGTCTAGGAAGTGAGCAGGTGTCGTTGCGCAGAATTCCTTATAGTCCGCATTGTGTGGCACGTTCATGAGATGTTGCGAAATGTGCTACAATAATGATCAAAAAAGTTCCAGAGAATAGTTCATTTGCGTCTCACCCTCTTCTTCGAGCCTTTAGCGGTACATCCCTATGAGGTAGAGCGGTGAGTTTAAGCGCAAAGTAAAATCTTTAGCTTAGCCGATCACTATATTGGCTCCAATAGGTGACACAGTCTGGTTCGTCATATTTGATGGCGAAATGTCCAACCACCGCGCCTGAGCGCTATACCAAGTCAACTTTTGTTATCTGCACTAACGAGAAATCTCGACCAACATCTTCGCATCTGAAGGGCCAGTTAGAGTGGCCATGGACAAACAGTGGAGTAGCCATGCAGACGTCCATCCAATGGCGGTTCCAAGGGGAGACATTGAGTTTTGCTACGTACTCCCTTGTTGCATAAGTGGTGCACGAATGAGATTCAAGATTGGTCCAAGCAGCCTTGTCGATGGGCATAGACAAGACGAATTGAACGATGGAAAACACCGCAAAAATGAGGACAGCTCCGAGAATTGTGAAGACGCAACACCCTGAGCCAGCGTTTCGTCGACGTCTTCCGCTCGAGAGGAGATAATCGGTTTCATTGTACCTAAAGACAAGTATCAACAGCTGCCCATACTGGCGTGCTACACATATCATGCCTAGAATGCATGCTAATCACCTCTATTAAGAACTGAAAAAAGATGTATGAGGAATGGAAGCCTACACGGTCCGAGAAACAGGGCTCGTTGGTACCACAATGTGAATCGAGGGCTGGTGGCTATGTCCATGTCCATGTGAGTGACCTTCATGTGTGCGTCCTTGCGCGGTGGAGTGAGGATGGAATGTTTGTGGCTTTGAAGCATGTTGCTGGTACGGAGGAGGAGGACTAAATAAACCATATTAATAACCTGAACTAAGCAGTAGATCTAGGAATCGCCTAGTGGCCTTGGAATCTCACCTGGTATAATGCGACATTGGATGACTTCCCGTAGGCTCGAAATAATCGGATTAGAATAAATATTATTACTTTAGGAAGGTGTGCCGCGATGCCGGTCGCAATTTACGCCACATTGACACACCGACATAATTTTGCACCCCCTCATAAACCTTATTTTATTTTAATCTGTAGGGGGGGGGGGGCCCCCCCCTACAGATTAATCCGACTAGAATTCTTCCGTTTTGGGCCACTACGCCAACGATATCGGCTGACATAATACCGCTCGCACGCACTTTGCGAGTTACACCAAAGTTACACTGTAACAGTGTAGCGTCGAAAGACTTCACAGTGTATTGTCAAAAGAACTACATGCCACAGGTAAGTTCTCTCCGTTCTTCTCGGCCAATGGTCCACCCTGCACAGGCTCAAATTGATAGCTCATGATACTAGCCAGTTTTCGTCAATCTTTTCATTGAAATTCATTCGATGTCGGCGTCCGTCACGTTAAACAGCTATGTCCCTTCATTTTTCATTCCGCGCTATACCACATGAATCCTAGTTACAACACTTGCCAGGGTGTATTTTCCCGTGGATTTGAAAGAAGCTGCGAGTGGCAAAGGTATATTCTGTTGAGGTGGCGATTGTTGATGCGCTCTTGGCGGGCAACCTCTACTCCAGCGATAAGTGCCGCTGCTAGCACACGTGAACCTTCTTCGTCTTCGAGGATGTCTGCCTCGTTGTCGTTCAGAAGTGAATGTACGAAATGGTCCATTTATCAAGGATTATATCTATGTAGTCGGCCTACGGTTGAATATTGTCGTATAGATTAAAAAATAAACCCGATTTCCCATGGTTTTTCAAAGTCCGAAATATTCTATTCTGATTATTTAGCCTACGGGAAGTCATCCATTGTATCTCATGCACATGATTGATCGATATTGGATCAGTGTCTTATAAACTGCAAGTTAGACGCCAATTGCAAGTTCGTGGGAGTCTCAACGGTTGCATGTTGATTTCATCACATTGTTTCCTGCGGCTGTCCATGACGAGACGTGGCGACACTTACAGCTGGTTCGGAAATTCTTGTCCGAAGTCGTCCGATCGTATCCGTAAATTCAAAAAATCAAAAAAATTCAGAAAATTCAGAAAATTCATTGACACTATCTACGAGCTCTCAAACACTCATTCCAACATACATCGATTGTAAAACTACCTAAAGCCCTGCTAAAATGTGGACCGCCGACGAAATTGACGCAGAAAACGAAAAATATCGTACCGAAGTACTGGCTGACGATGCCAACGCTATCGACCTGCCGGATAGTGACGAAGAGCAAGAGCTTGATGACGAGGAAGTAGACGTTGAAGATGAGGAAGTTACATGTGTTAACGAGGAAGTAGAAGGCAAAGACAGCGAAGTAGACGATGAAGATGAGGAAGACTGGCTGCCCCCCCTCCATATGGAAGAGGAATTATTGACCTCCGAGACCAGTGACCTGCAGGAGTTGCGCAGTATGTTTAAGTTTGTCGTATCATTGGATTTTGGTTGTGACATGCAGCAATTTTTTAGACGAGATTATTGAGAGGAAGGCAAAACTCACCATCAAGCTGCCCCCCAGGCGTTGGTTTTTTTTTCGTGTTCATTTGTTTAATAATTTACTACTTGAAATTCGGAGAATATACCATTGTTAACATCATTATGGGTACCCGCAGTCAGTGAACCAACGTCGAGCCTTCGATGGCGTGACTACTGTAAGGCAGGCATCTATGAGGTCCTGTATTGGGTAATCAGTCTCCTGGAACTCTTGCCAATGGCGTCGGAGATAATATTTGACTACGAGTATATCAGCAATCTACCAAGGATGACAAAGTACGAAGCCTACCAGAACTGAAGCTCTCTTCGATTGGGTTGAGGTCGGGGGAGTATGGTGGCAAAAATAACAAGAGACAGCCTGGTTTATGAGTGGGCTTCAAGGCAGCTTGCAAAAAGTGAAACATTCTCGTACCAGCAGCTTCCACAGCCTCACGAAGAGCTATGCTTTTGTGAGTCGAACAGTTGTCCATGATAAGCACACTCCGTGGGTGGGGGTAGCGATTCATGTTCGGCAACTGGTTTTTGGTCAGGATATGATGCGTTCGTTTTGCAAAGTACTCACCACGTCGTTAAGAATAAAATCATAAAATTCAATGCTGTTCACGGAACCTTCGACAACACACAAGGCTATATATCCATCAAGCGAAAGTGCGGGAAGAATGCTGTACCGTTTTCCTCGGGTCAATGGACGCACATCAATTGGACGTTCACCAGATGCCGAACGACCATACTTGCGAAAGAAGGTACGACCATCTTTGCTTGACTCGTCAACTGTGATAATCTGCTCAGCCGTGAAATTGGCTGCAATATCTTCGCGCCATGCATTCCGAGCATCTTCATCTCTCTCAGCGGCATTTCGTTGCACCATTTTGTATGTAATTCCAAGGTCGCGAAGGTTGTCGTGAAGCGCCGTTTTCGAAATGAAGACATTATGCATTACTGTAAGGTACTCGAGGATTTCGTCGAGGAAAAGGGTGGGTGTTTCAGTGATGAGTTGGCATATTTCTTCTCTGATCTCGGCAGTGAGAAGTCGAGGGCGTCCTCTATGGGCATTCGGAGGGTTTACTGAGCCTGTGTTCTCCATCTGAACAGCCCAACGCTCGATACTCTTTCTGCTGATGTGCAGAATGCCTGCCACCTCGTCTACTGTCCAACCTTCCCTCACCAGGTCCAAAGCCCGTTCTTTCATGTCTGTGCTGATTTGTCTGTATGGCATGGTCGATGTACAATGGTCTGGATAGTGTGAATGAATTTTCTGAATTTTCTGAATTTTTTTGATTTTTTTGATTTTTTGAATTCACGGATACGATCGGACGACTTCGGACAAGAATTTCCGAACCAGCTGTAGTAGGCAAACTCTTGCAAAACAGTCGTGATGCAATTCGAAGTGCAGTGCGCACACATCCGAGCCAGCATGCCACACCAGCTAAGACCATCAACTTCAATGCAGACCGGACGTTCAAGGGCAACACAGAACTCTCTTCCGACTTACCCAGGGTCCTGGAGTGAACCTAGTCTTATTTCCATGATCTCATATTGTAAATTGATGCATTGATTGTGCAGGCTTATATTTGAATTGAGAGCCTAGGCTCTGCAATGCCTCAGCCTCATGTACTGATTCTCGGACAGAGCCTCGGCCTCACCGCAGCCTTGCGGCTCGCCGTTAAATTCATGGGCTCGCTGAGCACTCTCCGTATCATTTTCGCACTGGCAGATCTTCAGTGTACCGGTGCTGCAGTTACAGCTTCTGCTCCTATGTGCGTGTTCACTCTGATGTCTCTCGAATTTGCACTCAATGGGAAACCCTTACATGAAGATGGCCAATAACATGTCGGACGATGTTGAGAGGTTTCGGTTGGCCCTACAGCACTGTCCACCTGGTCATTCTTCCAATCGTCGATCTACATGTCTCTATCATCTTGCCACAAGGCTTCACCACAGGTTCAGACAGCATGGCATCCCATCTGACCTTGATGAGGCCATCAAACTCCACCGCGCTGCACTGGACCTCCGTCCCACCGGCCATTCTCTTCGGGCCTTGTCTCTCGACAATCTTGCAGAAAGCCTTGTAGACAGATGCAAGCAGCATGGCATCCCATCTGACCTTGAGGAGGCCATCGAGCTCCATCGCACTGCACTACTCCTCCGTCCCCCCGGTCATTCCAATCGACCCATCTCTCTCAACAATCTTGCCAGCAGCATTGAAGACAGGTTCGAGCAGCGGGGCATCCTGTCTGACCTTGATGAGGCCATCGAGCTCCATCGCACTGCACTGCACCTCTGTCCACACGGTCATTTTCATCGATACGTGTCTCTCAACAATCTTGCTGTCACCCTTATAGACAGATTCAAGCAGCAGGGAATCCTATCTGATCTGGATGAGGCTGTCAAGCTTCATCGGGCTGCACTACTCCTCTGTTCCCCTGGTCATTCTAATCAGATCATGTCTCTCCACAATCTTGCCAACAGCCTTGTAGACAGATGCAAGCAGCGGGGCATCCCGTCTGACCTTGATGAGGCCATCGACCTCCATCGCACTGCACTGCTCCTCTGTCCCCCCGGTCATTCTAATCGATCCATGTCTCTCAAAAATCTTGCCATCAGCCTTGGAGACAGATTTCAGCAGCGGGGCATCACGTCTGACCTTGATGAGGCCATCGAGCTCCATCGGGCTGCACTATTACTCCGCCCCCCCGGTCATTCTGATCGATCTGTATCTCTCAACAATCTTGCTGTGAGCCTTCATGACAGATTTCAGCAGCGGGGCATCACGTCTGACCTTGATGAGGCCATTGAGCTCCATCGGGCTGCACTGCTCCTTCACCCCCCCGGTCATTCTGATCGATACATGTCTCTTAACAATCTTGCTGTCACCCTTGGAGAAAGGTTCAAACAGCGGGGCATCCCGTCTGACCTTGATGATGCCATCGAGCTCCATCGGGCTGCACTACTCCTCCATCATCCCGGTCATTCTGATCGATACATGTCTCTCAACAATCTTGCCAGGTGTCTAAGAGACAGATTCAAGCAGCGGGGCATCCTGTCTGACCTCGATGAGGCCATCGAGCTCCATCGGGCTACACTGTTCCTCTGCCCCCCTGGTCATCTTGATCGACCCGCGTCGCTCAACAACCTTGCGAACATCATTGAAGACAGATTCGAGCAGCGGGGCATCATGTCTGACCTTGATGAAGCTATCAAGCTTCATCGTGTTGCACTGCTCCTCTGTCCCCCCGGTCATCCCAATCGATCTGAGTTTTTCCGTAATCTTGCCTCCAGCCTCCGAGCCAGGTTTCAAACGCTGGGCATCCCTTCTGACCTTGATGAGGGCATCAAGCTCAGTCAGGCTGCAATACTCCCCTTGCCCACTAGTTGGTCTGATCAATGCAGGTCTTTTGTCAATGTTGCAAATAGCCTTCTCGACAGATTCAAGCAGTGGGGCGTCCCGTCCGACCTTGATGGGGCCATCACACTTCACAGGACTGTACTATTCCTCTATCCCCCGGTCATTCTGATCGATCCAGGTCTCTCGGGTGTCTTGCACATGCCCTTCACCTCAGATTTCACCTGTGTGGTACCCTGTCTGACCTTGATGAAGCCGTCGAGGTCCATCGGGCTGCACTACTCCTTCATTTCCCAGGTCATATTCTTCGATCCACGTCTCTTGATTGTCTTGCGACCAGCCTTCTAGACAGATTCAAACAGCGGGACGTCCCATCTGACATGGATGAAGCATTTGGGCTATATTTGCAGCTCTCCCACCTACCTCATGCAGCCTCTCGTAATGATCTGAAGGCTGCCAAGTCATGGGCCACCTTTGCGGAGGAAATGAATGATGAAACTGCATTGGTTGCATATCAGACCGCATTGAAATCCCTCGATCAGCACGTTGCCCTTTTGTCGTCTTCCTCCCGCCATTTTCATGTTGTTAGGGAGGTAACTTCTTCCCTTGCGTTGGATGCTTTCTCGTGCGGTCTTCGTCGTGGTACTTTGACGACTGCTGTGGAGCTAGTGGAGCAAGGTCATGCAGTATTCTGGACCCAGTTGGCACGGTTCCGCTCGCCACTCGACGATCTTGCCCTGTCTTATGACACCGGGGCAGCCTTGGCGGAAGAGTTCAAGCAGCTGAGCTTTCGCCTTCGTAACGCGTTCAATTAGTCTACTGAAGACCAGTCTCCGCAAACCCGGCAACTGACCATGCAATGGGATGACGTCGTCTCGTGCATCCGCATGCTTCCTGACTTTTCCCGTTTTCTCCTGCCTCCCCTGTTCTCCGACCTACAGAAGGCGGCAGAAGATGGTCCAGTCATTATTGTCAATGCAAGCCAGTATAGCTGCGACGCATTGATTGTCCATAGTGCGGAAGATCCTGTCCGTGTACCGCTCGATATCACACAGGGAGAAGTGTCTGAGCTGTCCTCCGAGTTTCAGTCACTCGCAGAGCAGTTTGGTTCTGCCGATCATCAACACAAGCTTGTCGGCATCCTCCGCAAACTTTGGAATTGCATTGTTCACCCCGTAGTCCAAGCCCTCATGGAGTCTAAAGTTCAGCCTCGCTCCCGCATCTGGTGGTGTCCCACTGCTGAATTCACGCTACTTCCTCTACATGCAGCAGGACCTTACGAGAAAAACAAAGACAATTTGTCTCACATTTTCATCTCCTCTTACACCCCCACTTTGGCGGCACTCATTCGGGCGAGACAGTGGGTTTCTCTGGATCCGTCCACGCAACATTTTGTTGCCATTGGTCAAGCGAACCCGGATGGAGGGAAAGGACTCCGATGTGTCGCTCCTGAATTAGCTGTCGTAGCTGAGTGTCTCACACCTATCGTTTCCTTCACATCACTCGAGGACAGCTACGCAACAGTCCAGGGTGCACTCGACGCCCTCAACCATAATCAGTGGATTCACTTAGCCTGCCATGGAATGCCGAATCGACAACAACCATTTGAGTCTTCCTTTGCCATGCGCGACGGGCCTTTAATGATCAAGGATATCGTCCAATCCAACTGGCAGAATCCGGAGTTTGCATTCCTATCGGCCTGCCACACCACCGTGGGAGATGAGAAGAGTCCCGACGAGTCGATACATCTCGCTGCGGCCATGCAATTCTCTGGATTTCGCAGTGTCATAGGTTCTATGTGGTCTGTTGACGACGAGGTTGCGCGCCAGGTGGTGTCTGCTTTCTACAGAAACTTTATTGATGATTCAGGGAGATTGGACTGCACACGGGCCGCGGTAGCGTTGCACAAAGCTGTGAAGTCGTTGCGCAAGAAGATTCCGCTAGAACAGCAGATTGTATTTGTTCACATAGGTGTGTAGTTAGGAACTCGATTCGTTTTATTATTACATTTGCTGTATTTTCTGGTTGCTTTTATTTCCTCACTCTCCTGATGTTTAGTTGTCTGATATCGCTTTGTTGTTCCATTCTGTAGTCGTCCCGCGATCTACTCATGCACCATCACAGTCCTAAGTTAATCACGGCAGTAGCATATGATTCAGTGTATTTGAGCGTACATGACTGTGATCTGCCCCTATTGGCCTGTGGTGTCTGCTTATTTTCACTTTTGGATGCTGTACTATGACGAATCTCCTGTGATGAAATCAAATATCATGATGTTAACAAAAACTCTGAAATAACTACAGTCATTCACATGCAGCAGAGCAGCACAAAAAAGTCGTCAGTGAAAGAATATCAAGTATTTTAAGAATGGCAGTCACAGACTGAATCATACAGGCTGGACGCCTTGCCGCATTTGATTAGTGAACAGCAATATCGACCTAGCGGTCAAGCTTCTCTTGCGTGAGCTGGAGCTCAATAAGACTTCAGGAGATGATAGCTTGCGGACGACCTCCAGTCGTTCCTTTCGCGAGAGCAGTCTCAAAGTGCGTGCAAGGTCCCTTTGTCGCACTGAGACCAAGGGGATATGAAAAGAGGTTAAACATGGCACCAGTGCGGTCGATCTAGTGCATGCAATCGGCGATGTGAGAGGAGATGTTGATGAGACCGACAAGTTCGACTATGTCGCCACCCATAGATTTACAGTACTTAGCCACCTCGAAAGGGACGACATCATCAGGAAATCGGCCATGAGGTGATTTTAATAGATATTTCTGGCAAAATAAAATCAAACATCTACATATTATGTCCAAATATATGGAGATATATAGGCGCCAGCACAATGACACTGAATGACAACCCATTGCAAGAAAACTCTAATGTTGATGAAGATATGTATGGCTCGTAAATATGATATTTTGTAGACAAACCGTTGAAAAAGCCCAGCATCGCTCCATAAAAGTGTTCACCTACTGCCTGAGCTTGACTTTGTGATAACTGTTTGCAATGTTACCTAGTTGGCAATCAAGAGATGCAAAACTCTCGTAGTACTGACACAAAATGGACATTGCTGGCAGTTGTGACGCGTCCGGGTAATACCTTGTCACTTGCTAGGAGCCTGAGCTGCACCGCTCCATTGTGTATGCAGTCGACACGCCGGCAAGGACAACAAAACAGATAGAAACCATTAATTCAGTTCCAATTACAGCTAACAGAACATGTCAGGAAACATCGATACTCTACAAGAAAAGCTCAAAGTTCATCAACGTTCATCATCAGCCACCACAAGTCCTTGGGCGAAAAGATAGCAAAACTAAAATGCTGCCATATCTGAAATCCGCGTGCGCATAGGTCAATGGCTAGACCACGGTGCGCAGATGATTCGTCGTGCAAATACAACATGATTGACTTGGAGATGTCGACGAGTGAGCTAGGAAGTCATTAACGTTGACTAACATGACTAGAAGGTCATTGTTACCTGGTGGATAATGAGAGAACGGACATCAACGTTGCTCCTCCTGGGATGGTACCACTTGACGGACTCTGTGCTCTCCACAATCTTCGGCGCGTCTTCTCCGTTACTGATATGCGCAGTCATCGGTTCCATGCTGTGACCCACATTCCGCTCGCCTCGCTCTCGAAAGAGATTGGTGAAGCCCTTTGATTCAGTGGGCTGCTGGGTTGGGTATTGTTTGGAGTGGGGGAGCGAGGGCGTGGGGCTTCGACCTCGGTAGTCGTCGAAAGAACAGCGGTAGCCGTTTTAGCGGGGGTATCCCGTTTGGGAGGTGCTTTCACAGCCGGCTTGCACTTGTCAAATGCGAAGCTCAGGATGGGAGATGTAGCTGGATTCCATTCTCCGTATGATCTCCATCTTGTAGTCGTCCAAACTGCGTTGCCTCGAATGAGAGGGAGTGCAGGAAGGAAGTATAGTCGAAGGAGCTTGAACCAGAATTGCCGGACGGGATGACTCGCGTCAGGTTCACCTAACGGTTTTCTGGAAACTGGATCCAATGGAATCTGAGATCGATTGAGTCAAGATCGGTTAGACGGGCAAAGGAATAACTTACAGTGGATAACAATTGTGAGCGTCCCAGCCTCGTGATCTTCGTGACGAACAAGGCATCACGCGAAACGTGCAGCCCAATGAAACTCATCAAAGGCTCGATCACGTCTACCATGTCCTCAAAGGAAGGGCAAAGTGGGATACGCTGGGTCCAATCGGGAAAGAAAAAAACGAAAATGACTGACGCAGTACCAGGAAGAGTGGGGGCTATTAACGATAGCTGATATTGACGAATTGGAACTGCCGATGTTCCAGTAGCGCTGAAACGTGCACGAGGTTGCGTAAAACTGGGATTGCGTTCCTTGAGGACGAATGTTGCGTCATACAGAGGAGCAATGGAATACTTCAGAACCCTCAACATCAGGTCTGCCAAGTCGGAGTGAGCGTCAACAAACCAAGGAATCCTCGTCAGAACCGCAATGGCCGGGTGTAGAGCTCCCACAGAGATAAGGCCATTGACTAGCCCAGCGACTTGGTTGGGAGATTTGAACTCGACGCTCTTTTTCACTTCCGTAGGTTCCATACGAGGCTGTGAGCTCGAGCTGGAAGACTCCAAAGGAGCTGCCATGGCGAGCTGACTGATCTTGGCATCAGAAATGCGCTGCTGGACCTGGGTAAAATAGTCCTTGTGGTATGTTTCAATATCCGCGTCCCTTGGAGTAAGCTGCTGCGTTGTCAGGAGGTCACTGGCCATTTGACAGAAATGTCCTCACATGAGGGTAAAGATCTTCTACAGAATGAAACACTCTCTAATCAAGATGGCAGCAGTTAGATAGAGGTTCCTCGGGGGTGGTTCATGGGCCTCTGGGGACTATATGACGAGTGAATTGCAAGCATCGTTTCACGTCGAAAAAGACTGACCTGATAATGGGAGAATTTGAAACCTAGCACCTGTGTTAGCACTCTTCGGTGATTTCCAATACTTCGTCCAGGCTCTTATCCCCCAACTGCTCAGTAACGGGATCAACAGCCATGCGGGTAGCAGTGAACATTGCGGGACGTCTATACAGTCCAGTCCATGGAGAAAACGAAAGCAACACCAAGAAAAATGTGTAGTGGGTTGTTCTGCGACGTGAATATGTCGACAACGCTTCTCGCTAGAGAGATAGTGGAGGGTTGGTGGAGGGCGCAAACAACATTGCAACTATAGTAGATGCGGCGGTGTGATTATATAATCGATCTAAAAGACGCTGATATGCCTGCGATACTCATCGATAATCCCAAACCACATCATCAACTCATAATACGGTATAGAAGTGTCGATGGGGCAGCAAAAGACGGTATGTATCAATAGATGGATATTTTTCATACTGATCGCCGTCCATCCACAGGACAGTTGTGGGTTGCCAAAGAAGGGCGAGGCGGGGAGTGTTATGGTAGTGGTGATCAGGCCTTTGATCCCGGGTTCCAGGGGAAGGAAAGTAAGGTGCGTAAATAGTTCGAGCACCACGCACACTCACTAATTTGTGTAGCCCTCACATGAACGGGGAGCCGCCGGGGAGACTGAAGTATCAGAGTATCGATAAGGTGGTTCGGCTAGTGCGAATGAGCGCCAATGAGGGGGTCGATGAGGGGGCTGATGAGGGGGCCGATGAGGGGGCCGATGAGGGGCTGATGTAGTCTACCACCACCAAGCGCTCGACGCGTACGCGTATACCGAGTTCCATGTCGTCAGAATGCCCGCTAGAGATGTAGGCCTGAACTCTTTGCATCGATCCGGGAGTTTTAAGCCTTTGGAGTGACTCTTAGACTCCAACTGTGAGCGAAGACCGGACGTCACTTTTTCTGCGCATGAGTGGGTGTTACGCACGACGATCACGTTTACCAAGCGTTGGGTACTTGGCTCTGACATTCCTTTGCGAGTGCGGGTGAGTGGAGCGGAAGCAGCGGATGCATTAGCGGATTAGCAGTCAAGCTCTGGGGTGGTGCGCACCTCGTGTATTGATGAGGATCCGTTGGCTTTGGCCTTCCTCAAAGCCATGGCAAGGGCACTGGCAAAGTGTACGTCACACAAACTCTTCAGTTGACCTAGCTGCTCGACAACGACAACAGTATGGAGCACGTCAGTGAGCTGGTCAAGAGCAACGGACACTTCAAAAAGCTCCTCCACGGTCCGTGCAGCAGTCATAGGATCACAAAATTCTGGGTCATCCAGATGTCCATCAAGGGCGCCCGTAAGCTGCCACCGCTTGCGCACGAGCGTCTTGTACTTCGTTTCAACACCGGTGCGCTGCATCTCCAGGCGATGGACTTCCTCAGGAATGTCCGCACGTGAGATCTCTGCCCTGAGAAGACGTATAGATGACGCTTCCACAGACTGCTTGATGGCTCTCGAGACGATCGTTTGAAACCACTGAGCTGCCTCTATGGTCAATCCTCGCCACCTCTGGGGTGGCGTCTGGAATTTCGGCGCCGGTGTCGAAGCAGCAGCGGTCAGGGTTTGCGTGGACCAATTGGCAGCGGCGGTCGAGCCCTAGCTCGACTCCTGATATTGGAAGGCGGGCTAGGGGTAGCAGAAATGGATGGCTGTCGGATGATGTTAAAATGAAACTGTGATACGGGGGAGGAGCTATGAATGAAGGTGTCAACGATGGTGATGAATTGACAGATGACGGTCGGAATGGACTCCTTGAAGAAGTAGAGAGTGGCGAAACGGACGGTAAAAATGAGGTACCGGGGACATGAAAATCAGATTCAGGGCGTTGCAATAAATGATCCGGAGATGGCCCTTGGAAATGCGAAGACCCCACATTCCAACATCATGCTGCTTGGGCATGGTCATGGCCAAGATGATAACCGCTACGCCAAAGTCCTGGGTCATGTCAATGTCGTTCTCGCGGGGAACGTTCATGAATCCCGCTGAATAGAATTTCTGTTCATTCAGTGGTATGAATTAGTTCAAAGCCGTACATGATCTGAATAACAATATTAATATTTCCCCTCTTGTGGGAGATAAACACGATTGGAAGGAGTACTGCGTTAATAGGTAAGCGATTCTATCCATTTTGGCGATTTTTATGAATCTTACAATTGAATTAGCTTCGTTGATCGAGATACGCTTGTGCGATTTCACCTTGGTGTGGGGCATGTCTACTCCCATCAGGCAGCCTTACATGAAGGCCACAGCTTGGTGTCACAGCCCAAATCCACTCAAACAGCTGCCCAGATGGAAGATGGACGTTTGGGAGGCGAGAAAAGCCTTTTGGGAAGCAGTACGCACCACCCAGGTGACAGCGAGCGGGATGAGCTGGACGAGGTGCGGAGCATATTACGGGATCAACAGGGGATGATTGTGGCGGTATCGTAATATCAATCTTCTGGTCAGTTGTATGGGTCTGCTGTCCTGGGGATACTGAAATGGGTGCAACTTCAGAAGTGATCTCAGGAGGGACAGGTTCAGGCGGAGGTGTTGACCTCATAGGTCATTCGATAGATACAGGCCTGCTAGGGGCAGCAGAACTATCATCTCCTGCTGAGCCCTCTCCTCGCGACGGAACGCTCAGTGTCATCGCCCGAGACAATGTGCCAGCGCCATCTTGTGGTACCGGAGGGATCGCCGACCTAGGCGCCTGAGGGCGTCCAGGAAGCTGGAGTGCCATTATGGCTAAGGGGAAGTTGGGGGAGAATAATGGAGTAAAAATATTTGGAGTCTCGGGGAAGGTCGGTTCCCCAGTGGAAGAGCTCGAGGAGGGGAAAGTCGATGAACTTTGCGACTTGGGCTCCAGCGATCGCATAATCAAGGAGGTCATACTCTTGGCTGACAGTGACGCTTCCAGGAATATCAAGGGCACGTTCCGCACGTTGACGCTGTGCAAATATTCCCGTACCGGAAAGTGGGCTAGTGTCAAGACTATCCAACTCCGCAAAGGCGGTCAATGGCATCTCGATGTGACTAGCAGGAACTGCAGAAGTGGGTACCAGAGGGAACTGGGACAGCGCTAAGAGACATTGCACAGTAGACGAAGCAATTAAAGCAGGAGTGATTGGTATTTGTGAGACAAATATTGAACAAGGGCACTCGCCGATGGGAAGTCTGATCTGCTTTTTATTGCTTTGAAAAATGCCGCTAGACAGAACATCTGATGCCTTGAAACCTGAAGAACGTTTAATGACAACTGACAGCAAAAACTCGTGAACACTTACTTCTCCCACACCTCAATGACGGCGATGCTCCTGGCGCTCGTGCCCTGCGCTTCCTCAGACTGACATTGCCAGATTTCGTCTGCAAGTATGCGCTGACCTCAGAGCTAATGATTGATACCCATCCAGACCATCCGTTGGACTAGGAGAGAAGAATTGGATCGATGTGCTAGACACGCCAGTTCCCGTTTGGTGAAATGATGACTGCGACGATGCTGTTGCAGGAGTGTGAGAAGCAGTATTTGGAACGTCTGAATCAGTCTCATCCATCCTTGCGAATATACTGCTTGCACCTATGGAGCTATCACTCTTCATTGGTTGAGTGTCGCGAATTGACTGTGATGGCATTGGCGTCGTCGGCACAGGCGAAGGGACCTCTCATATTTGGGAAATGTGTCTTGATAAGCCTGAATGCATGATCATATCAGGAGATGCCATGGCCGATGTGCCGGCATCTGGAGACGATTGCGATTTATCTTGGACGATAGACGCTCTCGCTTGACCCAGAGCCTGAAGGCAGGGGAGGCACAGGGGGTACGGTCGAGTCACGATCCGAGTCGTGTGCACGCGCAATTTCCGCCAGCAGATGGTCACCACGAGGAAAAGTCGCAGAATCTTGACGCGTCATACCGCTGCGGTGTCGCGATTCCCGACCAGGGCAAGAGCAAGAGTTGTGCCGGATATAGCGGACATGTTATCCGAATCCATGGGGGGTGGAGGGGAAGCGGTTGGAAACGGTTGCCGACTCGAGCCCGAAGATTCGGGCACATTCGCTGCTGGTCGCTTGGGCGCGACAATTTCGACTTTTGGTATATAGATTGGGCAGCGCTCGTTTGAGCGCAATGCGTTTTTGTCGGATCCTGGAGAAGGCGCTGTGGGCGCTGATAGGTCTCTTGGCAGCAGATGAAGTAGGAAATACTTGGCTGGTAATATATTAGCCTCGGCTACATGAAGGGTGATAAAACATTTTCCCTTCAAAATTAAACCATCTGGCACGACAACGCACTCACCGTCACTTTGAATAACGGGTAAAGGCAGGCTGTATCTGCCTCGACAACCAGCCACCCAACCTGGTCCAGGCGATTAAACCAAGTCTGGCCCTGCCGATGAGACCCGGCGCACTATGAATGGATACGGTCAGGTAAAATCATTGGTGTGGAGGAAGAAGACTCACGTAGATAGGAGATACCTGGTAGCCATCAGCCAGGTACCCAATTAGATCATACGTGTCGTTGGTTAATGCGACAAATGCATGCTGAAACCAAAGTTAAAACAAAACGGCGGATGAGCGTCGACAAACCTCTTCGTGCTAGAGGGAGGGCCGCGTCAGCGGATGGTCCGCGGTACAGAGTCTAAGAAGACTCACGTAGAACCCCAGAAGTTGTAATCTATGTCGTTCGGCTCCATGCTTGATGTGAAGACGGCATCAAAGGGAGCGGGTGGCTGGAGGGTATCTGAGGGACATGTCGCGACAGCACTTGACGTCGAGGGGGCGAAGTCCGGGATGCACCTTGTTCAAGGCACCCCACTGAAAGATGTGCTCAGGGTGGTGGAGCTTGAAGAGGATGGAGAAGAAACACTTCCGCCTGATACAATCTCGGATGTGTTCGTGCAAAATGCAATGAGGAGGTTCACCTGTGCCACGACCGATTAGTTGGTGAATCTGACACGTCTGGACTACATACATTGTCAGCTTCACATTGACGTTGAGCATACCAGTCTTCTGGGGCATAGAAGGCCGAGGCGCAGTTGGCACTGTTGCCTTGAAGCCATGTGTAAGCATGAGTACAGATTCCACATCAGACTAGACTCACAATCAGCTCCAAATCCGTCACATCCGTTGTAATACCTACCTGGTCGTCAGGATGTGTATATAAGTGGAAATCTGCATACGCACGCAAAAGACGTCTCCACGTTGAAAACATGGCTGAGGGGAAGTGGTGAGGGTAGAGCCATGTTCACTGAAAAAAAAACTCACAGATTTATGAGCGAGATATCAACGCTGGAACCACACCCAAGACAGGACGGGTTGGCCAAATTCATCTCCAGCAAGGTGCAATCCTCGGGGGCAGAGCTTCCTGGACATTGCCGGATTCCAAAAGCATGACGAAGTAGGAGATTCTCTCCTGTATCTCGCCCTCGACGCAGAAGTTGGTGAGCGGCGACATTGCACCCCTGACCACCTTCTTCAGGTCCGATTTCGTGTTGTCGAGGGACTTGGATAACTGCTATTGTTAGTTAGAATGGAGGAAAGACAAGAGCAGGTGTACATTGACGCGGATCTGTGGTGCCAAACCGGCAATGGAAACCACGTAATCCCCCAGCGCATGAAACTTGTACGTATGGAAATTGAACGACTTTTCTTCCTTGCTTGCCTCAGTAAAGGTGCAGCCTGCGACTGCTCCGGATTCACCTTCTGTTTGCCTTTAGCATTGACGCCTGTCCTAAATCTTCGAGCCGTCAAATTCCCACAAAACCTCAGGCAGATGGCGGGGTGCTTGGCGATGGCAAAATAGGCTAGATCACAGTCGCATTGACGCATGTCCTAAACCTTCGAGCCGTCAGATTCCCACAAAACCTCTGGCAGATGGCGGGGCGCTTGGCGATGGCAAAATAGGCTAGATCATAGCCTTACAAAAGCAGGGTGAAGAATGCATCCTTGCTGCACCAGACCACCGAATGGAAGCCCCATTGATGAGACTTCTGCACACCGCCATTCTAGTATCAATGGTCGAGCTCAAAAGAACATTGGTTGGGGTATGGGTGAAATTGGGCATCGTGAGTCTCAGCGTGGACATCTGATTCGGCTGAAACGGGAGCTGGAACAAAGCCGATGTCTTGGAATGTCACAGATTCTTCTGGATCGTTGGATGAGGAGGTGGATGAGAAGAACTGGTGTACTAGTTCGAAGAACTCACCTGAATAAAACAAACACGATTACTGATGGGATGATACCATAAACTTGAGAATTTTAAATCGCAATGGAGAACTTACAAAATGCCTTCACCCACAAACGATAAAGACGGGCTTCACTTGCCAAGGGTAGAGAGGCAAGTAGAATGACCTGCCAGACACAGAGATAGTGAATACGCAGCACTCAGCTATCAAGTGCCAGATCGCCAGATCAGTGAGGTGGCGCAACTCTGAGCGTGGTACAAACAAGTCACAACACGAAAATTTTATGTGATGGCGAAAATGTAGCCAATGCCGCATTCACCAGTGTATGGAGTTCTCGCTGCATCATATTATTACATCCATTGGTAGTACATACAGGTTCAACGCAACAGCAAACAACAGCAGAAGGGACTAGTATGTGCGCATAGATTATGCGTGCTTTAAGAAGTATGAAACGGGTAAATCCCAGATATATCTCAGCGACGTTGTGGAGCTGAAGCCCTCATTATTTGGAAGCTCGTCGATTGCATCGTCAACTGGCTGGGTTACGATGTCCATCACGTCTGACATGTTTCTTCTTCTAGTCCTGTCAGGGAGGTACATCGGAAGTTGCCCCTTGCAGATGCCGAGAACATTGTGTCCCCTAAATATAGACCATAATGAGTATAATTTTGAATGGCAATATAAAGGCGTTCACGTTAGGAAGGGGAGGATCTGCACTGCCTCTGTGCTGTGAACGGGGGGAACATGTGCAGCTTCTCGTACATTTCGTCTAAGGCCGACATCAGAATACCGCGCATTTCTTCTTGGCGAGGGTGTTCAGTGTCATCTGAGCCCGCATCACTCAAGACTGATGTCATTGTATAATAGAGCTGATGTAAAATACGGCCTTTGTCATTTCAATAGGCAAGAAGTGAAGAAGAACTTACAAATGTCAAGAGATTGCCCACTGGCGTTTGCGCCAAGCACCTGTATCTCGAAAAGATTTCCTCCGGATAGAGATCCGCCATCCTCCCTTGTTGGTACTCATCCGCTAACCTTTTGATCGGCTGAAAAAGTGTCGCCCACAGAAGTTCCCTAAAGACTTGGTGAATTATGAGTTCTTGAATGGCCCGTTGCACCTGTAAAGCGAAAGGTTGAAATTGAATTAATCTGGCGCGGTCTCCAGCCACATACTTGATGGACATCGCCGGATTCCAAAAGCCTGACGAAGTAGGCGATTCTCTCCTGTATCTCGCCCTCGACGCAGAAGTTGGTGAGCGGCGACATTGCACCTTTGACCACCTTCTTCAGGTCCGATTTTGTGTTGTCGAGGGACTTGGATAACTGCTATCGTTAGTTAGTATGGAGCAAAGATAAGAGCAGACGTACATTGACGCGGAATACCGGCCATCCGGCAGTGATGGATTCTCCGCTAGCGAATGTAATGTTCACTGATCGAAATGTGAGATGTTGACTCATAGCGCCTAAAACGCAAGGTGCCCACCCGGTATTTCAAGCATTTGCTCGTAATTCTTATCGACTAAATCAAGCGCGGTGAGGAAGCAGTTAGTTACTGAACGCCTCACGACCACAGGATTAGTGCTAAACGGATGTAGATGCTCCCCAACCCACAAGCCCCCAATAAAGAGGACCCTCGTAAGCATTACAATACGCCACCAGGGCGTTCTCCTCATTTGTTGGGTGAGGGCGGTCCTTTGCACCTTGTTCAAGTCACCCCACAGGCTGGGGGCAGAGCTTCTCCATTGTAGGTCGGGATGAAAGCTGCCAACGGCTAGCTCCTCGATAGGTGCCTCATTCGGGTCATCTGAGATTGACCCCGTGAGCTCACCGATGCCGCTGGCAGAGGCGATCGTGGATAAGCCCCAGAAGTTGTAATCTATGTCGGTCGGCTCCATGCTTGATACTATGGAGACGGTGTCAAAGGGAGCGGGTGGCTGGAGGGTATCTGAGGGACATGTCGCGACAGCACTTGACGTCGAGGGGCCGAAGTCTGGGGTGTCATACATAGCTTGTACCGTCGCAGTAGCAGGGGAATAGATAGGAGGCGGGTAACCGAATGGAAACGGTGCGGGGTAAAATTGGATCGATTTTTCGTTCAGCAAGTCTTGTAGCTATTAACAAGGCATTATGAAAGCACGTATACTCCTCAGGACAGCACTCACCAACCACGTCGGTAGTGGATCACCTTGGGCACTAGGTCTACAGTAAGTAGAACCGATCGCGCTGATATAGTCGCCACCTGTTGGCTAATTTTCCCTTCAAAATTAAACTGTCTGGCACGACAACGCGCTCACCGTCACTTTGAATAACGGGTAAAGGCAGGCGGTATCTGCCTTGACAACCAGCCACCCAACCTGGTCCAGGCGATTAAACCAAGTCTGGCCCTGCCGATGAGACCCGGCGCACTATGAACGGATACGGTCAGGTAAAATCATTGGTGTGGAGGAAGAAGACTCACGTAGATAGGAGATACCTGGTAGCCATCAGCCAGGTACCCAATTAGATCATACGTGTCGTTGGTTAATGCGACAAATGCATGCTGAAACCAAAGTTAGAACAAAACGGTGGATGAGCGTCGACAAACCTCTTCGTGCTAGAGGGAGGGCCGCGTCAGCGGATGGTCCGCGGTACAGAGTCTGGCACTTACGCTGAGCCTAAGCAGCTGCTGAAGGATTTCTGGCCATTGGGGTTGGTATAGCCACACGGGGGCAATTGATGCTGAAGCCATCAGGTTGGGCGGAACTTCCTGATGGCTGATGAGGATTTATAGTAAGTATCATTGGCGAGGTTGGTAAAGCTAGCCATCAATTGGCAAGGTTTGCTCGCGATAACCAAAGGGAATTCTTGATGGCCGTGAATTTTTGATGGCCAGGAGTGATGGCCAGAGCAATTCGAATTACGCCCAGATAGCCAGCAGCGATGGCCAGCGATGAACGGTAGCCGAGAATCAGCCAGAAATTAGATTTGCGCACATTGGGTTAGGAGACGTCGCTGTGATGTAATATTAGTTCTCGTAATCGAAGGTGTGCTGCACGAACATCTCGTCTAATGCGTCTATGAGTGACTCCGTAGTTTCATTCCTCCCCAGCTCAAAAAGATCAAGCTCCTCGACACCAATGTGATCGCCCTCCTCATCCAGCTCATCCCGCTCGCTGTCACCTGGGTGGTGCGTACTGCTTTCCAAAAGGCTTTTCTCGCCTTCCAAACGTGCATCTTCCATCTGCGCAGCTGTTTGAGTGGAATTGGGCTGTGGCGCCAAGCTGTGGCCTTCATGTAAGGCTGCCTGATGGGAGTAGACATGCCCCACACCAAGGCCATGGTGAAATCGCATAAGCGTATCTCGATCAACGAAGCTAATTCAATTGTAAGATTCGTAAAATCGCCAAAACGGATAGAATCGCTTACCTATTAACGTAGTACTCCTTCCAATCGTGTTTATCTCCCGCAAGAGGGGAAATATTGTTATTCAGATTGCGCTGACCTCGAGAAAAGGCGGGAATGATATGGCATGCCCTTAGAACATCCCCTGGGTTGACAAACCCAAATGCGTTAGGATTCTCCAAAGGTAGGAAACGAACTCGGCCCATTTCATGTGTGTTCCATGTATGGATTTGAACTAGTTCATACCACCGAACGAACAGAAATTCTATTCGGCGGGATTCATAAACGTTCCCCGTGAGAACGACATTGACATGGTGAATACCCAGGACTTTGGCGTAGCGGTAGTTACCATCTTGGCCATGACCATGCCCGAGCAGCATGATGTTGCAATGTGGGGTCTTCGGGTTTATCACGTCTTGAGCCCTTCGGACGTCGTACGTAGTATAATTAAATCTTGCGAGGTTATGGTGGTAAATTCGGTTACGTTTAAAAAGAATTGGACTAGGCGCTCGGTCAGGATGGAGGAGTGTCTCCACGAAAGGTCCAGGGGTCCCAACGCGATCGAGAATGTAGTCTCTTAATCGTGGAAGAAAGTCCTAAGTCGTACGTCAGGACTATGGCGGACAAGTTCGAAAAAATATAAATACCTTTATAGCCGGATCTCCTGCATGGCTGCGAAGGTAGTGTCCAAACTCGTCATAAAATTTCTCGCTTTGCCCGATGTGATAATGCAGCTGGGGGTCGTTCATAGTTTCGTTAGGCTTCGCATCAAGACCCTGTCTTTGCTGCCGTTGCTCGATGCGGCGTAAGTGCGCTTGACGGCGCTCAATCTGAGTGAGCTGGTGAACAAAGTCCCTGCGATTGGTTCGACGGTATCGGCCTTTTGGCGTACGGTGTTCCAACTCTCCCTGAGAGAAGTTGAGTTGGAGAGCGAACAAGTAGTACGTTAAAGACTTACTGGTTCTGTGCTATAGGAATCCGTGGTGCCAAACCGACGAATGGAAGCCACGTAATCTCCCAGCGCGTGAAACTTGTACGTATGGAAATTGAACGACTTTTTCTTCCTTGCTTGCCTCGGTAAAGGTGCGGCCTGCGACTGCTCCGGATTCGCCCTCTGTTTGCCTTTAGCATTGGCGCCCGTCTTAGACCCTTGAGCCATACTGCCCTGGCCAACGTCATTCTCCATGCCATTTCCCGCCCGTTTAGTAGACTCCTTTGCCTGCCGACGTGATCGTGCATCGAGTTCACGATCGAGCTCGTGGGTGCGATATGCAGTGCATACCTTCGCCTTAAAGTCACGGAATTGTTCACCAAGGCGGCTTGTTTGCTGGTCGAGAATATCCAGTGTCAGGTCGGAATGCATCCGAAGCTTGGCGAGTCCATGCCAGTGCGCCATGGTGAAAAGGAGATCAAGGAGTATTTTATTGTGGGCATCTGGGAGGAGGCCTTCAAAGACCGGGAAAGAGCACTTGTGCAAATTAGTGCACAAAGACCTATCAAGAATTATCCCATAGACATACCTGTAGAAGATCTTCGAAGTTGCGCGCGGCCATGTTGGACATTTCGGAAGTGTTGGCAGAAAACCGCCTAATGGTTGCTGGCCCAAATGGGGGAACCTGCCGGTACCTGTCAAGGATGGGAATGAGTACGTAGGGCCTTCAACAGATATTCATCTAGCACCTCTTATCAAGTTCGTAGATTAGGTCCTTATTAAATGTGCAGAGAATTCTGAGTAAATGGACCAGGAGCGTGCGCCATACCCCAAGTTCAAACTCGTGTAGGAGATCCACGACAAGCGCAGCAAACACGTTAAATCCAAACGGACCAAGGCTGTCAGACAGCGCGTTCTAACCAAGAGTTAGCAAAGGCGACCGAGGAAATCTATAATACGCTCACCGAGTTCGGTACCCACGAGTCATGCTTGAGAAGCTGCTCAACTACCGTGCTGTCGACGCCATAATTCCTCTCGTAGATGTGGCTACGTGCTGTAGCAACAGACTGCCTCCTCGAGGCATTGGATCGCGCTAGTGTTGAACGTTGCTGCCGATCGTGACTCATCCCCAGATTTTGAAGCCGCGATGTGGGTACCAGACATCGAGGACAAGGACATCCTCCCATCTGCCGAATAGTTGCAACAAGAACCCTTGATTTGGTGAGCTTAGATTTCTTATCGAAGACTTTCAGCACTCACTTTTCAGGATAGTCTGCGGAGTAGGTAAATACCCGCGGGTAAAACCTGCGTTTTACCCCATCACAGCACATGATCACGATCCCGTGCTCGTACGCCTCTAAAAATTCATGGTCGAGCAGAACCCTCCATTGAGCTTGAAAAAGTTCGCGCTGGCAATGAGATGAACATTCGCGGCCAACCCCCTTGCCATTGGTGTAGGTACCAGCGAAGTCTTTAAACGAGTCCGGGAGCTGTTGAAATATGAGCTGAAACACTGAGGGGGAGATTGTTGATTCAGAAGGGCCTTCGTACCTTCTGAAAATAGGCCACATGGTTGCTCAAGTTGCAGGTCGGTTTACAGCGCCGGTATTTAGATTTGTTTCCAAAATACATATAAACTGGCCATAGTTTCGCATTGCCGAACGTGGTCAGGTGTGTGGCGTCCGACCAAAACATAAGTGCAACAACGACTCGTGGTAAATCACATCCCACCTCTCCAGGCAACTCCTGGAGTTCACGGTGCGCGTCCATAAAGGCCGGCGAGGTGTACAGTTCACCTTGAATGTCAACTTCATGGGGAAGGTGAGGAGGTTTCCATCGGAGTTGGTAAGGCTCGTAGTGAAAATGCTCATCGTCCTTAGCGTTTGAGAGCTTCTCCCGGATGACGGAGGTGAGAGACCGATGATGAAGGTCTGCGGCGACGTATGATCGAGCACCTGGCTGAGCCGTGGTCCGAGAAAAGGGCACTTCAATGCTCACTGGCGTTTTACGCCAACCCGCATCTTCGTCTTCCCATTCGTCCCCCTCATCATTCTGAACGCTTGCACCTAGCTTCGAGTTAATTTTGTCCCACGCTGTATTCTGTACGTCGGCAGGATCAAAATCAGGATCTGCAATGATGTTAACAAGCTCTTTGAAGCTCTGATGAGATTTCTGCGCGCTGCCATTCCAGTACCAATGGCCAAGCTCAAAAGAACTTCGGTTGGGGTATGGGTGAAATGAGGCGTCGCGAGTCTCGGCGTGGGCATCTGGTTCCGCTGAAACAGGAGCTGGAACAAAGCTGATGTCTTGGAGTGTCACTGCTTCTTCTGGGTCGTGGGATGGGGGGGTGGATGAGAAGAACTGGCGTACCAGTCCGAAGACGTTCCTAGCCGTGCGGAACGGGGGTGAAGTACGAGTGCTGGTGGATGCGTCGGTGGTATTTGCAGGCGAGCTAAGCACAGATGTATGGCTGGATGGAAAGCTCGGGGGAGGCTGAGGAAGTACATCCTCATATTGCCTATAGCGTAGCGGCATGGGGACGTCAACACGTCGGCTCCTCCGCTGCGCCAGCGATAAGCCGTTGTCTTCATCTGTTTGCGTGGGCGTGGAGCTAAGACCAGTGTTGGATGAGGCAGGTGCGTCTTCTTGCGACGGGGAACCTGCATGGGACACCTTGTTTAAGGGGGACGTTCCCGATAAACTTAGGTCGACGGACAGGAGTGAGTCCTGCGGGCAGCGGGAATGCACGCTTAAAGACGCGGTGGTAGAGTCCAGATGATGCCTAACATGGTTAGGGTCTACTCGTGGCCGTTTCACCAATAGATCCTTCGCCTTGGACAAAGCAGAGAACAGTCGCTTCTTGCCCTTCACGCATGAGTGTTGATGCTTAGTGTACGCGCTCTCTTGTGTAAACTCACGCGTACAGGTGCATCGGAAGGTGGTTGGTGTCGACGACAAATCAGCCCGATCCATAGACGTGAAGAAGAGAGGCTGAAGGAACGAGGGTGCAGCTGAGCTCGATGATAACTAAAAGGATCCGATTTAAGGACGTACGATTTCAGTAGCATAACATAAACTTATGCACTAGCAAGGGCCACCGCATTTACCACATCACAGCGCCAGATTCCCACAGGACAAAACCTCTGGCAGATGGCGGGGTACTTGGCGATGGCGAAATAGGCTAGGTCACAGCCTTATAAAAGCAGGGCGAAGATTGCATCCTTGCCACACCAGACCACCGAATGGAAGCCCCATCCTCACCTTCCTCTACCATCACTGCCCCGCCTGACTATAAGGAAATCTCTCAGAGGATAGGCAGACTCGTTGCGGAGGCTAAGACATGCAATCTCACCCTCCTACACTATGACGGCGCCTCGAAATCCATGGTTGATTGGTTTTGGTGAGATTTCACCTCCTCCTGTGTGAATCTTGACCCACGAAACTGCTCGACAAAACACACAGGCCTGCCGATGGCGATGGAAAGAAGATTCCGCCGTTCAACCTAGAGATTCATCGCGATGAATATAATTTTAGGTACCCCTGCTGCATATGCGCTGATGGTGGTGGAAGAGGGGAGTACGTAGAGTCTGCTGTGTACTCTTGGTGGGATAAGGACACCGATCAGACTGATTGGACCGCACGGTGCGCATCCGATAGATGCGGGTACAAGGGTCAGTATCCTTCGTGCTGAAGATAACGTCAGACTCAATATTACCCAGTGAAGATGGATATGTACTTCAGGTTACCGACGGTAGCCACTTTCCAGTACCCTCGAAGAGGTATGAACTTACATCCGCAGTACCGTGGTTTCACTGACGGATAATAAAGAACAGCAGATCTTGCCCGTTGCGCTCGAGTGGACCGACAGGGAGCAAACAGAGTTGTTAAACAGACTACGCTCTGCCATTGGCGATGGAATTACAGCGAAGGAGTTCCGTATTCTGTTTAGACGGTGCAGAAAATGCAGGCGAGTAGGGTTAAGGTCGGCAATGAAGCGCCACATTTGTTCAAGGGGTGCAAAAAAGCGAGTTTGCCTAGGTTAGAGCTCAGTAGTAGCACTCGTACGATCTGCCATCAAGCTGGCATATGAAAATACTCGCCCTTGCTGGGTCGTTCATGTGGGTGAGGGCGGCGTTTTGGAGATTTTACTAAACCCGAACGTGGTTGGGTGATGGCATCTTAGCGGCCCCCACGCCGGTCCCCGACTTCGCCGCTTGGCCAATATTAATGCGGCTATGTAGTCATCGTGCCAATGACTATCCGAGAAAGTGATTCGGGAATACGGGGCGAGCACACCCAAAAATCCTGACAATTTTACTACGTAAAGAGTCGGGAACGATATCGATATGATTTGAACCCAGTGAGATTCATTTGCTACAATGTGCGTGCGACCTACTGATGATCGTTTCTCCATTCGCTTCTGATTACCTTTCCTTGTTCTGTCCCAGCTCATCTTTGTACCCTATTCCCCATCCTGCCCAGTATGCCAGCAAAAAGTGACGATACATCACCATGTCAAGCACTGCAGGTATGCAATCGCCTCGCCTCACACCTTACACACCTTCTCACATTTTTGCGGAAATGTCGATGTTATGCATACACCTGTGAGAGACAATTGGCTGGTTGCCATCGTGCCACTTGTTGGGTCCATAGGGTACATTCATGGGAATGAATCCGAGGCATTTATCTTATTCATCTGACGTTCTTCCCAGTCTCGACGATAAGCTCTTCACTTTCTGGGTCTACAGAGGGACAGCTACACACCAGAGTCATCTATTGTTTTGAGGCCAGCATCAAAGTCAATGAGTTCCAAGACCTTCGTGCAAAACCTCGGTGTCTTCTCAGACATCTAGTCCTACGTCACCACAAGGGCAAAATCCCCGTTCAAACACCACATTCAGCCCCGCACTCTCCAACGATCCTGATTATTCTTGCTCGTGTTCGTGCCCAGCACCCAGGTTAATTCCGCCTGAGTGGTGCCCCACCGCGACGCACCTGCCACTGGCTTCCCTAGCCGTGCATCACTAGGGGGTGCCTATTTCACGCGGTAGATCTGGGAAAAGGAGCATAGTTCTACTCTTTGTGGATCGAGTACTGGTCGAGGACTCGGTAGATTTGATGAGGAGATTAAGGAATTGCATGGAAAATGCTGGGTCGCAAGTGGTGGTAACCCACTTCGGACCAACGGGGTCCTCTGGATGACAATGGAGGTAGTGGAGCTAACGGCGGTACCAGTACCCCTACGGTTGGCAGGGACATCAAGCGCATGAAAACGCTCCTAGGTTTCACGCTTGATACGGTGAGCAGTCTATTGGACTCTCAATCTCGGCTGGGTACACCGAGGCACAAATCGGTTAGCGAGGGACATTTGATAAGCTAGAGCTTTTTTTGTCGGCGGCCAGACAGGCTAGAGCTTTGCTGACGCAGCCAAGGCTTTTTTTGATGGCCATCGATCTATGGGCTTCTTTTCTGAACAGCCACATCTTTTTTGATAGTGAAGGTATCTTCATCTCCGCGAAGTTTGGCCGTTCAACCACCGCTTACGAATAAAAACCGAACCAGACCGAACCTACGCAATATACAATCATCATGTCAACCTGCCTTTCACTTGAGTCATTTGATTATTCAAGTGCTCGTGCCAGCATTTTTCAACTATCGAACTTACTAGGCACTGAATTCGATGCCTATATAGGACTCATAGCAAGTCAGAAGGTCGGTTGGTAATTTTGTTCCTCTGTATGTCCTGATTTTTTCTATTTCACACAGCTCCACATAGAACTTCATGTTCTGTCATTCTTGCTCAAAGATCGGGTCTATCCTAATGATCTTTGGGACTTGGTTGGTGAGCGCAGTGTAGAGGCCAAGCAGGAGGAGAGGTTGCAAAGGCATCAATCCATCTGTACCAGTGGGGATAGCGCGCGACACGCGACTGTAGAGCGATTTCTCATGGAAGAGAGGAAGAAACGGTGTCAGATGGAAGTTTCGTGATACAGCCAAGCTATTGAACTATTGGAAGAACATTGGATGTGTGAGCTTCTTCCAAATCGTGTGCGGACATGCGATCTGAACTCTCCTGCTGCTATGCAGCGCGTGTGGGATTTCGAACCAAGCATACCATCAGGCCTCCTTCAGTAAACTCAAGGCAAATGGTACCAACAGACCATGCACCTTTGCCCTGTGTACCTTTGGCCTACTCAATAGCAACGCGAGAGAAGTGCAAGGCTTGGTTGAGGACGAACACTACTCGTCTCATCCCAGCTACAGATACTACAATTCGATCCGTTTCGCAGGAGGGAAGGTGGGATTCCATCAGTTTGAATGTCAGTGACGTGATGGTCTGCTTGCCTGGTCTCACCACCTCTCTGCAGTGCATTAAACCCTCATTGACCCTGTCGAGTACGTGGGTCACCACTGACGTCCAGGAGGCTTTTCACCGCGCATTCCAGGAAGAGCTGGCCTTGCAGGCAGAGCTGATGATGGCGTCCCTCGCCACCAGGCGTAGCAATGCCTATCTGCGCAACCTTGGGCTGGATTTGCTAATCCTGCAGGCCAAGATGCGCCGCGCCCAAGCTGAGATAGAGCTCTATAGCCTGGCCATTGAAAATATTCATGAATTCGATCTCTCTGACACCAGTGGGCACAAGCTGATCATATTCCTTTCCGTCAATAACTGATTCCATCGCAGGCTCAACAACGTCCTTCCACCCAACTGTTTCAAGACGTCTACGTGAGGCAACGCCCCTCTACGATGAGGACGTTGACGACAGCACGGGGGGGGGATACGAAGATTATGAAGACTACGAAGACTACGAAGACTATGGAGACTACGAAGATTAATTGGAGCTCGTTATTTGCTAATCTTGTAGTCATGGATTTTTTTCTGTCACAGTCTCATCCCGGTGTAGGAGACGCCCAGGCTGCAGCCCCGTACGGCACCATTTCCCCTCACTGGACGAAGTCACGCATACCTTCCACAGGCCGTTGCGGACCATCACACGAGGTTGCGGAATCCTCGCACTCATCGCATTGCAACGCACTATCCGTCCATGTCATGTCTGCATCCGTCCGTCCTCACTGGGCCAGTTGCATATCAGTTCCCATACACGAGGCCGCGTACCATTACTTACATGTATCTCCTTCCGACTTCGCTTGCATATGCGCCCGCTTATATGGTTCCGGTTTCTTACGGACTCTGTTATATACTACGTCGCAGACTCGTACGGACCTCACTTTCCTACATTCCCTCTCTCTGGTTGTGTGTTGCGGAGTCACTAGCTTAGTCTTACCTTGTCTTTCCTTGCTTGAGCAATCACTTGTTTGCCTTCTCATCCCGCGCGAACGCTCGCATCGCCATTGACAGTTGACTATTGCTAGTCCTAGTTGAGTTCCTTTGCAAGGCGGTTTCTGCACGTCTTCGCATATACCTGGTACCTAGTTTGCTCTACCCGATTACCTGTTCTGATACCTGGTACCCTACCCGTTCTGTACACCTGGTACCCTATCCGTTCGCATACCTGGTACCCTCTAGACATTCACTCGTTTCTCCGCATCCGCATACCTCGCATCTCCGCATCTCCTCACATACCTAGCTGTTCTGTCTTCAGCGCATCACTTCCTTCTTCACTGTTCCCCTCGCTCATACTTGAGGAACTGCTCTCAGAGCTATCCCCTTGGGTCGACTACTATTCTCGCACCCAGCAGGATCGGTACGCTATCACTATAGCGGACTTCTACGATTTCTCCCACACCGGTCTGGACCAGGATCATTGTATTTTTCTGTATGTTTTTTGCCCTCCCCTAGCCTCCTGAATTATTTCCGCCTTCTTGTTGTACGTTCGCTCTTGATTGTGTAAACCAATGCAATTTTAACTACCTGGGTCAAATTTTGATTTCTATAGCAGTCGTTTCTGTCCTTTTCCAAGTCAAGCACTCTGGATGAGTCTGAAGGTAAATCATGTCCTACGACTATGATGCCCACATTCCTTATTGACTTAGCACTGACCCAGAACATGATAGTATGACATAATATGCGTAAAATATATTATGTAATACCTTCGTCCTGTTGTTACTACTAACAACCTACTACGATGACACGATGTGCACCTACCCTGCGGTCAGTCAGGCTATATACCCATAAATGTACTGCTAGCCTCTGGTGGTGCGCAAATTTTTCTGTTTCTAGTATCCAGTTTTGTCTTGGTGGGTACTAATCTCCCGTCGCCCAGCTTTATTCCATGCAACATCTATCATCTTATGCATACCGCTACGGTTTCGAAGAACAGCATCATACTACGATAGGACCGTTGCATTTACTCTTGGCCCTCAAATTCGACATCGTATCCACCTGAGTAGTATTGTCAGCTGATTTCAAGGGAGCGCATATTTGATGTACTTTGTGCAGGAGAGGGGGCGTCCCATGTGATTTGACGGGGAGAGTAAGTACTGACTCCATCTGGTGCGTATTTTTGCAACGCCCTTACCCGAAAATTTTCCTCTAACCAACGAAGTCGGTATATTTTGTAGAGCTCTTCCAGTCTTGAGCAATTCATCTCGACCAACTGCAGCCGCTCGTTGAGCCTGGCCATAGAGTCCACCTGGTCTTTCTCATGTTCGTTCGCCGGCTGGGGCGGAGCAACATCTTTATGCAATGTAGGATCGTCGACATCGATGTTCGATTCGCTACTCCATGATCAGCTTCGAGTGCAGCTGATGGAGTCAGTTGGACTTGACGCACCATACTGTGGCGAGCTCCTCTCTGCTTTCATTGTCATCTCCCACTAACTCGATCCTAAAGAATGCCTTCAGGATGTCCCTCCACCAGGTAAATGCATCTGGCTTACCGTACGTTTACATTTACGTTGAAACCACGTCCTTGCAATTTGAAGGTTTGACTTTCGGGTTGTAGCATATTGAGTCTCTGCGGATGTATTCTGCTGGCAGCGGACTGCAACGAGAAAATTCAAAGGGAGCTATATACCTCGTGTGATTGCTGTGATTTCCTCACCGTCAAATTACTCTCTATTTTAGCTCAAAGTCAATCGATTCCGGTATGCAGTCGACGGGCGGGCCAAAGTTGCCCTGGCCACACATGCTGTCATTCACTTTGGCCATTGCTTGGGCGCCATTCACCACGGCCACTGTTTTGCTGGCAATTATCATAGCCACTGCGCTGGCTGCCAGCTTCCCTGAGACATTACATAGCATAGTTCTGGGGATAAAAGCTGCCTCCGGCATCTGCGACACCCGGGCTACTTTTCCTTCCTTTTTCCACCTTCATGACTACGCAGGATGCCACCTCCAGCATTCCGAGCAAACGCGGCTCGTCAGCCCTCTCAATGGGGCCTCGCAAAAAGGTGTAAGCTGTCCGCATGCCGACTGCAAGCTTCGTAGACTCATCCTGTTTCCCAGCTCATCATCCGATCCGCTTGTCTCCCACGGACGCCACTTCGGTCGAACGGTATTCGCGCTATGCAATTACCCTTCCCTTCTCACCAACGGTATTTTGAGACTGGAACAAATGGAAGATGTCCCGTTGGAAGACTTCCCTGCCGAGTAAAAGACATCCACCTCTGCATTTGCTATGACTGACATATTTAACAGAGAGCGGCGAGAACACCGCGTCTTTGAACAACTCTTAGAATCCTACCCCGGCCTTCTGGATCGGTTGAAAGATGGATCCGAGGAGGAAATCCTGCATGTCGGAGAGCTGGTACTTTCTTTTCTGCGTAGCCAGACTTAAAGCTTATCGATTACAGATTGGAAAGGGGGCCACAGGCGCCAGAGGCGACGACACAAAGACGTTGAAATCTGCGATACTTGACTGGATTTCCCCGAAAGGAGAGGCGATACAGCCCCATTTACATCGAAACTCCAAGCTCGACCGCGGCTTTAACCACGAACTTACAGGATCTCTTCTTTGTCCCGCTGGGTTGGACTGGCACGACCCTCGGTATGTTTTTTTCCTGACATCCGTGCAGTGCTGATACTCTCTTCTTCATAAAAGGACAAAAGAAGACCTCCGAAGTGGCGAGATGCTGGTCTGTGGGGATCAGTGGCCCATCTTTTTGTACGCTCACTATGTCTATGACTCTGAAGACCCGTGGTCCGGCCTGCTTAGGAGCCGTTTATTAACATGTGTGAGTGTGCACCGGTTTTTATATAGTCCATTTACTGCATGGTATTACACCAGGCCTACAAACATGTCTTCACGTCTCCAAGTTCGGTTGACAAGGAACCGAAGGCCACGCGATCCGGAAACGCTCGCCTTCATGGCATGAATTCTGTTACCATAGCCTCTATAGCCTATATCGCAACTCAGGTTCGTCGAGTATCGTGCTTCTGCAGCAGCACCGTTTTGACTTACCGCTGAAGGTGCGATTCGCTCTCAGTTCCTCTTCAGTGTTCTCGCGGACCGACACAGTTACAGCCTCTGAGACATTCTACCACAGCCTCCTTGACCTCTTAGAAGACCCCGAGGAATGTAAAGAAGTTGATGAGCTGCTGACCTGGTGGAATCGGTATGTTTTATCACCCTTCATGTAGCCGAGGCTAATATATTACCAGCCAAGTATTTCCTACTTCATCTGCTGCCAAGAGACCTATCAGCGCCAACAGCGCGTTATCCAGGATCCGACAAAAACGCATTGCGCTCAAACGAGCGCTGAATCAGGATGTCGTCTCTTCGTAGTATTTATTAAATAAATATGTCTGTTCGTATTTAATAGAATTGTGACCTAATGGCAACGTGCTTTGTCTTTTGTAACCTAGTGCCCTCAGAAGTGATTGCGGGACAGCAGACGTTGTACAGCGTGGCAAGAATGCCTACATGATAAGATCTAGAGCCAACATTATGCCTACCTTTGGTCGAATGAAAATAATAAGCTACGATTGCAAGCACTGTGACTGGTGTGAACTGTGTTACCAGTATCAGCGCCTTGGCGCCTGTCGCACAATACAGCCTAGCATTCCAAGATTCTGTCCTGTGGAGTCATTCAGGGAGAGGATGTGGAGCTCGAAACGGGAAACCAACTTTGTGTGCAGTCAGCGTACCTCATCAAGGTTGGAAAGAATATTAACGCACTGCTGTTTGTCGGCGTAATTGTACACTTAGCAGAACCCGGATATCACAGGCCAGCATCACAACCACGTACCAGACGTCAACACCGAGTCTATTTTTGTCAATAGCGCAATGACAAGCTGGGGTTGCAAAAGATAATCACGCCTATACAGCTTGGTGTTGCATTATGGATACTTGGCACTCTTAAGTTGTAGGCAGCCTTAGTCTAACGGAGTCTGGTCATATAAATATTGATCTGACATCGGCATTTGTTCAGATATTGTAGGACATAAAATGACACACTATTTTTGCATACCTGTATCGAATCTCGCCAAGGTTGAGCAGGATAGTAGTGTACTATCGCTCATCATCTGAATTGTGCACTTGACCGATCCGAGCATCATAGGCTGGCATTACAACCACATGCCGGCCGTCAAAGCCAAGAGTCTTTTTGTCGATAGCACAATGACAAGCTCGGGTTGTAAATGACAATCACGCTTATACAAATTGGTACTGCGTTAGACATACTCGGCACTCTTGGGTCATGGGCAGCTTTAGTCCAACGGAGTCCGGCCATATAAAGCTTTGCCTGATGCTAGCATCAGTTCAGTGATTTCAAAGAAAATAAATTCAATCAAAGATTACATGCCATGGCCAGGCCAGGACATCATTGTAGTACATTGCTGTTCGTTCTCGACTAGGTGACTATGGTCACTCACAACTAGATCATCACAATTGTGTATTTGGTAGGTTCCATCCAATTAAGTCCGGGTATTCAAAGCTTTCTCGTTTGGGATACAATTTTGATAAGTATTACGCAGATTTTACTTCAGACAAAGCTAGCTAAGAACTTATCATTTGCCGGTCAGTTACCTGATGATCGTCCTAGACGTGACCAGAGATGGCATCAGAACCGGCCGGTTGAGTTCTCTTGGTTCCATCAGCTGCCAGAATAGAGGAGACCACTTCAAAGGGACAACTTGACGAGGTTGACGAAAATGAGAAGTTCACACCGGGTCCAACGAGGAGACACTGTCCTTTATAGGAGCAAAGAGTCGATATTATTGATTCGCAGAGCATGTCAATGGGTTGCTTGAGAATTTAGATAGTACCAGCACTGTGGGTATCTCAACGTGCAACGTTCAACTTTCAAGCCAACCACTGCAACTTAAGTGCTGATTCGGAAATGGGCGTGAGAGAATACAGAGAAGCACTTTTGCTCGCACTTGTCCACCATGTGGTCCATGCCGTGTTATAACTATGGCCTTTTCCGAGTCTAAGTATGTCGAATGCATATGTACAGGTTTTGTATGAAGCTCTGTACTTCGAAGCCACTCACACACATCTCTCGGTGCCTCGTTGCCTCGGGTCGGGTCAGCTGCCTTGCTTAGGACGGGAGCATATTCTCTGGGCGTAGGTGTTCAGAACAGGTCACTATTAGACCATGCGTTTGCCCTATCCTATCACAGTCAATTGTTGCACGAAGCACACACGCCTTGATCTGCGCCGCCAACTTTGGTATGTGACCTTTGAAATGTAAAGCATGTCCCTTTGCATATAAACTTCGAACAGAGCATATGCTGCCAGGCTTCAGATTATTACTATGCTTCCACGGGAACCGTACAAGGGCTTAACGCGAAAGTTAGTACTTGCATTTGATGTCGGGACCACGTTCAGTGGGGTCTCGTATTGTATGCTATACCCAGGGGAGGTGCCTGTAATTCGAGGAGTAAGTAGGTCAGTAGCCAACTTAGCCGCTATGTATCTTTCTTACGGTGGGATCACAGATATCCTGGACAAGAGCATATCGGAGGTGACTCCAAAGTACCATCAATTCTCTACTATGATCTTCAGGGAAACGTCCGCGCCGTTGGTGCTGAGGCTCTACAAGAGTATATAATCGAACAGGCGGAAAACGAGGGATGGGTGAAGCTTGAATGGTGCGTATATCGTCGAAGATAAAGTGTAGGTTGTATATTTATCTCGGTCAGGTGGAAACTTCATCTTCGCGCTAACCATCTGGCATCGTCTCACATATGGCAGGATAATATACCATCTCTCCCACGGGGCAAATCCGCAGTAGAAGTCCTCGCCGACTTCATACGCTACCTCTTCCAATGCGCTCGGACTTACATCCAGGAATCACATTTGAATTTCTGGAGATCGGTCGAGAACCCTATCGAATTCGTGTTCACACATCCGAACGGTTGGGAAGGCCAACAGCAACAACAAATCAGACGTGCTGTCGAACTCGGGGGTCTCATCTCATCTGAGGACGAGCAATCTCACGTGCACCTCTTGACTGAGGGCGAAGCGAGTCTTCATTTCTGTGTTATCGGCGCGGTTGCATCGCATAAATTCTCTAAAACTCCTATAGAGGTGTCAGAATACCCCGACGATGAGGAAGATCAATCTAACAGCCAGGGAGTCGTTCTTATTGACGCCGGAGGTGGAACCATCGATCTCAGCGCCTACTCGATGAAGTTATCTCCGACCTCGTTCGAGGAGATTGCCCCAGCTGAATGTGGGTTCCGCTTTTTTGCGTTGTTCCCGTGCTGAAGTCCACTCAGGTTGCCTGCAGGGCTCAGTCTTTGTTACCGACCGCGCTCGTACTCTTTTACAAAGTCTGTGAATAAACCAGTCATCAAAAACTAATAGTCATTTGATTGCCCAGAGAAACTTTCGGGCTCCTACTACTCCAATTTTGATATCATCGCACAAATGACGCGTATCTTCGACACCACCACGAGACTTCGGTTCCGTACGCCTGATGAACCATCTTACATCAAGTTTGGTACCTTGTATGACAGGGATCTAAAGTACGATATTCGATGTGGGCAATTGAAATTGGCTGGGTTCGTACAAGTTCTCTAGGATGCCTTCCCCGTAACACTCACGGTCCATCGTACAGCCAGGATGTCGCGGACTTGTTTGAACCATCAATCAAAGCTATCATCGAGGCATTTGAGCGGCAGAGACGCGTGGCTTCGACTCCAATCAATGTGAGCATTATATTTCATTCGTATATTAGGCGAATTGTGACATCATTGTGAAGTTGGTTTGCTTGATCGGCAGTTTCGCCGCCAGTGACTGGCTATTTGTGAAACTCCAGGAATACTTTGTACCCCTAGGCATCAGCTTCTATCGCCCTGATGCCCATGTGTAGGCTCTCGAATATTAACATGTCTACTTCTACTCATCAGGTACCGCAGCAACAAGGCTATTGCTGATGGGGCAGTTTCTTTCTTGGTTGATCGCCTTGTCTCCTCTCGATTTTCACGCACCACTCATGGCATTGAATGCCGCAATCAGTTCGGGTGCCACACCAATCGCATCCCAGCTAAAGTGCTTTCCCTCTTACACATGTTTTATGTTTCCCAATCACATCCCAGCTAAGAGACCAGACGTTCAACGCTGTGCGTAACGACAATACAAAACTATCTAGATATCTTCGGGACTATCAGTCAACCTTGGCAAGAATGATAAAAAATGTGTTCCCTCTTATATATGTTTCTCGATGACGTATGACACCACAGCACACATCCATAACACGCGCTATTGGTGTATGCAGTCTAAGGCTACGCTGATTTGACCAAAGGACTTCTGCAATGGACATCAGATCCAAACAGGCCCGACGATTTTGGAAATTTTGTTATCGCAGGCGCTGTATTCAAGTCCTGCGGTGGTGTTGTCCATATTCTGACCGAAGCTGACGAATAGGTAGAGCCACCCGAGTTGTGGGCAGCTCATACGTATCTGGTTTTGAAAGGAGGTGCTCGGGATAAAGGGAATAAAAAGCACTGATGTACTCTCCCCTTAGTGCATGTCCTGAGAAGTGATTGACATCATTATTTGACTGCACCTTTGCCGTATACATTGTGTATAGAAATAAAATAGAGTTGTCGGTTCGAAGAAGACAGATCTGCAGGACGTCATATTCCGATTACATCTCTGAACCATTTCGTGTTGCCTGTCGCGAGTCGCGACTCCAATTTTTGCTCGGACAGTTCTCGAGCATCGACAGATGCTGTCAATCCCAATGTTCTGTGTGAAGAGAACTGGAGTTGGGCATCAAAGGCTCGTTGTCAGATTCTGAGCTAGACACAACTCGCTGGATTTCAATCATGGTGAGAGCAGCTTGGAAAATGTGTCCCGAAGAAGGGTTTCTTACCAGCAAATTGACGGTCCAGCCCATGCTGACAAAGAAGAGTGCTGAGGGTGGAGCATCCCTGCAATGCTGTTCAAGCTTATACATCAGGAAAACCCTCCCACACAAAGCTAGACAAAGATATGCAAAATTATGCAAACTTGAATAAAAAGACAATAATATTACAAGCTATAGATAAGGTTGATGATTTCTCGCTAAACTTCAACATTCTTTAATGAAGTTACAATGTGCTATCTAACCGTCACAAATGTATGCCTATCAATGTAAGAATTAACATAAAAAGTGTCACATTGCTCGAGGACTTCGCTACTGGTCCATTGACGAGGTGCGACAGGTCCGAACTTTGGAATGAGATGGACACTTCGGTGGATGTTTGTGACGGGTATGATGCTCGCAACTCTCTCACCCGATTGCACGAAGCGGCTGATTTTGAACATTCCATGGTTCGAATCAGCTGTAGGAGGAAACCGAGTGAACCACTCTACATAGGCGAGATGTTTGGGAGGCTGGATTGCGGTAGGGAACATCATTGTAACAGCACTCTGCGGGATTGAGAATATTACGCGAATCTGACCCACACGGTAGCCTGTTGAAAATTCATCATTTGACTGCCTAGCATCCTCGGGAATCAAAAACTGACCTTCAATACCTGCAGAACGGCCAGTCCCATCATTAATAAGCACAGTATCAAATCATGCTGGGACATCAGCGCCTTTTTGACTGGTGGTCACACGGCGAGGTTTGACATGCGCGCTGTCCACTGTGACACATGGGTCACCATGTCCCTGTGCACCATCAGATCGCCATTTGATTATATGATACACAGGAAGTGTGCGGAATGGAAGGTGGATAGCAGCAGCAAGGTCCTCGAGGCGGCGACGAGTGGTGGCTTCGTGTGGATGATGCAGCTGTGCAACATATCTTGCAAGCGCCTCACGGAAGTACGTGGCCCCATACTCCGTGATTAACTTCTGAATTGGCACAGCTTTCATGCTAGGATGCTTCGTTAATGTTTGAACCCGGTCGAAAGACAGGTTTGCTGGACGAGGTTGGTGTCGAATGGGATTGCCGTGGAGGCGCCACATGACATGTCTCTCATGTCGAGCGATCTTCTCTTTGCGTTCAAGCCACTGAGTCATTTGAACAAACTCATCTTTGTGGTTTGTTGCACGATATGCATCTTTGGCCAAGTCGATGTGGAGGCGCTCAGTATATTCTGTATTGTAATTGTCAGTTGTGCCAAAAGTCTGGATCATCGACATATAGTGGCGGCCTGCATGGAGCTTTGGAAGATTAAAATTGTTTCGTATTCCAAGGTCGACGAAGATCTGCTTGTTGTTGTGAAAAAGATCGAGAGCTTCTGTGAGGAGAGTCAATGTTTCGGAGCTGTGGCAAGGATACTGCGCCAAGTACAGGAAGTCAAGTAGACCTCTGACGGCACGTATGAGACGGCTTGGGGCAAGACGGTTGGGGAGTCGGATGTCGATGATGATCCCAAGTAGAAAACGGCATATCTGACTATGCTCCGTACCACTGATTTGTGAGAGGCTAGTGATACCTTTCATAAATAGACGGATATGGTGATTTGGGGGGAGCCTTCGACATCTTCCATCAATCTCAGCTGCTCCGAATGCCTCGGCCAGCCAACCAAGGAGATGCTTGATAAGACCCTGGTATAATTGGTGAAGCACATCTGGTGTAACGGCTTGGAAGATGTTGGTATAGGGTAGGGGCTCCCAGAACGGATGTATAATGGGCTTGATTCCGGCTTCGCGGCATGCATGTACAAATGCGAGATCTCCGTTATCAATCGCAGCCAATGCATTGAGGACAGCGTCAAGGTTGCGCATCTCGAAAGGTGCGGCATTGCTTCCGAGTTCGGCTGGTGGTATGTCACATTTGGGACATTCCGTGGTTTTGACTCCTGTAACCAAGACTTGCTCAGGATAGTCACCAACGAAGCAAGCAAATAAGGGATGACTGCGACGCAGGATACCATTGCCACTCTTCATGACAATACCATCTAAGCCAGCTTCCTCCAGTGGTGCTAAGACACGGCCCATGCAGGCATGATACAGATTTGCAATGGTTCGGCGTCGTGAAGCCTGGTTGGTGATGTGCTCGAGACGGGTAGTAGGAAGATAAGCGAGAAGAATATGGGCATGGCGAGATGGCTTTCGGCGGATTTCCTTTGGAATGTTGCCAATAGTAAGGTAGACTGGGTAAGCCGTTTTATTTCGGAACATTGTTACTTGAGTCTTGTCACTCGAAATAATAATTGGAATGATGGTAGCACCCGGTTTGCGCTGATCAAGCTTTTTCTATTTAATGTCAGTTATTTTCGATGAGCAGAAGTCCCCAAAATGCGAACTTACCTGAGTATCCCACCACCATTTACCAGTATGCATATCATGGAATAATCGGACAGTTTGTTCCTCATCTGCATAGTGGCGTTCCGGTGCAAAGATTAGAAAATCGGCAAAATCTGGGTCACCATACAGAGCCTTAACACATTCGATAACGTCCCTATAAAAAACGTCGAAAGCCTCGCCTGCGACGACAATTTGTTCACGCCTGAACTTTGGGCGACCAGGAAGCTGCTTGTCGATGATCTTATTTAATTCCCTTGAGTTCTTGTAAGAAAGACCAAGCTTTTCATGGACCTGTCAACAAAGATAGACACATTACCCACAGCTCGAAGGTGATATTAATACCATTCACTGACTTCACTGATACCAAGCAAGTCCGAAAATGCGGTTGAAGTTGGGCCACGTAATTTAGCCCATCGTGCAATTTCCCAATCCACTCGAGAGGCGAAGGGGGCATATGGATTTGCAGTGTCATTGATAACAGTAGCGTATGCAGCGTTTGCATTGCATATGTCAGCTTGCGGAATGGGGTGCCCTGCTCGAGCATCAGGGTATTGCACAATAGTGATTGCATCTTCCTGAAGCACGCATTGCTCAATCTGCTGACGCAAATCACGATTGTGGCTATTCATCTCTGTGCTGTCTTCTTCGGCAGTTCCGAGTTGGTCCTCTAAATCCCTTCCAGTTACGAGGGGTTCCCATTCGGCATCATCGAGGCCAGGTACGACATCATCCTCGGAGTCCGAGCTGTCACTATTCTCACTGCTGTTAGCATACCATTCCATGTCACCGGGCCATTGGATTTCATCTTCCTCGTAAGTACCAAAAAAGTCTCCTCCATTCGCAGGTGCTTGATCATCAGCTTCGATTTCTGAGTCCGCAAGATCATCTGAAGGAGTTGGTATTGGAGAGTGGACATTTGAGCGTGATGCAGCGAGCACAGCCATGCAGCATCGATTCTTGGTTTTAGCTAAGTGTTGACTTAAACCAGTGGCCGAAAAAGTCGTATAACATCCTGTGCATTGGACCATAATGGTACGAGGGAATGTTCACTAATACTAGATGCTATCTCCTCTATGTCATTTTTCAGGCTCCGATACCGGATATCAATAATACATTGCCAAAGTTCCAGGGTAAGATTCGCACAATAAGATGGACAGCTCACCAGCCTCGTCTCCTGTTAAATCAAATAGTCCGCCTTTATCTCCTGCTCGAATGAGCAGTCCCACTGTTCTGTCTTCTCCTGACTGCCCTAGTCCGACTCTCTGTAATTCAAGCCAACGATCAGGCTCTTCAATTACGATGAATACAGATTTACATGCCTCATATCTAAGCCTTTCAGAGGATGGCAAACCTACGCCTTCTGAAGCGAAAGAGAGCACATTTGTTACACATGACAAAACATCAAAGTCTCGGACATCAAGGAAACATTTTCCATACCCCCCCAATCCAGCTCCATTGGAGCTTCGTTATGCAGCTCGGATGATGAAGTCCAAATTCCAACCAGAATTCTCGTTGGAAGCAACACAGAAGGTATGCCATATTTACTTCTAGACATTGATAACTCATTGATGTGGTCTGAAAGTTTCAAGAACAGTTGGAGAGCGGCCTTTCTCAAATGACGACTGCAACCTTGTACAAAGGATACAAGGCCAAGCTCGCAAGTCGCGAGGTTGCGCGCCAACGCATGGTGTTGGCAACGTGGGAAATTGACGAGGCTGCACAGTATGAAGAATTCCTCATTGCCATCTATGGTGAAAACGAACAACGGTTCAAGATGGCGGATGGGGAATTGCACGGCTTTAGGAGGATTTTTCACAGCGTGGGCAGGCGGAACTTGAGGATGATAGAAAATATCTTCAAGCTGTCTTTGAAGACGAATGCGAGATCCTCCGCGTCGCTAGTGCCCAAACTGACCAGGTTGCAACCCTCCTCAATTCACGTGTTAAACATGCATTTTTGAAACCTGCTGCGGCATTTCCTCTTCACCCTAATGGTGGACTCTCCTGCATCGGCACTAGGGAACCCTCTGAACACTCAGATCCAGATTTGAGTGATGGGTCTTACGCAGACCTGCCCCCAGATGATTCGGATCATGACTCTGAGGATTCAGGTGAAGGCGCAGGCTCTAGGTTGTCAGCTGACTGATAGTCGCCCTTTCAGCGGTATGGGAAATCCTCCTTTCAAGTATTACCATTCAACTCATCGCAAGTTGCAGGCTCCCTTTTACCACTCCAATCGCTCTTCTTGTCTTATGTTCAATATCTGTTTCTCGTGATCATTATTGATGTGGAGGTATCTATTACTTCATGGTGATTTGTGAATTTTTGTATGCACTTACGATGTTGTAGACACCTGTCAAATGCATGTGTTGTTCCACTCTTGCTCGTCTTATCACCTGAAACAAGAATTAACATGATATCTATGATGGCATCAATACAATACATATTAATTGGCGTATGGAAGGCTCGGTTGATTTTGCCATATATGTCGTCGTTTGAACGCTCCATATATGTAGTCGTTTAAACAGTCCATATAAGTCATTGATTCTTGCATGTTCCGGCATCTGTGGCTACTTGTATTACCCAATTGCAACTGTAAGGCCGCTTACCCGCCAAGCCCATAGACTCGAGGCTTCAAATCGATCTGTAATCAGCTGCAAACGTGAACGCCCCAGTTTAATCGCCCAACCGATATGCTCATCGTGAGTCAATTCAGTTTTTGCCTCCATTCCCCATCTGTCATTGTACGTGAAATAGTCGTGCTCAGTCTTACACTACTGATAGCAGCATATCACTCTTCTCATGATTAGGACCGCTAGGTATCGGATCGCGATTATATGACCACTGGCTCGGCTCTATTCTATTGAGTCTTCATTATGTATCAGGATTCTACATGTTTCTGGCACGTTATGCCAGCTCTCTCGCCGTGATCTCGCATCTCCTTGTTTCCTACTGCCAGTATTTGCTTCCAGCAAAGTATGCAGCCGCCGGATGACAATGAATATCCACACTTCCCTGGCCAGCTTCAAGACAGGTTCTCGTTGTCAGACTATGCAGATAGAAATCCGAATTTAAACGGTGAGTACCCAAGCCAGTAATACACTAGTCGCTTGTTGACAGATCAACTTGAAGCAGATGATGAGGGGGACCCACTTTCAAGGTTCCTCCGTATGACCGACCCACAATATGCAACGACTACAAGTAGTCTAAAATCGCTAACGTCCGAGATGGATGCTCCACCCCCCACGCCATCGTCTAGCACACTTGAACCACTTGACGCTGGTGATGGTGTCTATCCATATGCAACAACTAATAGTCTACAATTGCTCACGCCGAGATGGATGCTCCACCCCCCGCGTCATCTAGCACCAGCAAACCACTTGATGCCGGTGATGACGTCTACCCTGTAATCCCTTACTCCGCCCAACTCGACTCTTTATACAACCCGCCAGTTCCCCAGATGCTGGCAGGGTCGTCACAGCATCCTGAGAGAAATCATCGCCCTCGACCCTCCGCACATATTTCATACCTGAACCCAGGGTCCTTCGGCCACCTGAGCCAACAGCTCCGATGGCTGCCCTCGCTATCCCATCCACGATTGCTGCCCCTGTTGCTTCACGGCCAAGCACACTGGTCCCTTTGTCACTCAAGTTTGTTGCTATGCAGCCAGGAATTACTGCTAGCGGAGTTGCACCAGCGGCCCCTGCCATCTTTCCTGGTCCTGCTGCTGTGCAGCCAACTACACCAGCCCTCATTAACGTCAATTCCCTTGTCAAAAAACAGATCCTCAATTCTGCAAAAAGAAGAATCTTACGATTCTTCTTGACGGCATCTGCAATGGCCGGTACTGATGGTGAGAGGGCGGCGCTTGTTTCTCGCGATTTCAGAGTCGTCATGCCAGGTATGAATGGTACGTGTTTACATATAATTTGCGGAGTTGAATACTGATTCATTGTAGTTACAATCCGAACGACAAGTAGTGAACGTCAGCAGGTGACAGCCGCCTGGAACGGCTGTTTTCGGAAGCTATTGGACATGGTACGGAGTTGTCTCGCCTTGGGCTACACTTTCTACCCCCCGCTAGAGTCCAATCTCCAACCAGTCCAATTTCGGGGTCGTGTCATAACCGCATTGATTAACGACACGTAACCCGTTGGCCTTCATGAATAGGTTTACGGTCGACGCAGTACGTTCAATTTTCTTCTAAATACCAAATTGTGATCTTTTTTCAGAGCGGGCATGTCACCATACTTGACGGGGTTCTCGACAATCCCCTGATTTTTCATGTTGCCGTTCAATTCATATGGTGTAGCGACCTCGGTATCTCACAATTCCTCTCCACCTCGGCGTTACATCGACATCAACAACTCAACTACGCCTTTGGTGCTATTGGTGCAGCTGTGAAATTAGCGCTGCGGGAGCAGATTCCCCATCCACCAGTCATCCTGCCATTCACGCAACACGAAGGGAGTGAGACATTCGAGGACATTGTGCGCTACATTGGCAACATGGACGGTGTCCAGAGAATTGCGTTCGACTATCGGAAATCTCATATGTTAAGCATTGGGGACTCGCAGGTTCGATCGACTAATGTATTAGCTCAACTCGACATGATGATGATGGCTGGGGTGCAGTAGATATCGCATTACTTTTTAGCTTAGTTTGTACATGATCACGTCTATTGTACTATCATACTATGGACCCGTTCCGCAACCTTTTTTTCTGTGTGTTTTGTTCGCTTTTGTGCGTTTTGTTCGTGTCTGTGCA